CGGCGGAGCCTTGCGGCCAGCTTTTCAAACGCGGGTCGGCTGAAACCTCTGATCCTCTTTATTTGGCGGCCCACGCCTTCGCTCTGTTGTGCTCCCGGTGCTCGTGTTCACCGTGGGTATCTGGAAACGGCCATGCCAGTCTCGTTCTTGTCATAGTTGCGCGGGCGAGCCGCTTTCTTCTTGGGCGACTTCCTGCCTTATGAGAAAGGCACTCGGTCCTGGCGGCGCAGCTCCGAGATCTTTCGGGCTTTCCTTGCCTCGACAACCGAAAGCCCTTATCGGGTGTTTCTTGCGGGCAGACGATCTTCTGAATTGAACCGGGCTGGGATGGTGCTGAAAGCAGCCCCGGTATCGTCTCCAGAATGAAGGTCGCTCCCAGTGCGAGTCCGAGCACATTCTGCTTCGAGAGGAAAAACGGGAATCCCTCCACTCCCTGGGTTTCTGCACTCGAAACAGCTGTTGGCGCAGGCGATCCCTTTCACGTTGTTCCCACCGTGATCCCCGGGAGAGTGTTGCGGAGATACGCTTCATGGAGGCGCGTTTCGTCCCAGTCTCGTCTTTTTTTCTTAAGGAACGCCGTTCGTGGGGACAACGGTGACATAGCGATCCGTCAAATATGCATGGTGCGCTGCCACCCTTCAAAGGAAGTACCCCACCTGGTTGGGCCGAGAGCTCCTGCGGCTGACCGGGCTCGAGTTACATGATACCATCGCGTGGGGACAACTTGAAACAAACGGGTATCTAGACGGTATTCCTGCTGTCAGTGACGATCGGGCTCGACAAATACAACTTCCTTTGGCACGACTCACTCGGTTGTCCGGTGTGCAAAACGCCGCCATGCTCCGACAACAGGACGGTACCTGAACTAGATAGTCAACTGTGTGATCCGCCGCTGGCGTCATCAAATCTAAGTCCAAACATGCTTATCTTTCTTTCAGAGTAAGGTTTGGCGAGGGAGGCGGTCACTGTCGGGCAGCAGATACTTTTTTCAGGTTGCGGACTTCACAGACCAATACCCCCAGTCAAAAAAAGAAAATGGTGTCGGGCGGCTGCAACTCTGGTTCAGAAAAAGTGAACCTGATTTGTAGCCGCCCGATTAGTAGTCCCTTCTAGCTAGTCATCAACACCACATAGGCACACCACCTGTGCACCCGACACTTCGGTCCACCACCTCATCCTTGATAGTGGCTCCCGGATTCCGTCGTCAGTCTCCTTATGGTCGGCTCCCTGTTAACTCATACTCTCCGTTCTGTAGAATCTCTTCATTCCCTGTCTGGGAAGGTGGGCGAATGGTTCTTGAATCGAATCGAAATAATGCATTTTCAATCCAATGATGAATCGAATCGAATCGATCCGAAATGTCACTGGTTCTCCCCCACCGCCACCCACGTGGTTGCTCCAGGTCATTGCAAGATTTCAAGAGCAACGGGGAGCCGGCACCAGCTTCCATGCCGCAGTCCACTGTTGCACTTCAGAAGAGAATGCCACCTTTGGATGATCATTCTTTGGATGACCCGTTGGATTTCTGCCTTCTGCTGCAGCTGCGTCGAGTAGTCTACATACATGTAATCAATCTCATCCAGAGGCACTTCTGTGTGCTTCCTCAAGCTGTCTGCTTCCACATGCTACTAGTACCTGGTAGCCAATCACAGCGGCGACCCACAACAAAGACATCAATACTCATCAACCCAGCTACAGTTGTACTCCTTTAGTACATGACTTTGTATGTATTGACCCATACAATGTCATGTACTCGTTACATAGTGAAGCAGGAAGGAGAAGCCCTGCACTTTCTTGCCTCCAGCTCCAGGACCTGGTGGACACGCATACACGCATACATGGAGCAGCACACAGAGCAGCTCACGGAGCAGCTTACTTGGAGAAGACAGTATAGTCGCATACCGGTACTGCGTAGAATACTTTGCCACAGCTCAGGATGTCCCGAGACTCTGGTTCTCCACCTTGGCCACGTGATTCACCAACCAGGAGGGGCTCTGCTGACGCCATGATGATTCGAAACTTTCTGGTGAAACAACCTTTTGGCAAGACTCGCACGACTAGCATTGCATTTGTTTCTCCTTTGAAACTCCCATGACTCGTATGGGAGTCAAACTTTGGGAGTCTGTGCGAGTCCATGCGAGTCCTTGCGAGTCTCTGGCTTTTTTCAAGGTTAAAGTCGCGATTCTGTGCGAGTTTGTGAGAGTCTACGTGAGTTAAACGCTAATGACGTGAGTCGCACGAGTCATGAGTCCTGTTTGCCAGTCTTTAGCTTTGGTGCTTTCCACAATGTCATCAAAGCAAACAGTTGTTCCTCGCCAAAAGTGACGTCAGAGGAGCCCCTTATCAGGAACAAAGCTGTTCTTGCTGGAAGATGTCGAGATTTTGTTGCACGGCTGAATCGTCACTTGACTAAGGGACGATTTTCCTAGTACAGGACGATTTAAGGGACGATACACGATTTAAGCGAAGCTTTTGGGGACGATTTGGTTAAGGACGGTTTACGCAACGATTTACTTAGCGGACGATGGTAGGGACGATTCACGATGGTAGGGATGATGGTAGGGACGATTTAAAGGACGATTCAGGGGACGATTTCAGATATAAAGGACGCTTTAATGGACGATTCAGCCACGAGTAACATTAAAATTTATTTATTGGCATCTTCCTGCCACATGTGGCCTGGGCAGTTCTAGCTTTTGGCTCACGAACACACCAATCTTCAATGGCAAAAACACAAAAACACTACTCAGTATTTTAAGTCTTCCGGGAGTCCTCTAGGCCTAATAGGAGGCTTAAATGAACGACCTTCCGCGGCTGCAGATGGGAGTGCTGCAAACTGCTATGTTAGCTAGCTAGTAGCTAGTAGGGAAGGGTCATCCACAGATCCCCAAGTAAGTTGCACTTTTTCAAGCTGCTGCAGACGCCAACTCAGCCCATTGGAACAGTGAAGGAGAAGCCCTGGTGCTTGCGGGAAGAAGCTTTGCGGGATAAAAAGTCTTAGTGAATAATATCGCTTATGGAGACGGCAAAACACTTTCTGACCATGGGAGCTCTCTGGACCTCCGAGACGTAATAATATGTCCAGAAGCTAAAGTGCAAGAGAGTGTGCCACAAAGACAGGCATGTGGCGGGGGCAGTTATAGCTGCTTCATCCATCTGTTGTTGCCACATGCCCATGAAACCATCACTCACAGTTGCCTGCATCTCAAACAGACGGTGCTCACACAGACACTTACTTATTGGCACCATGAAAGAGAATCCCTTCAGAGAAGAGTGAGGAGTGTCCTGCAACCTCGGGAGTCGAGTCCTCGAATGTCTTGGGCAGAAGTTTCAGTGACTTTCACAGCTCTGCAGAAAGTTGAATGAAGAAAATTAGCTTGATAGTTAATTATGGTTACGAACGACCAATGTAGCTTAGACAAAAGGGGAAAAGAAGCTGGGTGCTTCTGACCATCTGTTTGTGGTCTTGCTTGCTGTGCGGGTCACCCAATGGGACGTTACCAGAGATGCACCAAACACAGTTTGGCCCAAAGTCATCCCGCGCTCTCAGCCAATCATTCTTCCAAACCACGCTAGATTTCCACGTCGGAACACGTGGAGAAGAGACAACACGCTAACTCGGCACCTACAACGTAGTACACAGCCTACGGCCCAACGCCAGCCAATGCACCAAACCCAGTTTGGCATCAAGTATACCAAAAGATATGTTCTTCGCCTGATGGATCCTTTGCCGAAGGCGCTGTGTTGCTTTGGTCACAAAGAGTACCTGGTACAGAGGTTACGGCGAGCCATAGGCTTCTGCATCTCTGGCTGATCTTGGACGCACCAGTTCTGCAATTCGATCGGCTCATAAATTTGGTTCAGCCCAGCCAAAAAGGTAAAAACGAGTCGCGTCAGGAACCAGTAGCAGATTTGCGCAAGTGATTTGGGATCCATGACAATGATTGATTTTTGTTCGTCCTCTGACTTCCTGTTGCGTCTCTCGTCACACTGCAGTCGTACTGGTCGAGTGTCATCGGTTGGTCGGTTTGTCAGAGTTGAGTGAGTCAAGTCCAGTCAGAGTTGAGTGAGTCAAGTCCAGTCGAGTGTGTGTTGGGAGCAACAGCGTTGGGTGCGAGTGCCATTTTAAAATCGGAACGCCTCTGACCTTTTCTTCTCTCTGTCTATCAGGTGCCCAGCGGTCGGTCAGTCGAGTAAGGCTTTCCCCTCTGTAGCGGTGGATCGGAACGTTGCCTTTTGATTGATATGATTTTTTGTTCTTCTGACGTTTGCGTCTCTCTCTTCTCTGCTCTACCGTACCCTCAAGGAATCGAAGCGTGAGTTCTCAGGCAACGCTGCATTGTGCGAGTTGTGTCTCTCTTGACTCTGTGGACAATCGGAACGCCTCTGACTTTTTGTTCTCTCTGCCTATCAGGTGCCCAGCGGTCGGTCGGTGTTCGGTGGCTTGCCTATCGGTAGCCTGTCGGTAGCCTCGGTTCGTACCGGTACGGTGGATCTCTGGTGTTGTACCCGAAGGCTGCATTGTGCGAGTGCCATTTTAAAACCGGAACGCCTCTGACTGACTTTTTGTTGTCTCTGCCTATTTCCTATCGCGTCGTCGTGTGCTGTGGGTGTGGTTCGTGTGTCATCGGTTGGTTGCTTTGTCGCCGTTGCAAGAGTCGAGTGCGTGGATCGGAACGTGGTGCGTCTGGCTTCGTGTGAGTGCTCGTTGCGAGTGATTTTGGATTGACTTTGTTCTTCCTCTGACTTTTCTTCTCTCTAGCATCAGCAGGTCGAGTCGAGTCTAGCTTTGTGTGAGTGCATGCTATCGCGTCGGCACATGCTTGTGATTTGGATTGATGACTTTCTTCATCGGTCTCTGACTTCTGCTTCTCTCTTGACTTTTCCGATCCAGTGTCATCAGACCGGAACATCGGTGCCTATCGGTAGTCTAGTCTAGAGTCGAGCGGCGTCATCGGATTTCCATTTGGACGGCACGTCCACGACTTCCTGCAATGAAGATGTCTGTTGCAGGTCGACCGTTTGCCCATGAGGATATCCTCTGCGGTAATCTGTACCTTCATCTCATTATCAACAAGAATGTGACATACTCCGTTGTCACCCCCCAGTTTCGTCGGGACATGGCTCGACTGCTCCAAGCCGAGTACACCATGAACAATGGGACCTTCAGCGAACGTCAGAATGCTGCTGTTGTCTTCGAGAACCTTACTGCCAATTGGCCTCATTCCAACAAGGAAAAAATCAAGAAGAAGCCCCATCGGGAAAAGTATCAGTTCATCACTGATGCCAATGTCGATGACATCATTGACGCTCTTGACCCACAAAACAACTACCGAGCCCACATTGAAAACGATGACGCCCTGCGAGTCCGCCAACATGTCTTGGAATGTCAACTGACCTACAAAGGAGCGAAGACAAAAACACCCCAACCAATGCTCATCTGGCCTGATTGGCTTAAGGGAGCGATCATCGTCAATACCATCAATGGATGCCAGAATCGAAAATCCCTAACAAATTGCATGGCGGCCTTCTACCACATGAATGCAACCACGGCGGAGCAATATCTCTACATGCACGAACTGCTTCCCCAAGCAATCCCTCGGACCCGGGTATCACTCCTTGTTCCGACATCTGTGGTACCCAGCAGTGCTTCTGTCCTTGGTTCGCCAATCGGTGCTGTGGCCCCTTCTGGGTTTGAGTCTGATGTGATGACCACGAGCGGATACACCCCAGCAACTCTGCAGCAACAACTCGACCCCACCCATGGAATCCCGGTATGTACACATTTTGTTTGTGTTGCGATGATTGTGTCATTCTGGTTGGACTAAACATCTCAATCGTTCGCTCCTGCTCACAGGTGGGTGGCACTACCATGGCAACAAGCACTGGATTGGATGCCCCGTCTGGTCCTGGACTGGGAAGCAACACTCTAGTGGATCCACCTGGTCCTGGGACAGGGTCAGCCCCATTGGACCCTCCAGGTCCTGGAATGAGGACCATGCCATCTGACCCTCCAGCACCAATGCCAGCGGTACGTTGTCTCTTCTGATGCATCAGCCATTGTCTCTTTCCTATTCTCATTCCAGTGCCCCCGCCAACTTGAACCAGCCTACCACTGGTACTCCAGGCATGGGAACCATGAAACCACCACCTCCAAGTCCGAGTCCAACTCCAGTAAGTAGGCCGTTGTTTTTCCATAGCCAATGCCCATTCGCCACCTGCCCTTTCTAACCACTAGTCACTTCCATGGATATTCACAACAGTGGCAGCCACCACCAGCTGGTCCCATGCCAACTGCACCACGCCCTCCTGCCTATGGATATGGCAGTACTGTTCCTGCTGGATTATTGGAAGGGCCACCCATGCCGTCCCCACACGGAAGTCAACTAGCGCTGCCTGTAAGTAGCCAGGATCCTGCTGACTGTCTTGTGTTCTTGGTATGGAGTCCAGCTCAGAACTCATGATATTCGTTTGTTTTCCATCCATTGTGCAAACACAGGGGCAGCAGCCACATGGTGCCATGACACCTTGGCCTGGTCCATATCCTCCTTATGGATATGGATGGCAACAACCGGCCCCAGCCCCTGTGGTGCATCACCACCAATACAACATTTCGGGAGGCATTTCTGGTGGAGCCACTGTTTCGTTCGGGGCTGTCAAGAAGAAGAAGGGCAAGAAGAAGTCACAAGACTCGAGTGACAGCTCCACTGGGTCCGATTCCTCTGGAGCCAGTGAGAAACTGACGGCCGCTGCAATCGAGAAAATCGTTCGAGAGCGTGATGAGGCACTCGCTAACACCATCAAACGGGACGGCAACCGAACCCGGTCTACTGTTCAGGCTTTGACAACAGGGCGCCCTGCCAAGCCCGATGCCATGCAACGTGAGCACCAACAAGCAGCCGAGAGCGTGGGCACAGTGCTGCAGTTTGATGGAGCCTTGGGTGGAAGCAATCGGGGCCTCCGAACCCCTGAGTTCGGCAGCAGTAGCACCCCACGCTTCCCTGGGGGTGGCCGGCAGCAGGGTTCCTCTGTCTCTTTCCAAGTGCCGAACTCTGCCAACACAGTTCGAGCAGCACCCCCCACTGACAACACGCAGCAGACCCCACTGACCGTTTCTGTGCCAGTTGCGTCCTCACCCACCTCGCCTCTGGAAGACTCTGCTGGGGATTCCCCTAGCAGGGAGGATACCAGTGGCGGCACAACGACCCCAAGTGCTGCACCAAAGTCCAAGTCTACCAGATCATGGTGGCAATTTCACAAACGCCAGAGTGGTTCCAGTGGTTCCAGTGTAGCATCTGGGAGTAGCCGTGGGTCACGAGGGAAGCGAATTGTTACCAAGGTTCAGAAAAGCTTCCGTGGTGGTTCCAAGCTCGTCCGCAGATCCTTTAGCGGTGGTTCGAAGCCTGCAACCCAGCGCTCCCCAAGTCCTACAAGTCCTACAGCTACTCTCCAACCTGTGTCTGGGGCTCCTGCCGTCGAAACTGTGGAGCATGATGAATCGGTGGACGGTTCCTCTCAAGGCACAGCCTTCTTTGATGCGGCCCCTGGTTTGGACGGCATCAACCATGCAAGACCTGAAGACGACGACGACAGCAGCAACCATGATCCGGACCTTGATGGTAGCCCTGAGGCAGCAATGGCATGTGCCAAGCCTACAACCCAAGACACGCCTGAAGAGACTCAGTGGGACCAAGACATTGCCCTTGGCCAGGAGAAGCATGTTGTGCGGTATGGGTGGGTTGGAGGAGCTCCCGCTGTCGCAAGTCTCCCTGTCGAAACCGCCACAATCGAACCATCCAAGACCGTGTCTAAACAAGTCAAGCTGGACGAGGCGTACGCCGCATCCGCGCAGGCTGAATGGGATGCGCAGGATCGACTTAGCAAGCCAGCAGCAAAGAAGAGCCCCACTGAAGATGCCTTAGAGGTAGATTCTGTCTCCAGTGAGAGCACCGATGATGGTGGTGGCAAGCCGGCAGCGAAGACGAGCCCCACTGAAGATGCATTCGAGCCTGAAGATGACATCTCTGAGGCTAATTCTGTGGTGCCCGTTGCTGATTCTGTGGAGCCAGCTGATGATGACAATTCCAGTGTTGGCAGCATTGCACCTGAAACTGCTACGAACTCATGGTTTGGGATAAGGTTCAGCATCTTTTCCCCATCGAAGCCGGAGATGTCGGGTGCCGAACTGAAAATGATTGCAGCCAGGGCTGCTGGTAAGTTGTTTTGACATTGCTGAACCCTATTCATTGTGGCATTCGTATTTAACACGAGTGTGTTGTTTTGTTGTCTTTGTAGAAGCGCCCCCGGAATCAGCTGATGGTGCCTCAGTGGTCCCCGCCAATCCAGATGAAGACTCCCAGGGAAACAAGGAAAAGCCAAATGAGGCAGCACAGGAGGCCACTGCTGAGAAAGAATCTGATTGTGACAGTCAGAGTTCCAAGTGCACCACTGAAGAGCTTTCCCCAATGCATGGGCCAAGTAAGTTGGATTGAGGTTGCTTGACATTGACTTTCCTTGGCTTTGGCATCACTAACATTTCTGTACTATTGCAGAGGTTCGGGCTGGTCCCACCCCTGCACGTATCCGTGCCATGACTCTTGAGGAGATGAAAGCTGCTGGTAAGTTTCCTTGGCTGGTGCTGTTTGCCTTTGCTGCTTTTGGTTGCTGCTTAGCTCATTTTTGCTCCTCTTTGTTGTTGTTTTAGAAGAGAAACTGGAACCAGCTGTAGCCGAGCCAGCTGAAGAAGGATTGCATGCTGCCACCACCGATCCAACTGCAATGAGTCTTGAGGAGATGAAGGATGCTGAGCCAATCATTGAAGAAGACGAAGAAGGATCACAAGTGGGAACTGAGAGCACAGCCATCGCTAAGGCTGCTGGTAAGTTTTCCTTCTGCTGGTCCTGTTTGCTTTCTGTTGCTTTCTGTTGCTTCTATTCACAGTGTAGCTCATTTTACTCCTCTTTCTTGCTGTTTTAGAGGAGGAGCTGGAACCAGCGGTAGCCAAGGTGGCTAAACCCAATACCGATTGTTCTGGTCCCAAGAAGAAAACGTCTCCAATGGCCAAGGGTGGTCTCCTTGGCATTGGTGGCAACCCAATCCGAGGCACCAACATTCCCAAAGCAGAGGCCTCCGTGGTGGTCGAAACCGTGGATGAAGAAAGCTCTGAGGGAAGCTATCCCCCAGTCGAAGCCACGGACGGTACCATTGTTCCTGTGACCATTTCAATTGCAGCCACTGACCATGTTCCCACGGAGACTGCATCCAAGGTCGAGGAAGAAGATGGTGCACCCATTGCCAAGGCTGCTGGTTAGTTTTCCTTTGGCAGTTTTGTTTTCCTTCTGTTGCTTGTATTGACGGTGTGGCTCATTTTGTTCCTCTTTGCTGTCCTTTTAGAGGAGGAGCTGGAGCCACTTGACGGTGGCACTGTGGTAGAGGCTGAGCCAGATGAAGAAGGCTCTCAGGGAACCCAGCAGTCTGATGGTCGAGCTGGCACTTGGCCAAACGATGACAAACCTTATTGGGGGCTGAACAGGACGAATGGGAAACCATGCGCTCGCTGTAGAGCCATTCCGGGATACTGTGCATCCCATATGGGCCAGGCCCCACCCGGATATGATGCAGAGGCACAGATGAAGAGGGCTAAGGCGAAGAAGAAAGAAGCCCAGAAGAAGAAAAAAGCAGCCCCTGTGATGAAGAAGAAGAAAGCTCCAAAGAAGACGACGACGAGCATTGCTGTTATTGATGCAGTACCTGCGGGCACGGGATGGAAACGCCGTAAATCGAAACGGACCAGAACTGATGAACCTGATTCCAAGTCTGACTCGAGTAAGTTTGAATGATGTTTGCTGCTTTTCTTTGCATGTGGAGTTGGCCAATCCTGACAAACCCTTTTCTTGCCTTCTCAGGTGATGATGATGACGATGCTTGAAGACGAAACATAGTAACCCAATCATAGCTTGGCCCTCGCTGGCTTCCATATACACAGATAAACCACGTAATCAAAAACAGACACCGTAACCTAAACTGATACAACTCAGGTAAGTTTTGAATGATGCTTGATGCTTCCTTTGCTTGTGGAGTTGGCCATACTGATAAACCCCTTTGCCTTGTTTCCTTCTCAGACAGGTGATGATGAGGTCTTGTGCAGTTCTCTCTGGGCTTCGTGGCAAACATAAAACGAATCGTAGTTGCATTTTAATAATACTGGAAACTTGAATGATCTATATGCTCCTCCTACTGTCGTCGACATTGATATCAAAGAGTAGTTCCCGCTTCCGATGTGGCTGGACCGTGCTCATTCCAACTAGTTTTATAACCATCTATGTGAACTACTACGTTTGTAGTGTATGTGCAAAGCTCTTTTGTTCAAATGATTCTGTAGCTGGCGCACAAATGCATCATGCCGCTGTGGATAGAGTCCTCATCAACCATCTACAAGAAAACCTTCATCAGATTCGCCACTTGCTTTCTGGTAATGAGGGCGTCATCAGCATCTAATCGAGCCAGATAATAATGAGGAAAACCCTTCAAAGCAACCACAGCATCAAGGCGCGATCTTCAAAGGGTACTTACATGGGTCATAATCAGGCCGTCCTTGGGCTACCAGTCGACTATAATGCTCTCCCAGTGTAATGGTCCCATACTGTTCCGCAGGCTCCGTAGTCAGCATGTCTTCGACAGCATAGTAGTTGCCAATGCGCCCTGTTTCAGCTGCGTCCGCCAAGGATTCTGACTGGAAAACATCGGCCAAAAACTGTAGTGAATTGATCAGGACATCAAACAACCAAATGGGAGCAGTGACGTATTCCGCTTGTCGTCCGACTAAATCAAAGATCATTTGGCCTTGCATCTTCATGGTGATGGGGTCATCAGGACCGCCGACGTTGAGAATCCTGTTTTGTCGAGTCTTGTCCGAAATGCATTCAATCATGTACCTTGCCAAATCTGATTCGGCAATGGGATTGCACTTTGTTACTATCGTACGCAATCAGTGATACAAGCATTTGCATAGATTAGTGGGTAGTTCCATAACATGTGCAACACCCAAAACGAGTCGCGTACCTTCACCATCTCCAAACATGACGTACGGAGCCTCATCATACGCCACCACCTCTGATTGGGAAGCGCAATGAAGAATTCAGGGCAGATTGGCACAGATAAGAGAATACTTAGCCAGCAACAAGACCATCAGTGGTTTCTGTGCTTTTCGACGTACCAATTTGGCTCGAAACAGACTTGAAGTAGGCCGTGGGTCGAACAATTGACCAGGTGAGATCCTTCTGAGAGGTCAGCTTGTCTTCAAACTTGAGTTTTGCTTGTTGGAATTTGAGCTTGGGGTTGCGGAGACAAAAGGCGGAAAGAAGCACGAAATGCCTTGCTCCTGCAGTAGTTCCTCCTTGAAGGCAGTTGAGAGTTGCTTGGTAGTCAATGGCGTAGGCATCCTTTTCGATTCCTGTGCGTGATGCCAGGCAGGAAATGACAGCTTCAAGCGACTTAGAGGGTGCCGTTGCCGCAATCTCTTGGAGCGTCTATTGTGATCATCGGAAAACAGGAGAGAAAAAATGTCGGGATGAGATATTACGTTATGCTGTGCCACAAACTAGCTAGCAATGGTATCTAGCTAGTATTCTGATTGTGCCAACCTAGCTTGGTAGCTAGCCATGCTCTACACTGGCAGGTATGAAGAGCGCTGAACTCACCTGATTGACTTCTAGCGGATTGGTGACATCACATTGCAAGACTGTGGCTCCCCGGAAGACTTCTTCGTATTGTGTAGTCCGAATCTTCTCAATGTCTCGTACGAGGGCTACCGTATGGAAGCCTTGTTTTACACTCTCCTTGACGACTGATTGGCCAATATACCCAGAGGCTCCCGCAATCACGTTGGTCTTGGCTGTGGCGGCTCTCATGGTCAGAGGCACCGAGAACGCCTCTGCTACCGGCACGGGCAAACCCAGACTTATAATTGATCCATGAGGACTCATACTCATTCGCGTCCAAAGCAGCGACCAAGTTGCAACAGTCAAGAACGCTTGAGCCATCACTCCTAAGCTGCAGTATGCGGATGTCATTGTCATATTTCTCCTCTTGATAGCGAGTTTCTTGCTGCTTTCCAGAAAGGGGTTGCTTTTAAGCTTCAAGATCTTGGGATTGAAGGATAAGGTATAAATTCTGAAAAGAGCCAAGTTACCACAAGTCCATTCCAGCGCTGATCCTTGGTCTAGTGCTGTCTCGTTGTTCTATGTAAAGGAAAGGAGTTGGCTTGGAACGTCCGAAAAACGTGAAGAGGCAACAAACAAGCCGTTGATGGGCGACGTTCGTTGTGGTTGCAGGCCGAAGATACGCAACTGAGCACTTCAATTTACGGCCCGGGTGGGGAACAGAATGACGTCAAATCGGTTTGATTCGATTCGATCGATTGCATTCGATTCAATTTGAACTTTCATCATTCGATTCGAATCGATCATTCTTGTGAAGATAGGTGTACTGTATCCAATCGATTCGATTCGATTCGATTCATTCGAATTGCCTCTTTGGAATGATTGAATCGATTGAATCATTCATGCAAAAGGATCCAGGTACCAGTGGGAGGCCAGCAGAGCCTTGTTTGTCATTGGATTGATATAGATCATAGCAACATTGTAGAAAAGACCCTTCACCAGAATTCATAGTGGAGAGGGAGATGAAAGGTGACCTGAGTTAGTTGGGTCGAGTTGAATTGGATCTGCATCATGTTGAAGGACGATCACAAAATCTTGCTGTGACACTTGTTGATTGACAATAATCCTTGTCTCCCCTCACTCTCCTATTGCAAAGTATGGAAAGGTGGAGTAGAAAGGCAAAGTGAGATGGATACACCAGCCAGACAGATTTTTAAATAGATGTACAAGAGCAAGAGTGACGAGTCATCTCACCTCCTTTCATCTGGTAGTGGTACCGATCGATAGTACGGGTAGTAAAGTGTTTTGTAGGTGGTGTGCAAATAGCGGTGGAAGCCAAACGGTGGGCCCAAAGATCCGCGGCCATGGACTGTCTTCTGGTCTTGTACAGTATGCATGATGAATCGAATAGATCTTGGATGCTCCAGCAGAGAGGATTGATAGAGACGAATGCAACGGAGAACCAAAGCAACATCTAGATGTTGTTTGGCAGTTTTACGAAACCCGTGGCTGAATATCAACTCGTGGAACAGTATTAGCTTCCACAAATGCTGCAATGGTTCTTCTCTCCCCTCTGACTGTCACTTGGCTAGATCACGATCACGATCAACATCAACTAGACCGTCACTCTATTGGAGGGAGATGAAAGGTGAATTGAGTGACGAGTAGAGTCAGTTGGATCTGCATCATGTTGATGGGACGATAGCAAAAGATACAGAACTGGTACCAGGTACCTCAAATACCGTCAACTCACTCAACGTTGGTTTATCATTGGAAACGGTAGGGGCCCAAACGGTACTATTATACTGTAGTACATGATACATGTACGGCCAAACGGTGGAGCAAAATACCATTGTAGTCTAGGTGGTGCCAGTAGATCTACCGGTATGATAGTAGGTGGTGTGTACATGTACTAGTACATAACGGTGGAAGCCAACGGTGGGGACCAACCATCGCGGCCAAATAATGGTACCGGTAGCGGCCAAACGGTGGAGCCCAAACGGTCGAGCCAAAGAAATGAATTCATGAAGTGAGACCGATTGCTTTGAGCCAAGCCAAGCCAAGCCACACCGGCAGGGTATTTTTTTTAAAGTTCAAAACACCGCATGTACATTGTACATGTATGTAGACTGCAATGTTGCCGCCAGCCACCAAAAAGAAGACAGGATCCTCATCAGGATCGTCGGGACGTGGTGGACCTGGTACGTGTATGGATTCGATTCGATTCGATTCTTTGATTTTGTGAGGCTGGCAAGCCACACAGGCAAGGTCCGGGGCAGTTATCTTTGGTCCCTTCAAAAGTTTAAAAACACCTGCGACCCAGCCGAGCACACATTGCTACAACGTACTCCGGCGATTACGGTACCGGTACATGTATGACCATACTAGGTCTAGTAAGTCGAATTCTATATTTTTCCAAGAGCAGTCCCTACCGATACTGTAACAAGGGGCTTGACCGCATGTTGGATGTTTGCCACCGTGATATTTTATTTTAAAATAAGATGATGTTACGATGTACCATACCTCCTCTTTAGATCTACTCTTTATCCTTACTGTTTACAGCGGATACTAGACTACTCTTGAAAAAGTCTTTTGAAGAATCAAGTCTCCAACATGACAGGCTCCTCTTGTTTGGTTATTGGTTATGCTGGAACTGTGGCAGCGAGCTTCTTACGTTCGATTGAACCGGTTGACTCTTCTTCCAATCCATTCCGTTCGACGCACTACTGTTTGACGCACTACAGCTGTAGACTACTTCTTCGGAACAGCGGCAGTTTTTCTTGCAAGGGCATCCATACTCCGTGTAAACATCGAATCTCCATTCGCGCCAATTCTTTGAAAATAAGCGCCAGGTGTGCTTACCAGACCACAACTATGCATCACTGCATGCCCTCCTCACCCCAGTTGCAGTTGCATAAAGCGAAAGCTACCACTACTACTAGTAGTACTAAAGAGGAGTCAGAAAAGGTAGTAAGCTTAGGCAAAGAAGAGTGGAAACCACAGCTATCACAACTGTTTCTACCGTAGTTTTAACAGGAATCTATAGCTCGCTTGCTACCGCTACCGCAACTCTAGCTATTTTATTTTTAAAAAATAGAGTGGGGAAGTTATCTTCCGTACGGAATCCAGCTGCATCCAGCCCACAGCCAGATTGATCTGCCACCAAGCACTGCTGACTGCTCCCTTACCAGGTACCAGGTATTAGCTTACATGTACCATGAAACGAAAACGAAAACGAACGTATACTGAAGACAAAAAACAGGGAAGAAACCTTAGGCAGAAAAAGAAGAGACGGAACAAACGAAGAGCCAAAGCCATGCACCATGCCCTCCAAAACACACTAAAGTGTATGGGTAAAAACGAGTATGTTGCCTTCAACGCAGACAGATCGTGCCCTGTAATGGAGAAAGAGAGAGAGTGTAAATGGTGCGATCACCGAGCCAGTGAAGGGGCCAAAAAGGACTGTTTTGTGTGTGGACCAGTTAGTCTGCAGAAGCGAAGTCATGGCATCAAAGACCTCGAATTCAAACCGACTCTTCATTACAAGAATGTTGACACTGACAAAGGTTGCCATTTTGTCCAATGCGCTTCTTGCAAAATCTTCCAATGCATGCGTTGCTATTCTGGATTTATGGAAGCAATGAAACAGAGCAAGGACGGAATCCACGACGACACGGTGGCACGGAGTGTCAAAGTTTTGACGGTTGACTTGCCCCAGCTACTGAAAGACAAACCCAATCAGCAGCACATCATTCAAATTGAGCCCCATTTAATGACATGCTGTACTCAGAAGAAGAAGTTTTCAGCATTCTTCAAAGAGAGTAAATGCCTCAGAGGTAGTGAGACCGAATGGGAACTAAAACTATTGGGCCCGGACACCAACAACCAACAGACCGAAACACATCGAGAAACATGTCGAAACCAAGAGAGCACGGAACATGCCGAACCGGTTCCTCCCACGATGGGATACATGGTGATGGAAGAAGGAATCGCCATTGCTCCCGACTTTACATGCACGCATCTACATGCCTTGGCAGGAAAGCATGCCTGTGGACACTTGGTAATCAACCACCGCGAAGCCCTGCGACTCAACGAGGAAAAGCTCTCTTTTGAAGGCAAATTAACCGAGGCCGCATGTGTACGCACGCAAACATTGAAGATTCTCATGCCAGGTACAGGGCCAAGGGGGGAACGTGAAATGAAAACAAAAGTTCAGGTAGTGGTTTTGAACAAGCCCAAAACACCAATTCACTTGACAAAGGGTTCAATGACGCTTGAAGGGTTGAAGCCCATGGCTGTTAAATCTATAGTCTGCTTTGACTCCGAGTACTCAACAAAATTGAAGAACGAAGGCGTGGATGTCTTGGCTGTGTTTTCGTCCAGTGGAATGCTTCTCTTTGGAGGATTGTTTGGTGATGCCTTTGACACCAAACGGTTCAAAAAAGGTGATCACGGCAGTGGAATCTTCTTGGATCTGTGGAGTTGCCTTTCAGGTTCAAAGAAACATGAGAAAAAGCGAACAGGTGGGGCCAATGGATTGGCTAAGGAGCACATGTTAGATGTTATCTACATGATGGGCAATCCAGGAGTGACTGGCGGTCGGGAGAAAAGGGCAGTGGCTCACACCATCATGGGTACGGAAGTCAAGGTCAGTTACTTCAGTACGAAACAGCATAAGATGGTACACTTCAAGTATAGTGTTGCCAAGCCAGGTGGGCAATTGGTGCTCACACAAAATCAGTATCAAGGCCTTCAGGAAAACACAAAGGGTTGGGTCAAACAGTTTGTCTTGAACAAGGCATTCACGGCGGAGTTGTTAAGGTCACTGAATACAAGTGAAGAATTTAAGAGATTGCTTGGTTCTGGTGTGTCGTTTGCTCGTGATGTACAGAATGTCCAATCTGCATGCAACGATGCCGCTGGTAGATATGCAGCCAAGCAAAAGGGCGAGGGTCGGCTTGAGCCCCTGCAGGACTTGTTTGTGGAATATCTTGCCCGCAGTTGCATATTTACAATTCTGGCTCACCCTGTTGGCTGGCATAAGGACCGCGCAGGCCATCAAGTGAATGGGCACAAAGTTTTTGTGGAGAACAAGGAATTGTTTGTTCTAACCGACCCTCCTCCTGTTTTTGGACGCTATGGTCGTGGTGGTTGTCCAAGTGGAGGCTGCGTTGGGGCCATCATTGACCACACATGGCTGCAAGTATTGGAGGCAGTTGCCAATGACGAGGGTCTTGCTTGAAGCATAGGACTACTAGTAAAGTAAATCGACTTTTTAACGACACAATGTATTCTAGCCTACAAATTCCTCATAATATCACTAGATCTAGCGTGGTAGCTACTAGTAGTGGGTCATCCTGCGATTTGATTTCCGGGCCTGCCGTCCCCAATCGGTGTTCTTGGATCTTTGCCTGCCTCTAGGAGATCATCGTGCTCCGTGACGACAATCGTATGCAGCCACCCCCTGTGAATTGATTTTATCCGTGCATGCTCGTTGTCCAGCAAAAGTGAATCGGCCCAAAAGGGTGTAAAGACGCCATATTCTCTCAATTCTGGATCGGCCCAGAGGTGGAATTGCAAGACCTGTCGTCCATCCCTTCCAACAATAGTGGTCCGATCGAAGTGTGCCTCGAATTGTCGACAGGGCATGTCAATAATGCCAGAGGGGACCACACAGACGGGTTCAAAGAGGATTTGAGTGGCATCATCCGTGCAGATGCCGACGGCATAGACACTTCCATCTTCCATCAACATGGCCGTGTGGTGTGAACCACAAGCAATCTGAATGACTTGTAGATTGGGAGGGAGTCCTTTGACTGGAGTGGGCGCCCGTGAATCGGACGCAAGTTTTCCTTGTCTTTGATCGGATCGCATGGGTGGTAGTACATTTTTCCCCCAGACAAAGACTTGGTTGGTACTCTCTGTCAATGCTGCGCCGTGCTGAAATCCTGATGCTATTTGGACGACTCGAGGAAAGAAGAACCAATCAGGTCGTTCTTCCGAGTCTAGCTCGTATGCCTTTTTTACATGCCGTGCATAATCAACCTGTGATCCATCTTGTGCTGCTTCACTGGCATCTGCTTGTCCTAATTGGCAGCGTTCTGCCTTGCCCCAGGAATATAGGTTTCCCTGACTGCAGAGAGCATACCCGTGTTGCAAGCCGAGTGCAACTTGTGAGACGGGAAAGGCTTGATAAAGGTATTCTCGTCCATGGGTAGCATAATCATCACTGAGGCCCATGACTTGTTGTGGAACCCATACATTGTTTGAGGAATATCCAATGCCACACTGTCCTCGATTGTTGAGTCCCATGGTATATAGGGTGCCCCCCACTTGGCCTAGAACAGCAGTGAGTCCGGCACTGGCCACCACGGATAGAGGAGCATCATAATTGGGCATTTCGACTTCTTCCAATTCACTGAGAATGGAGTATGTTTTTGCCAATTCCCATAATCTCATGGTTGGATCTTGCTCAATTTGTCTTTGTGTTTGTTCATTGAGTGCCCACTGTATGAATCTGCCAGCCAAGGCAGTGACGTTGATAGATCGTTCGTCTTCCTTGTAAGAATGTGAATAGTGGACTGCTTTGTGTCTGAGCCAAGCTGGAAATCGATTGAGTCTGAGAATCGCTTGCAAATCATGCGGTCTTCCACACATGAGCAGTCTCTGACGTCCATTGGACTCATTGGTCACCAGCGCTGTGTGGCCCCAACCAGCTGCAGCCGACAAGACATCCCCTTTGTACAGCAAGGTTGGAGGATCTGGATCTTCTTCGTCGTCATGCCCTTTGATGTGATCGTCAAATCGACCCGTTCCCAAGGCACCCGTCCAACCATGGCCCATGGCGTACACGGACATCCCACGGGATACAGATACAGATACACATACAGATACCCATGGTACTTTCTTGCTGGAAGAAAATCGGCCAAAGTGCTGCAGTACGGATAAGGAAATCATCTTTCTGAGCTTCTGACTAGTCTATGTACCTGCCAGTGTACTAGTATGGGTGGTGGATTGACTCTTTGCTAAAGACATAGAGTTGACCGTCGATCAGGGCATCGCTCCTGTGAAACTTTGAAGAGATCGTTGGTCTTTATTTTTCTCTCAGTGGATTTTAGTGGTCTCGAGGCGTTGGCCTTCAAAACCGAAAGAAGGATCTTCGGAAAAGATATTATCGCCAGCGATCCCCCACAATCATCAGCAGCAAAACCACGGTTGTCCTTTCCACGATGATACCATGATGGCCTCAAGGTAGCTACAGTAGCTAGCTAGAAACAACGCTGCCATGGTTGCCATTGCGGAAGGCCCAGTCTCGTCTGTACCGTATTCGTCGCAACAGTGGAGAAACATCTAGCAAGTGTGTTTTTTTAATTAAATTATGTATCCCAACTACAGACGGAGTGACAGTCGCTCGAGTCGGGTAGTTGTACCAGGTACAAAACACTTCACTCGCTCCAAAAGTACTGCCAGCCAGGGAGCGATGCTTAGTCAGTGCCTCGTAGAAGTCTTTGTCGGAATGGATCATCAGGATTCTGGGCGTTTCTTGGGCGACCGTTTGCGCGCCCTCCACCGCCTCCTCCTCCACCACCTCCATTGTTTCCTCCTCCTCCATTTCCTCCTCCTCCGTTGCCACCGTTACCTCCTCCTCCATTGCCACCTCCTCCGTTTCCTCCATTGCCTCCGTTGCCTCCTCCACCGCCTCCTCCATTACCGCCGTTTCCTCCACCTCCACCACCGCCGCCGCCGCCACCTCCATTCGGTGCGATTAGAGTGATTCCTTCGGGCCAATTGTCAGGCTCGTCCAATGTGGTTCTAAGAAGCAGCAGAACGCGTAATTTTCGGTTGAGCTTGGTCTTCATCCACGGAAAAGGCAACTGCATTCACCATGATGGACAGAACGCAAATGCAAGAATGACTTACAAAGTGGCGCCGTTCTTGACACGGGTCAACAACTTTCCATAGGCCAGAGCAAACTCCTCGAGAAAAGCTCCGTTGTTGCCATTCTGATAATCACTGACGACATCATGGGTTGCCGATCCAACGCGTTCAGGGAAGCAATCGGCAAACACACGGCCGTTTGCACACTGTTGCGGGGGATTTGGAGGGATTTCCACACGTCCATCAGACTGCACAAAGTCGTCCAAGTTGAAAAAGAGATTCATATCCACGTTCAACACTGATACAAGGGGAAAAAGACGTCCCAAGCAAATACAGGTTAGGTTAGGTTAGCTCGATCGTTTGGAAAGCAAACTTGCATGGACTCTCCAGTTGTGCCAATGGTGAAACCACTTACTTAGATCAGCACATCCTTGTGGGCGATCACAACCCCAGACCCACTGATATTTTCCATTGTTTAGTTCGATCTGTTCCCACTGTTGAGGACCAGGTGGGTCCACCATGCGTTCGTAGTAGTCAGTATTGAATGTATCCTCGCTGTTTGTCCAGTCATTCATGAACCCAGAGTTTTGGGTTTCCGCACCACCCTGCGACGAAGAAGCAACGGTAAGCAACGAAGTTGTGTGGTGAGAATGGCTCAGATACAGTACTATCCGTGGCATGGAATGCCAAGCACTCTCCACAACTTACCAGTGTATGGGCACCCATGATGACTCCAGTCTCCCTCTCACTAAAACCAAAGTGAGTGTCGAAATATTGAAGAACAGCCCCGTGGAATCCGCTCCCCTCGGGACTATTGGGCGGGATGTCTTCATCGTTGACAGAGGGTGTCTCGGTAGGATCAATCCGACCAACACTCAATGGTACCCACGGAGGGTTGCTGTTTGGTGGAATCGTCATCAAGAAGCCAGCCACATAGGTGAATGCAAAAAAGTCAGATCGCGACATCCCACTGAGGGTCGCCTGGTTGTCAGACCACAGATCATCAACCGTGGAGTGCAACCCTCGGAGACCGTTGTGCTCGTTGGTGCCAGGAGCCAATTCACCATCGATGCCTCCCATACCGTCACTATAGTCGTGTGGAGGAGACGTTTAAAAGTTAGAACTGGAACAAATCACAACCAACCTGCCAGGCAGGCAATGACAGGCATAACATTGACATAGAACTCGACTCACTGGAAAGCCATGCGAACCAGGGTTTTGGCGTCGTCCTGATCAATGTTGTCTAGAATCAGATCGTAGACAGTGAAGAAGTCGTCCGTCGTTTGGGCCGCCGCCATGGGAGCAGAGTACAAGGCTAACCAGCCAGCTAGAATGACACCACTAATTTTCATGTTTGATGCTTGGATGATGATTGTATCTATTTGTTCAACTTTCTCGAAATTGTGAGCTCAGTTTGGGCTCCTCTGATCGAGGAAAGATGTTTCATTCTTGTCAATTTGTTGGTTGACACCGCCTAAGAAACGGTCAAGAAGAAGGCATTTGCTTGTGTCAGTATTTAAGAGACAGATCTCTTTTTGAAGCAATGGTCATTTCAAGACTACCGTACCGCTATCCCTGAACGCTCGCCAAAGGAGGACTTTTCTCTGATCTTTCCCAGAGGTAGCATCAACATTTAGGGTGGCCAACATAGCAGTTCGTACCGTCCCCACGAGACGAGTGATTGATTGGGTTAGGTAACGTCGCTTGGGGTAGCCCAGAGTGGTGATGGTTACCAGTACTTGGCCACATGCATTTGCCGCGAGGGTCTTGTCAAATGACTCTGTAGACTCACTCAAATGCATAACCATAAAGTTTGGCGGGGTGGTAGGCAACTGCGCCTCTCATCGTACCGGTACCGTAGCTAGTTCAGGGTGCACAACGAGCTCTGCACCCTATTCTTGTTTCGGAGTGGTATTTGACATGGGAGCTGTGTTGCTTGGCTGCCTGAATGTACCCATAGCTCTGGGCCGGGGCGTTCTCATTGGGACCCATGATCGAGTTTGACTTAGCTTTGCTTGGTACACGGGGCCGCTGCCCTCTCGTTGCTCGGTACATACTGTACCGCTCGAGCATTGAATCTCAAGCCTTTAGCCCGCTATCAATTGCGCTCCAACTTTGAAGAAGCAGCCGTTCTGGGTGGTCTACCTATCTTGCAAAACAGCGCTATGGTTCTGCCAATGATGGACCGGAAAAGCAGGACTAAATGCACGGCTTCAAGCCTTCGGCTAGCTATAGTAGCTATAGTAGCTACAGGGAGATATATAGTGAATCGCTTCGCGATTCCCTTCGGGCGACCGACTCCTACCTTCTTCGGTCGGAAGTGTGCAAGCATGTGTCTGGGGCAAAGCTGGTTGGTTGTTGGCTGTCTTCTAAGCTTGCGGAGGATCCCGGGTGTAGCCTTTGACACCTGGTCTCCTATTGAGTATAGGTGTGTGCAATATGCTTGCTGTTTTCCTGTTCATTGTTCTTTGTATCATTGCTTGTCTACGTGCCCTTATGCCCTTATGGCTTCCCAGTCAGCCTTGAACTGAACTGGTAGGAGCATGTTTCGTCCGAAGATCAGCTCAGCCGGTGTTGCCTCCAAGGTAGTATGGTAGGTACTCCTTATGGCATAGGCAGCAGCAGATAGGAAGGAGGGCCAAGGGTCATAGCCGCCTATAGTTCCTCTTCTTCCAATTCAAAAGTCCTCAGCATATTTCCTAGGACTTGGTGAACCCGTTCTACAATGCCATTGGCTTGGGGGTTGTACGCGGAACTAGGCATCTTATTATAGTCAGGCCATAGTTCTCGACCCTTAGAGGGGACCTATCTTGGTGTCAGGACCTATCTCACAACTATTGCAAAGCCCGGAGGCAAGGCAACATGGTTAGAACCTCCGTTTCTTTTTCTTTGGTGCACTGGCATCATCATTGTTGCGCTTGCCGTTCTTGGTCTTGTTGCGTTTTTTGTTACGTTTGCTGATGTGACCCTGAGATCCACTTGTAGGCATGGCCCGGTTGCTCTTCTCGCTGCCTGCAGCTTTTCCGCCCATCGAGTCGTGGTCGTTGTCCCTTGTCGTCGCAACGGGAGGTTTGGCAAGTCCACTACTGCTTTGACGACTGTCCTGGTTGTCGCTGTAGCAGTAGGACGTCCTTCCAGCAGCCATGAGTTGATCGACGACGGGACGCAAGTCTTGCGGCAAGGGGGAAGAAGCCATAATTTCAATTTCGGTGGAGACTTGGTGGTTGTTGTTGCTGTTGCTGTCATTCTCGTATTGTACGGGCCATGGCAATGGTCGATATCGGGGATCGACCGTGGTAAAGACGTGATCCTTTTCTCTCTTTTGCCACTGCAATCGCAACGTGGCCCGTTCCCGCAGCAGTTCTGCCAAGGGTTCGTAAAGCAGTTGCAATGCATTGCTGTTCGTATTTGTCGTTGTTGTACCGGATTGTCGTGCCAGCAACTCTTGAACGGTGGCGAAGGCTTTTCGCTGTTTGTCGCGTTGTTTTCGGCTTATTGTGGGGGCATTGTTATTGTTGGGTTGTGCTTGTGCTTGCGCTTGCGCTTGTGCTGCAGCCCATTGCAAGAGCTGGACGGTTTGTTGGGTGCGTGTTTCGAGTTGAGCCCAGTACTTCCACAACTGCTTCAGAGGAGGGCCCCAATTATTGTTGTGCCACAGCATGTCGTAATGGTGCTGTCCTTGAATGTAGAACTGTCGTAGCCATTCGGATTCAATGTACGTGAGACAAAGCTGTTCGGATCTCCAAATTTTGGGTCCTCGTTTGTGAAACCCTGCACAAATCTTGCGACACTGTTCGAGTGCTTCCTGTACGGTGTGACTCGGTCGCAACAGACGGTACGTACACGAATATCGAATGGACGACGACGACGACGACGACGACGGGGACGAATCTTGTGGTGGTTTTTGTTGCTTGAGGTTGTTTCGGGCTTTCTTTTTTGATTTTATTTCGTTTTCGTTTTCGCTTTCGTTTTGGTTGCTGTTTCGTAGGACGGCGTGTTGATGATGGTGGTTGAAATCATCGAGCATGTAATAGGCACTCCCGGAAGGAAGTGATAGACTGACTGCAGGAGTGGAATCATCGGGTGTGATTTTGTCGGCTTGAATATTGGGTCCTTCCGCATTGGGTACGACTCTAAGTGCCAGGGACCAGTCTTGTCGACCATTGCTGTCCTTGTGGATGTGTTGATTGTTTTGGTTGTTGGTAATGAGTTGGTACACAGCGATATTGGAGTAGTGTTCCAGGATGGAATCCGCATGCCATGCCACAGCAATTTTGTCGTGTTGCAGAGATGGTTCCAGTTTGTACTGTGGATTGCTGGCATCCATGCGATTAATGAGACAAATGTTGTAGTCTGGTCTGGATCGACTGATGTCCGTGTCATTGGCATTTGAATGGCCATTGGCATTAGCTTGTTTTCTTTTGTGCACCAGACTTTTCAGGTGTTGTTTTGTGCGTGGTACCAATATGTCGTCCTTGAAACGTTTGATCTCTTGACAGAGTTTGTCGTTGTCATTGTTTTTCTGATTGCTGTTGCTGTTCCAAGTATAAGCAAACATTCTCAAGCCCAAGTACTTGTAGGTAGTTCCAGTATCTCCCACAAGACATCTCGTCACAAAAGTCTTGGCACACTTGCTCCCCAAGCCAAATGGTTGAGTTATATCCGCTTGAAAGAAATTCCTATTTTCCATTTCCTCCAGAGTCTCTTGGAGTGGAAACTTGTCCAAATTGCCTTTTTTCTGCTCCAGTGGTACCGGTATATGTCTAGCTAGAGTAGAGGGATCATCAATGGCCAATCCCAAGTAACAGGTTTCCAAAGCTGCAGCAAAAGATTCCTGAAAAGGTGCTTCATGGCGCAGAAAATCATCCTTGGGAAAAGATAATCCTCTGGGAAAGGGTAGCACTTGGCCTTTGTTTAATTGAACAGGAGTACTGGTACTGGTATCAGTCTTCTTCTCGACTTTCTTTTGATTTCTCCTCTTCTGCTTATTAGGTTTGGTCTTGTCATTGGAGTGCCTCTTCATACTGCTATATGCATATGTCTTACATGTATCTGGATCTTCATGCAGTTTGAAAGAAACTCAGTTCAGTGGAGTGTCGGGCTTTGGCATCAACTTTTTGGACAAATCAATGATTGGTTCTCAGCCAGTCCCATTATTTTAATAAAAAGGGACTTGAAAGATTCTAGAGTGACTTCCCACCGAACCCATTCGATCTTTTCAGAAGATCGCTCCGGCAGAGTGAGTTCAGGTCTTATTAGCCGGTACAGCTGATTGAATTCATACCGGTACCGGTAGTGCGGCCGATCAATCATGAATCAAGCAGGTCTCAAAGCGGCTCCATTGGCTTTATATTTTCTCAATTGAATCAGAGTGACAGTCGAATCATTCGAATCGAATCTTCTTTGGATTTTCTCTTCCCTTCCGAAGGGTTCTTTGTTCTGTGGCAATGGCACCAACCACGAAGCCATTTGGGGAAACTGTACCCCCAAAGCCTTGACTTTTGGTCTTACTTGATAAGTGATTTGTTCAGTACCATATTATTTTAGAAGAGTTCCAGCCTTGCAAGGGAGGGTCGATGGCTGCATGGTTGGCATCAATTTTTTCTACATGTAGTAATTTGGTTCCCAGGATCCAGTCCCGCCCAATTGAAATCTTCGAAATTCCAAGATCTTTCCGATTCGATTCGATTCGATTCGATTCGATTCGATTCGACCGAGCCGAGTTCTTTGCGATCTTTGCGAAAGGAGCCAAACAGAACGCAGAACCCTCCCGATCTTTCAGAAGCACGAAGCACGAGACCACAGTCCACAGCTAGTAGCTACCGGTAGCCAGCCAAAGCAAGCAATAGCCATCAACCAACCCAACCTAACCTAACCTAACCTAACCTACCGATCTACCCTCCTGTTCTTACCAATCCTATCCCTTGCTCTTGGTCAGCATCATGTCTTGCTCAAAGCCCATCGCTACCGGTACCGCTAGTCCTGGTATGGATCCAGAAGACACCTTCCAGCTTCCAGCATTCCCTTGCAATTTGCCGCAATTCTCTCCACCTGATGAAGCAAGCCGGAAATCAGACTCAGCTCAAGCAGTGCCGCATGGAATTGGGAGAGCTTGTCCATGACAAAGACTTGTTCCCTCCCATCACCGTTGAGTCCTTCTTGGCTCAAGAAGTAGTTTGGACTGACAACGTCCTGCCATGCCTGGACTCCAAAGACAACGCGTCGCTGGCTCTCGTCAACAAGCAGACTCGTCACTCAGCAGAACTACAAGGAGTATTCGCCATTGGAAGCTGTTCTCCTCCATCCTAATATCAACAACAAGATCTTCTCCTATCTGGGAATGGGCCACTATGCCTTTGTGGGGCCTGTCAACAAACAGGTCAATCGGAAGTACAAGAGCTACTGCGACAGTGTGGAGAATCCTCCAACAGTTGCTCTGCCTGATGACTGCCTCTCAAGAGATCCAGCAACTGCCACCGACACCTATCTGAGTCTGGCTTTTGCCAATATGGCGTGTGTAGAATATTGGACGGTGGACCCCATTCATGCTCATTGGTCCCCTCATAAGCATCTGTGTGCATACGTTGCCCGGTACCGTATGGGACTGTTCCCATGATGCAATGGGCACTTGCAAATGGCTTCCAGTGGGACGACATGTCATCTTTCTTTGCTGCTGAGAAGGGCCGATTGGAGATGCTCCAGTGGCTCCATGAAAATGGGTGTCCCTGGAGTGAACTATCATGCTGTGCTGCTGCCGGATGTGGCCAAGTGGAATGTCTGAAGTGGCTGCATGAAAATGGCTGCCCGTGGGGGGAGCGGACTTGTGCTGATGCTGCTTGGTCGGGAAGTTTGAAATGTCTCAAGTACGCCCATGAGAATGGGTGTCCTTGGGATGTATGGACATGCCGTTATGCTGCCTGGGAAGGACATTTGGACTGTCTCAAGTATGCCCGTGACAATGGGTGTCCTTGGGGATTGAATGTTTTGGGTGTCGCTGCGGAACGTGGAAGTCTAGAGACTCTCAAGTATGCATACGAAAATGGATGCCCCTACAATAAAAAAGATATTCTGAAGTGCGCCAACTCGAAATACCCTGAGATTCAGGAGTGGGCAGAATTCGTGGGTCTGCTAGGAGAGCTGGATGCTTAAATATTTTCTAGGAATAATATAGTTTATCAAACTACTAGCTAGAGGACAATAGTATATCTTATCAAACTGGGATCTTGCAGTACTTCGCTACGTACCGGTAGCGTACCAGGTACATGCTCTTGTAATACCCACCTACCCTAGCCTTGCTGATTTCTGGCCACTAGAATCAGCGCATGACACTGTGTGCGAAGCATCTCACCAGAGTGTACACTGCATTGTCCCACCTACCGTAGTTGATTCCTGCCAATTCTCACTCTACGTGGCTAGCTGGTACTATCGGCCAAGTTAAGGAGTCCACATTAGACCAGCTACGGATTGCCGAAAATGAACAAAACGGGACCATGAACCCGGGCGGTGAGTCCAGGGCCAAGTAGTAGTCGGCGTGAGCTACTCTGGCTGATGGAACCGTCGGCGTAGTGGCGGATGTTGCTGTGGAAGGGGGGGGGGGCAGCAGTGATCCGATTCCATTCAATTCAGAGAAATGTGCAGCCTTGAGAGAAGGGCGGCCCCAGCCAGGAGTGGTGGATTGAGGCAACAGCCTTGCCTTGGCGGGAACTCAACCAGATGTGCAGTGGCCAACGCAACTCAACTTGAGCTTGCTTCGAGAGGATTTGCTTGCTTGGACCTTCTGCAACGAAAGGAACTACTAGCTAGCATATATATGCACTAGCTACTGTAGATGAGATCATGACGGACAAGCTTCATGTAGCTTGCGGTGCAAATGTCAAAGCTCAAACTACGAGTAGGAACAGCCTGAGGTGGGATTGAGTAAAACAGAACCGAACAGCTATCCAATCAGACGAAGTCTTGGGCACTGTACTCTACTCTAGCTAGTCTTTAGCTGTACCACGTACTGGAGGCTTGCTCTAGAGCTTCACATTGAACGGTGTAGGCGCCGATGACTTAAGATTGGTGGAGGGATAGGCCCTTGGCAGTGCTCCAGGCTCCATGCAGGTGGCCACTGTACGGTACCAATTCGAGTTCTGTTTTGATTCTGGAGCTGGCTCGCCATGGCAGGACATGACGGTACGGAAATATAAATGGCTGATGTATTAGTGGTACCGTACGAGTACCAGTAACTCAGTTCTAGGTAATAGTCTACAGTAGAGTCGTTTGTTTGTGTTTGTGCTTTTGTTTCTTTAGAATAATAATATATGAATGACACCTAAGTACTACCAATAGAAAAAAGACTTGGTTTGCCTGCCTGCCTGCCTGCCTGCCTGACTGGATTGGTCTTGTTTGTCGCTCCCCTGTGCTGTGCGTCATGTTTCTTACAGAGCACATGGCATGAGATCGTCAACATCGTAAAAGGAAGCCCCGGAAGAAGATGCGGTGCTGTGGTCATCATCTTGGTTGTTTGTGTCGTTGTTGTTGTTGTTGTCCGCAAACAAGAGTGGACCGGAAATGATACTTTCAAAGTTTTCTAGTTGTGGTTGTTGTTCGCGTTGCAATTGAGCAATGGCAGGCAAAAGAGAGGGAGCCGTGCAGGAAGAAGCCCTCATGATTTGTTCCAGAGAAGACAGAGGATTGGAAGTGTTGTTGAAAGCGTTGCTGTTGTTGGAATTGGAAGTGGCAGTGAACAACTCATGAAGACTGGTAGTAGAGCTGATGGGGGCACTAATGGCTCTTCTGGAGACAGCAGCTGGTTTACTGATACCGGTAGGCATAGTAGTAGTAGTATCTTCTTGTTCTGTACTAGTACCGGTACTAGAAGAGAGATCACTGCACTGAGAACGCTTGATGCGTCGCTGGGCAATTTTATTTTTGGAACTGGACTTGTATGCCGCTCCGGCGAGATCGCGAAAGAAAGTTCCGACTTTTTCTCGACTGGTCCGTTCGCTGCATTGCCACCAACGTCCATTTTCAAAGGCGACAAAGGCACCGACGGGACACGCATCCTTGAGCGTCTTCATGACGGTGGAAACCACAAACGACTTTTCGTGTTTGCTCTCGGCATTCAGGAATTCCTTGGCGTGCATCTTGCAAATCACGCGAAAGCGACGGTTGCCCACCGAGTTGAAATATGTGCGTTTGTTGCCGCAAATCACAGAGTATTCGCTCGGCTCAAAGTCCACTGGCAACAGTGTCTTGGTCTTGTCGGTACTAGACTTGACCTTTTTTACAGGAGCAGCTGCAGCGGCATTGCTATTAATAGTGGCATTGGTAGCATTGGCATTGGTAGCATTGGCCAAGTTCTCAGCAATAAAAGCCGAAGCACTGAACATGTCGTTGGTGCTGCTGGTGCTGGTGCTGGTGCCTGTGCTGGTGGATGTGACAGTGCTGGGGAGGTTCACTGGAATCTGATTGAAGAACATGATCTCTAGAGTTGTGTTGTTGCTTCTTGGCTAAAGGAGAGACTGTGGTTTTGTGGTTGTTTGTTTTGTGAGGCGTTTGGATGTCAAGCTGGATGATTTTGTGAGCAAACGAATGAGCTCCAAACTCCGATGGAAGAAGATCTATTCTTCACCGAGCTTTGCAGCTTCCTTTCCATCACTTTAGGCTGCCGTCGCTTCACAGCAGCAGCCTATTTGCCTATTTAGAAGGCCGAAACCGAACTTTTCACCCCCAAACGCTGCATACTGCGTTCCAACCAACAAAATGAGAAGTCTTCATAATGCACGGTACCAGCGAAAAAGCCTAACACACTGCTCACGGTACTCACCCAGAGCACAAACACACTTATGAAGCGAAGCCTCCATTTAACTTCTTGCAAAATTGAGTAAGTTCTATAAAACGGGATGAGCCTGGATCAAAAGAGATGATGATGAAACTCAAAGAATGATACAGTAGCAAGGCGTCACCTGCGATTAGGAAGAGGTTCGGATGAGATGGCTTTTCCGAGCCAAGTTAAACTATACAACACTGGATCAAAAACTTTGTAGAAAAGGGATTATACTGAATGAACCACGGTAAACCAGAAACCACGATGCTGGTTGTGGTCAAAGCATTCTTCCTCCTTGTTTCCTTCCTCGAGTTTTTGAGGAAACATTGAAATAGCATGATTTATTGGAAGTCCTTCAGGCTTTATACAATAAATCACAACTATTCTCTTCTATTTAACGTAAAAAGCCTAGGAGAAAGTGCGACCTAAACTTGAAGCGCTCTTGAAGCCACAACGCCACAACAAGTAAAGCCTGGCTATTGAAGGCTTACCACAGGCTCAATTTTTAGCCTTCCTTAGCAATTGCACAATACCGTGTAATCTTCGGGTTTACCATATTTACCAGCTGTTTACTAGCTAGACAGCTACTAGCTAGACTACGAGAACTGGCAAAAACGGTGCATTGGAAAGAGAACTGTAGAACTGTACCGAATTTGAATACACCTCACTCTCACGTGGTACCTGGTAGGCCTCGTAAAATTTAATACCACTGGTTCTTTCCTTGCTGTTTACCTTGAAGACTGTATCACCAGCTATTCACCCAAATGACGATTGTACATGTAGTGTCTTGAGACTTAGTGAATAGGCGCAACAGCAAGACCAGGAGATCTGTTCAATAATGCCTTGCAATTTTCCATTTTTCCCTGTGCTGCTACTGTACCTGGTATCAGGTCATAACTTACTTGGGTACCAGTACTCCTTCAGCTTGATGATGTTTTGGCCTGTTTGCTGTTTGCGTACCTCTAAGTCCAAAGGAGACCTTCAATGAAAAATGATTAGAGGCTGAGTTTGCGGGAAGACATCGAATAGAAGTAAGTCTAAGCCTACATGAAGTCTCTCGCTCTGGACATGCACTTCTCTTTTCTGCTTTTACTTAGTGAAAGAGCATCAAAACCGTGTTACTTTCGCGCTGCGTTTGGAGCACTGGCGACTCAGTTTCTGAGTACTGAATTCATTTAGTTAAGCTCATTCAAGTCGAGCTCTTCTACTGTATTCTCGTCAACTCTCTTTTCTCTTTTATTTAAAAGCTTCTCCCCTTTGCCCGTTCGCTTTCTACTCTGTGCTTTCCTTTTGCTGGTTAGCTTTTTTTAGGATAACAGAGAAACAGCATGCATCATGGAGGACGAGTACTTGTGGTACGTGTACCGTACGGTACCGGTACATGGCCCTGGAGATACCCAACAATCCCACAATTTTGAGGATCTGACTGACTGTTGGCTCTGCCTTCTTGCTGTCCATAACACAAAGAGCAACTGCGATCTTGAAGTACTCTTTCCGCACTGGGTTGTAGAAAAATATGGTGACCCCCAAGATCTCCTTATCGTTCGAATCCCAACCGTCGTGGCCAACCGTCATAAAGGGAACAGGTTTGCGGAACAGACGAAGATAGGCTTCGGAAGTTTCAGTGACAGCCATTTCCACCGCCGCAGAAAACTCAAACCATGTTTCTCGGCGCTTGGTACGAAGAGCATGACGTCCCATAAGACCACAGTTCTTGACCTTCTTGAGAGTTTCGGCATGGGCCATACCAAACTGCCACATTTTCAAGTACTCGGGACAATTGGTGTGATCTGTCACCGCGCGTTCAGAGATGTTGTTGTTAGTGTAGAATTCATTCTGCAGTTGCCTGAAAGTATCCAGTACCTTTCCAGACCCACCCTGACGGGCCATGTTGAGAACATTGATTTCCCCGGGTGGGCTCTTCAATCTTGGCTTTCGGCTTGCCGGAGTACTACCGGTACCCAGAAGAGTAGATACGGATTCATGGGAAGCAACGGCGGAAGCTGCGGCGGCCATAGCTGCTCGGGTTGGTCTTCCGGCAGCGGCAGGAACTCCTCGTGTAGGACCGGCAGGCTGGGGTGCCATGTCTCCCCATTTGTAGTGCTTTTTATGATGTTTGATGGCGGCATGAACTTCCTTGTGAACCTTGAAGACGTGACTCGATAGGTTCCCCGTTCCATCATAAACCATTTTCAAAGTCTTCTCCTTCTTCAAGTAGGACGGCATGAACAGACACTTGCGGAGAGGCTTCCCTTCGTCATCAATGCATGCCATGCAGGCCATGTAAGGACGTTTGTCTCCAATACTCTTCAACATCTTCTCTTTGGCCACCAAATCCAATTCGTCCAGCTCATCCCAACTATTGGGGTTCCGAATCAACACAACTCTAGCTATTTGCCAGAAAGGCGAACGGCCTTCACCTGAGGTAGTCTTGAAGTCATTGCGCAAGGGGAAAGTGAACAAAGACTTGGCTTGCGCATAGCTAGAAGTCAACTGCTCCCTATCTTGTTCAATAGGATCCTCATGTGGATCGTCATCATCGTCCTCGTCCTCTTGGAAGTCTTGGTCCTGCTCGTCCTCGTCCTCGTTCTCGGGCTGATCCTCAACCACATTGACTTCAACTACTTCGTCGACTGGGGGGCCGTATATGTCTTCTTCGTCGGAAGGCTCCTCTTCTTTTTCTTCTTCCAGGTCGTCGTTCAGGTTGCGTTGAACCAGTTGGCCTTCGACAAACTCGGCATCGGCTCGGTTTTCTTCGGAGAAGTGACCTGTGCTGTTCTCGCCATCGGCTATGCTCAGGGCGGCTCCAAAATCGTCCAATACCCTTGACTCGGACATTACGAAGCTAGCTTGGACGGTAGCTTGGACGGTGGCTAGCTAGCTAGCTTGAACAGTGGCTTGGACGGTATGTTGGACGGCAACCAAACGAGTAACCAGGTGGCTAGCTAGCTTGGACGATGGCTAGCTAGCTAGCTTGGACGGTGGCTTGGACGGTATGTTGGACGGCAACCAAACGAATAACCAGTAACCAAATGAGTAACCAAACGAGTAACCAAACGGACATAGGTTGCCCCTATTGGTTATTGGTTGGCGAATTTATGAGAGGAAACGGCAAGTTTCGAAATTCGAGTAACCGAATGGGTAACCAGTTCGATAACCGGTAACCGGTCGTAAAGTAACCGGTAACCGGTCCAAAAGTAACCAGTCGAAAACGACCCGGTTACCGGTTACCGGTTGAGTAACCGGTTATCGCGAGGTCCCGGTTGCCGGTTACCGGTTACGTAACCAAATCGAACAACCGGTAACCAAATGTCAAATAACCGGTAACCGAAAGAACTGGTTAGCGAACCCTGGTTCGCACTATTTGCAAGCTACTTTAGTGTATTAAAAGTTCCCACACAGTTATAAGTACAGTATGATGTAAAAGCTTTTAAGCTTTTAACTTTTGATGCCTCTTCGACTCCAACCACATTCTTTGGTACCGGTACGGTATGGATCATACCGTATACCGTAAAGTAATGCAAGAAGACAAGACTTGAAAAATAAGACTTGTACTGCTCGATTTTTTGTTGTTGGAAACGACGGCCGCCAGCTCCCTGAATGGAGGAGGAGTCGAGGAGGGAGGAGTGATGAGTAGTAGTCTACTAGAGCTATCATAGTACCGGTATCGTGCTGATTATTGCTTTGGCCATTGCGACATTCTCATCTTTGTCGGATAACTACTGCTGTAAATCATGTAAGGGTGGGAACGATTAATTAATTAAGGTTTGCCGAAGAGACTGAGAAACCCAGTAAAAACAGCTGTAAAAACCCAGTTCTCGTCACAATTTATTTTTTGATGGCTTGCAATTGAGGCCTTGAGGTGACTCAGTGGGTCAACGGTCGCTTCCTATCCAATCCTGAGCCGCTGAGCGCTTCAAACCAGCACAAATCCCAGTGCTTGCTTTGTTTGCAAAGCAACAGACTCTTTGGCAGCATAAGAAAGACGTGCGAACAACCACACCAACGATGTTCAGCTTTCAAAGTTCCAGTTCTTCCAGGGATGGATCCGCCACGACACCGAAGAGGTCGGGGGCAGGCAATCGAACGGGCAAAACGAAGAAGTCTCGCATGTCTTCACTCTTTAAGGGCGACAAGAGCAAGAAGGCCGAGAAATGCCTGGCTGAACCATGTGAGCTTTCCTTCGATGGCAAAGGAAGCTTGGAATCAATCCAAAGTATCATTTCTGCGATCACTCTTCCCGATGAACTCTTGGCTCCTGTTCCCGAAGCACCCCCCCAAACCAAGTTTGACAGTTTCTGCGCAGACTGCAAGCCTCGTCGACCTGCAAGAAGGATGAGCCATGGCTCAAATGTTTGAGAGCAAGCGTCGAAGGTCTACGCGAAGGACGGAGCTACGCAGTCGCAGGATTGATTGGCTCCACACTACATACGGGAACATCCGGTATATTCTGTACTCATACATACATCTTTTTTACATAACCAGCAAGAGTTAAAAGAAGGTACTTAGGTCTTATTAGAGGCAAATCATTGATTCACCACACTCGTTGAAAGATTGGCGGTGCAAGGTGCAATAAGCGCACGGTATCACTACGGGGCAGAATGCATTGGAAGTGCCCAGATACAAGCAAGGCGGTATCAGCAGCACTGGGAATCATCCCGCACTGCGTGCCACTGCCGGGGCCATCCGCACTCTAGAGATGACATGAAAGTAGTTCTATCTCCAGGCTACGGTCTAGAGATGGCACGGACATGGGGTGCTGGAATTGGGTGCAGTAATGAGATGAGCAAAAAGCAGCTTTACAGGACCAACCCAACACTTGCTGGGGCTTTAATACATGTCCCTGAACTGAGCGGGCAAGGGGTTCGCTTTGAAAACGGTGACCACCGTTTATCTTCCTGCTTTTTATCACAGCAACGAGAGGATCCTTGGAGCCCCCCGGTGGCTCGTTCTGACAGCAGGTATTGACAAGGAGCGAGGTCACTGCACACAGAGGAAGCATACCGGTATCAGAATGCCACTTGGGGGTCACTTCAAACGAGGGTCCAGGAGGCATGGGGAAAGTTGAGAAGATCAAACTCACCCAAGGAGGCCATATACATGTACGTGCGAGAAGAAGCTGCCGCAGACTAGACTGGTCGAAGGACGAAGCCAAACAAAACATGTAACGCCCTGAACTGATTAGACAACGACCTTTTGGCTTGCATTGCATGGGCGCCCTAGGTTTTACTTTGGCATAGCTTGCCTCGCCCTTGGACCTGCTACCGTATACTAATGCATAAAAGTATACTAGTACTCTTGCTCGGTCACACAGCCAACACGGCAAGGATGGGGAATCAATAGGTTTGTGGGTCTGACTTAGTTCCTCTGGCCATTTGGCTGCGTGGCCTATGCATACCGTACGGTAGAGGCGCGGTGTCATGATACAGTATGTTGATTGATACGGTACCAGTTTGACGATGGCATAACACAGCGGCCCTCACTCACTCCAAAGGCTTGTCACCTACATGTAAGTCCAACTGTCCAGTAAGTAGTTGTTGTAATCTCGGTAGTGGGACACGAAGCGTCCTCTTAAGCAAAAAGGGTACCGCGCGCGTTGACATGTAGACCTCGCAACACAAGCGCAAGGGAATCGAATCTACCCAAGGGCTGGAAGAAACGCATCTACCCAGGAACGACGGGCCATCAACATAGGATCGCTACTACCAATGCATTTCCACGGCGAGAGATATACCGGTACGATGCATGCAGCAATGGTGGCTCATGTTTTCCCCGGTCTGATAGCAATCGACTCGACTCGACTCAGACAACCAGGAAGTAAAAGCACATGCTGCATCCTGCCCATACGATACTAGCTAATACTAGTAGCTTCGTTTGACCTGGTACATCCTGGTTGGTTGGTTCATGGAGTTGGGAGTTGCAAAAGCTTGGTTTGCATCTGAAAAATGTGAAGGACAAAGCGTTTTACACACCGGACAATAAGAATTGCTCGTAGAATGCCAATCAATTAATGTCGCGATGCCTCAGTTAAGATATAAAGAGCACCAAGGGCTTAGCAACGGAACAAAGTGACCGGATCAACTATTCTTGGAGATTATGTGACCGGAACGTGATTCTTGGTACTACGTTGGTAGTACCATTAGCAGTACCCCCTGCAAACGTGCAATGGAGGGGCTTAAATTGATTTTTCTCATATCAATCAATTGGCAGCAGCACAACAGCCTCTCCCTCCATCCTCCATCGATCAGCAGCGACCGAACATAGTTCACACAAGGAGAAGACCGCAACAGACAACCCTTCCAGAGTGGTGCACATCGATCGATCGATTGATTGAGAATGACGAGTCAAGACACAACCCAGACGACAGCCGTTGTGAGGACGAGCACGGTCAATTCTAGTATGTTTGAACCCCGGGAACTCGACATTCTGGTGGGCAAAGAGACACGGGCTCGGAATCACAAGGGATCTCGTTGCTTCCGTCTGTTTGTGGAATCGTACCGTCGTCGGTATCAAGATGCCAAGAACAAGCACAAACGAGCCTCGATTACACGAGAAATGTACGATACGATCACACAAGCATCGATTCGCTTTTTGAAATTCAACGACGAACGCAAGGGATGGGAAGAAATCACGTCGACCGAAGCACGCGACAAGATCACGCACGCTTTGCGGTTTGCTCAAAAGAAGCGACGACGCAAGACACCCCAACGACAAGGCTCCGATTCCACGCATCGCTCGGAGACTTCCACGACATCGGCCACGTCGTTGGACTTGGACCAACTCTTACTGCAGCAACAACAACACTTGACCAGTCCGGCGGCTGCCTTGACCAGTTCGGCTGCATTGACCAGTCTCTCCCATATGAACGCCAGTCTACGCGCCTGCCGAAATCGATCTTCCTTTTCGTCCGTCGGATCCGCCTCCTTGCTCTCCAATGGCTCCAAAGACTCCAAGTCGAGCAAAAAATCCAATCCACGTGTTTCCTTTTCCGTCGTGACGGAATCCACCATTTATTCCGCCGATCTGTCGGCCAGTGCCACCACGGCCGAGACTGCATCGGTCGATCCTTGCGTGCCGCTGCCCGTTGATTTGTCCTCGACGCAACATTTTGACATGCACACATCGCAGGCCAGTTTGGGAGGAGACGAATTGGTCGATAAACCACCAAGGATGCCTTCGCGACCCACGGAAGAAGAGGAAGAAGAATTACAACTGCAACAGCAACACCACCACCAGCAACAACAATCCACACATCAACAAGACAATTGGGGGGAAGACGATGTCCTCAAAAGTGCCGGTATTGATACATTGATGAATTCCAGTGCCAATGGATTTGATTTGTTGGATCCGTTAATGGAAATTGACCACGAACGAGGACCCGATAGTAGCAGCAATTCCAGCAAAGAAACGCAATTGGACGAAGACGACGACGACGACGAAGAGATTCCAACCACATCGGAACTGCCCAATATGGAATTGTTGGATGGCATTGACGATGATTTGGCCAACATGCATCTGGCCAGCACACAACAAGAAGAGGCCGCCACCACCGCTACTTTTGGATCCAATTTTGGCACTGCCCAAGCACCACTGTTTGTGGGACCCACCAACCTATTTGGTGGTCCTACTAGCGTGAATCCGGTGGGGTATGCATCGGGGAATCCGTTTCCCGGTGTGGGTCTGTGTGCTAGTAGCCAGGGAAGTGCTGGTGCACAGCAACAACCTCAGGCGATGGAGGGCGCTCCCAATGGTACTGGTGAAGATTATTCACTAAAACTCATGCAAGAGCCCTTGTTGGAATGGTGGAAACCAGATGGAACATCCTAGTACTAACTTAGTTACTTACTTGATGGATGGATGAAAAAGTTTGGAAGCAAAAGCAATACAAAAGAATACCGCAAGTTTGGCATCAACAGCAATGCAGTTTAAAAGGGGAGAGTCGAGGGTAGGAATAGCATTCTAGAAAGCTGCTGCAGTAGCTCGCAAACACGCAATAGAATTTTTGCTCTGACAATCATACGGCACCGCTTGATGCACAACCCATGTAGCTAGCAAGTACGAGAGACACCCAGCTCTTGAGGCGGCCCCTTTCTACATCTAGCATGTCTGGGGCGAGACCTGGTCTCGGGAGGCGAAACGCAACGAACGGAAAACCCAGAATCGGCAGCTAGCTAGCTAGGCCACGCCGGTGCTCTACGATGATTCTTCTTCCACCACTGGGTTACAACCATTAAACTTTGGCTGCTCGCATCCCCGCTGACGCGTCATCATGTCTCACACTATGCAGATTGTTGCACACGTCAGGATACTGTACAAAGTAAGCGCGATGTACGGTATGGACAACGAAGTGCGGTGTTCTTTGTGTTTCTGATTGAGAAATTAGGAGAGGTACAATTCAGGTAGGCCATGTTGAGAAAAGAACCATGGCATCCACGGAACGAGGAACCTCATTCTAGTTTGCTGTAATAGCTCTCCTCTATAACTCATCTTCTTCCTCATCATCGTTGAAATCTTCGTCATGTTCGAATTCATCACCCTCGGCAAAGAATTCCTATGATTAGAAAACAACAAGAGCAAATTAGACAGAGTACCTTTCAGTGTTCCATTGGATGAAAACACACAAACAACAATCAAAGTGAAAGTCTCACCTCAAAACTGATAAAGCCATCTCCATCCTCATCCAAATGTGTCCAAAAATCCTCTGGTACTTCTTGTCCCAAATCGCCAAAGAACCCACTGATTTCTTCCTTGTCCAGTTTTCCATTTCCGTCCTTATCGAGAGCATCAAATTCCTCCTGTGGGTCACTTTCGTATCCAGGGTCCGAATCAAAGTGGCTTGATTGCAAGAATTCCTTCATCACACCGAAAAAGAACGGCAGAAACAAAGGAGTGAAGTGAGCCACGGCACAAGATCATGTTTCATTTCAATTTCTCTGACTTTTTCCAGCACTATCAATCCAACAACAAACAATTCAAACATGGCAATAAAAAGCTTCTTTGTCCAGTCATTTTTCGTTTTCTCACCTCCAAAGTCAAGAATCCATCTTCGTCCTTATCTTGACCGTTCCAGAAATTCGTCAGCTGCTCATGAATCATTTCCAATTCGTCTTCATCCTCGACATCTTTTAGTTGTTCATCAAACAAGGAATTGAACTCCTCTCGAGAAAGCTTTCCATCTCCATCCTTATCGGCTTTTTCAAACATTTCCTTGGCTTCTTCCTCGTCCTGTTCTTCATTGCGACCGTCTTCGACACTGACAATTTCGACATCAAATTTGAGAGTGGCATCACCGGGAATATCGTCGGGTCCATCACCCGTACCCTGGTCACCGTATGCCATGTGTGGAGGGACCACGAGAATGGCCTTGTCTCCTTTGCAAAGACCCATCAATCCATGATCCCAACCGGGAATCACTTCGCCATGACCCAAGGTAATCTCCAAGGGTTCACCGTCCACGGTCGTTTGCAAAACACGACCCTTCTCGCCCGCCTCGGAGGAAGCGTCAATGCTGACGGTATAGTGTATTGTCGCTTCGTTGCCCTTGAGAATCGTATCTTCCACGCTCGGACAGGCACCGCCATTCATGCTGGGACCTTCGTACACATTGACTGTCATTTCCGGTTCTACAGGTTCTTCCGCCAAGGAGGGGAGCAGCAGCAAGAGCAGCCGTAATACAGATACAGCTCGTAACATGGTCACACTATTACTTTGAATTGGAAATAGAAGTAGTTATAGAAGCTTAGAGCAGTAGTCGTCAATGAACTATTTGTTGAATGGTCATTGATGATTTTGTGTCTTTGCCCAGAAGATCGGGATCTTGTTGGCATTCTAGAATTCTGGGCGGCTTAAAGGCCAGTGAGTCGACTAACTGGATTCACTCAACGAATGGTTCCCGTGCTGTCTCCTCAACCCACCCACGGAGCAGGCTGCCAAACACAGAAGGTGTACAGTGTAGTAAGACTTACTTGGAGATGTGATCATCGAGAGTGCTTTAGGAGCCAAGTCAAAGCAACCACTACTGGACTGCATGGCTGCTATCGTATTAGATGCGGCCAAGAAACGATGCCAGCACCCAGACTGGTTTGGCTAGCTAGATAGCTACGGTAGTACCGGTACGGTAGGTGGCTGGCGTTGCTGGCTGAGCCACTGTCAGTCTCTGAGTTCCCTATAGGGCCCTTGCAGCCAATTAGCTAGACAGGGAACCACCAAACATTTCTGTTTCGTTGCTTCCACTTACACGAAGTGTGCGTTCCTGCTGTCAGCCAAAGAAGCAAGGTGCGCCCGGCAATTTCAGCTCTGCTTCAGCAGCAACGACAGATGTTCCTTTGCCTTTGCATAGTCAGGGCAGCAGCTACAGTACCGTATCGGCCCTGCCAGCCAGCCAGCTCTTGCTCCTCCCTCTCTTCTCGCTCCACTGCATGGCCATCATGGTATGATACCAGTTGCTTCCTGCAAACTCCAAAGAACTCCAGCACTCCAGCTCTTTGTTTCTATCCATGTTTGGTTGTCAGCATTGCTATGTCTCGCTGGACTCAGACAGGATGGCGTCCAAAGAAGGTCGAATTCCAAGGGGTCCTGTAGAGCAGCGCAGAGCAGCGCGGCCCTAGCTAGCAAGGAGGTACCGGTGGCAATCATAGAGCTTCGTTGCTTTGTCAGCGTCACTGGGAAATTAGTTTGATTGTGGTTCTACTAGAGATCCACCGGTATGCTAGCCAAACTAGTAACATTAAAATTCACCATAGTCAACTCAAAACTTTGAATGCCTGGGTCTTTCACTGCATTCAACGGACAGCATTGGCTCTTGCACATGTCAAGACTGTTGTCGCACATGGTCTTGATCGCCAGCGATTCTTCCCTGGGTCATGTGCTCTGGAGTACCAGTGGCGCTGGGATGTACCAGTTTCTGAATCGTGCCCGGAATGGTCTTTGGCGTGCTAAAGAGTGCCTGGTCTGGGCTCACATTATTTTTTGCTTGATACGATTGCCATTCAATGCATTGTAGCTCGTGCATGGTAGCGACGAGTAATAGAAACGCATAAGACTACCGTACACACAACAGGTGTGTTACGTCTCGGCATAGTACGAATCAATAAAACCGACAACAGCCAAAAGAATAAAGAGAAAGCAACCAACCATCCGCAATGAAGAAGGCAGAATCAGAGCAAACAGTCCGACAAACGCGACAAGGGACCATCATGTCAGGAACCGCAACGAAGAAATGGGACAATGACAACAGCAGCAGCAGTAGCAGTAGTGTACGTTTGAGAGCTCCGCGAAAGCACAAGACTGCCACTGCTGCTGTCACGATGATTAGCAGTATAGAACCGCGAGAAGTTGACATTTTGTGTGGAAAATCCAAGGAATGCGTAACCCATCCTGGCAACAGTCGGTATCGACAATTCATTGACGCTTTCCAACCCAAATACGCCAAATGCACCAACAAGCAATCCAAGATGGATGTCACCAAGGAAATCGTCACGACTCTCTCACGAACGAGTCGATTCCTGCGGTACAATACGGAAGCACAATGCTACGAAGAACTCAGTCACTTGGAAGCCAGAGACAAGACATCTCATGCTCTGCGGACGGCCTGTAAACGGGTCAGTAAGCAACAAAAGAAGAGAGCCACAAAGCAAATTACCAACATCTCCACATCACCGATACGGTCCATGGCGTCTCCTCCTCAGCACTATTCACCACAATATCATCAATCGTCGTCTCTCGCACGGCCGCCCGTGGTGGCACGATCCAGTTCCATCAACGACCCTCAATACCAGCCGCTGTCTCTTCATGAAGACAGATTTGATGACAATACCTGTTTTGGCGACTTGCTATCCTTGTTGAAGGAACCAGTCCTGGATGGAGGGTCAGAGTAGACGGGGGATTGTTCTTTGCTTGGCGGATCAACGGCTTCTTGAATTGGTTGGTTCGTTGGTTGGTTGGAGCTGTGGAAAAAAAGGAATGTTGGTAGAAGGGATTTGTTTTGTATTGGTACTTTTGAGCGTTCCAGTTTTGGTTGGCAGATAGGTTTGCACAATGCCAGGCAAGGAGCGCTAGTATGCAATTTGGGTGATACTAAGAGGATATTATGGGCCAAAGGCTATTGAATGTATAGAGTAAGAAGCAACCGCAATATAGAAGGCAATAATATAATCATGTACAGAAGGCAATAAAATCATGTACTGTAATTGGATGCAGCTACATTGTATCTACGTGTACGAGGAAGAAATTGATTGAAAGGAGCTCCCTCGGGTTGGCAACCAGAAGCTAGAGTTATGAATTATTGGTTTAGTTTGGCGGAGTGTCATTGTTCGTTTGTTTGATTCGGTACCATGCATGGTACTCTGTACTTGAAGAAGCAACTGTTTGTTTCTTCTCTGCATTTGAGAGCGTTCCTTCTTCTCTCGCCCAAGCTGCGTAGCTAGCTAGGCTACCTAGGGAGCCGCAGATACCACAACCCCTCCGTCGTCTTGTTGTTGACCGCAGCTGTCGCTACAAGAAATGTCCAGAGTCGTGAAGGATGTAGCGGCATCGGATAAGGTGGGACCCAAACATTCTTCAAATTGCAACAATCCAAACAGCAGACTGAACTTGGCCATGACTCCTTGGGAACCGGCTCTGGTAACGCAGCCACACTCGCACTTTTTGGGGCATTGACCGCCGCAACAACCGCAAGTATCGCCAACACGACCAAGCGTCACTCCCAACAGTGTGGGTACACAGATAGACATGTGTCCAATGTACTGTGGTCGACAAGTCCAAGCACCTGGTGTTTGCGTGGAATCATTGTAGCAGATATCATCTTGTGTACACGCCAAGAACTTGACATTTTCGGCCATGTCTTCGGCTGCTTCAAGCGGATTGTTTCCGCCACTGTTGTTGTCGTTATTATTATTGTTGTTCTTATCCTTGTCTCCATTTCCACCCTTTTGATCTTCTTGTTCGCTATCTCCATCGCCAACAACCGACAAGAGAAGGTCATCAATGCTACCTGTTGGGAGCAACAAAAGCAGACCATCGAGGAGACGTCCTAGAGGACCTTGTCGCTCACCATCAGAAGTGGCAGTAGCAGGACTTTCATCGTCTTGTCCGTGAACTACCTTGCTGGTTACGAAACAAAGCAGCAAACTGATGAAACGAAAGGATATTCTCATGGTAGTTCGGTGTTGTCTTGAAGGAAAAAATGAGCAACCGAGGGCTAGAGGGACACGAATTCCGTGGGAATGATGAATGAATCGCCAACGCGCGGGACAACCATGGCAGAAAGTTTCCAGTCAACGGTGGGCCAAACCTGCATCCATCCAGAACGAAGCCCACCAACAACTTTGTGAGATGAGGAGGGGCGATGGTCATGACATTCGTACTCAGTACTGGTACACCATGGTGATCTACGACAGACGAGTTGCTTCAGTGATTCAATAAAGCAAGAGTGACTGAATTATGTTAGTTTTACTGAAACAGCCAGCCCACAGAAACAGCGTGGACGCTAGCTAGCGTAGCTGGCTAGCTACGTAGCTACCATGAGGCAGCTCAAACGATGCATGAGATTGTATCACCAGCTATGAAAGGCAGCAACAGCTCTTGTTATCTTCGTCACTTCTTAACGGGTAAGTGTAGATCGACTCTCATAGATACTTCCCAGATTCGATTCTGCCTGATCACTTTGCTTCCTCCTTGTTGGATACTAGTACGGTACTTTCAGGCCCAAGTCCAGGTCCCAACCGGACTTCGACCCATCCAACTCCAGACTACAATTGGACCTCCTGCGGCACAAACCGATTTGGACCGACTCCCTGCCCTAAGCGGGGCCTCTAGGCAGGGTCGCAGCCAGCTTACCCCTGAGATCGAAAACCTTCGTGGTTGGCGTCATCAGCCGCTCCATTCTTTACCTGTAAGGTACCGGCAGAAACAAGGGCAAGACAGACCTAAGGCAACCTCACACCGTTAGTATCAGTGATCATACGATTTCAGCAAAGAGTGACTGATTTATTAAGTTATAGTATCAGTGATGCTGAATGGGCAAATGGATTCTCAGTATCATTAAAGAAGGTCTACAGTGTGCCTTCCATGCCATACGCATCACAGAGTTGTGTGTGTGTTGCAAGTTGTCTGTAAAAAAATACACAGATGTGGACTACCGATACCGTACTTCGCCTCCAAGCTGCCAAGGCTCACCTCTGCTTGCTCAGGACGGACATTCTTGGCTGGTGTGCTGAAAACAGTCATGGGATCGGCTTGCATGGAACTTGAGGTCCAAAACACTCTCTTTTCGAATAGGCAACTCGGGTGGTAGCACCTCGAAGCAGCTGGCGTCGTTGCTCACCTGACGAGGTCCGAACTCTGTCAGGTCAGGCATCAATTGATCCTGGGGAATGAGAATCTTGGAGCTGTTGTGGGCATCGTCGTTAGTACAGTCATCATCTGCGAATTCTAGGAGATTCCTGTTGGAGCTGGCGGTGCGACGGGGCAATCTGGGACTTCGGGCCGAGACATCCAACGACTGTGTGAGTTCTTGCACACCAAAGCTGTCCTTCCGTGCGAGTCTTCTGGTGCTGGTGGTGCGGTTCTGATTGGAGAACCGGTCTACATTCCACCTGCGGTTCTCTTCTTCCTCCTCGTTGCTGATGTGGCGGCTGCTGCTGTGGCTTGAGAAGCGGTCAGCATTCCAGTTGCTTTTGTCTTCTTCCTCGTTCGTCATGGTCTCCTCGTCCACGTCAAGGAGAATGGGGTGACTGCGCTTGCGTCGCGGCACACTTAGAGTCTGCTTGTCATCGATGGCATTCACGCCCTGCCATCGAGCCTTGTTCTCTTCATCCGAGAGAGACCGACGCAGAGCTGTCTTTTCATGAGACTGCTGGTGAGAGGATTTGCGGCGCCTTCGTTTTTCTCTTCTTTGTTCCATCTCCAGCGACACCACAGATACCTCAATCGACGAAACAGACATATCAAAGGAACAAGGTGAGGTCGGGAGTGATACCTCAGTGGGGTATTCACTGCTGGTAGGGACAGGTTTGGCCATGGTGAAGACGTAAGAGCAAAAGCAGGGCTTTGAAAGTCAATGAGCTACGAAGTAATCTGCAGCTAGAGCTTGCTACCTTGGTCGTGAATCTCCTTGGCGAAAGGGCAAAAGCCTCGTTGTGATATCTTTTGAAGCTGCCTCAACCTCTCAAGCGGAGAAAAAGAGCACTTTCTTGCCCGCAAGGAGGCCCAAAGTGGCTCGCAGAGCTCTCTGATGCCACTCTTTTCTCTTCAATCTTCGTCATTGTAGTGGCTGGTCATACTACCGTACAGTAGTACTGGTACCGCTATTGGTACCTGGAGCCTGGAGTGGATGGCCAAACTACAGCTGTACTCTCTTTTTCAAAGCCCCTCCCCGGAAGTGAGATGCTCCCGAGTAGAGTCGAGTCAGTCGGGTCGAGTCATCCCGGTACTGTATTATCTGTTGCCTCCTTACATTATCCATGACTCGCAACACCCTGAACCATAAACCATGACAGCTCCATGACTCTAAATCCAATGGGGCAGAACTAAGAGTCCCGGACGATGACGGATGAACAAACGGAAGTGACTTTCTAATCTTGTTCTTTACTCTATTAATTCCTACTTGAATGATTATTGATTTAAAGCCTCTGTTTGAGTGTTTCAGTCACTCCTTCTAGTCCTTTTTGCCAGTACGTTTGTACGTTTATGTGCGATGACATGTACGACATAGAAACTTATTATCATCTTTTAGTAAAAGGAAAACTATGGCAATAGGAGCTATTGAAGAACGATTCTCGTAGCGTCGGCTATTAATACAGAACATTGTTCTTTCGCAGCCGGTTGGAGCCGAACTCCAATGACAATAATCAATCGCAACTTCACCGACCAGCTGGCACACATGCTACAGTACCAGGATAGTAGACTAATACCGAACTCCAACACCATGCACTTGCAGGAGCCGTCTGCCTCGGCACTCGGCATTAGGCATCGGAGAGTTGCTTTGAGTTGCATCTCGCATCTCTCTTGCTCTTGGAAGTTGGCCTGGTTGAAGGTTGAAGGAGCTGTTGAAGGTTGAAGCAGTTGGCTCTGCAACAGCATGATCATACAACGACGAAATTCTCCTGGAAGGCAGCGCAAATCTATCTGTCAATAAGTAACAGCAATGACGACAGTATCAACGAGTCAGACGAGGCAACGATGACAATTACCTGTAGTCCCGCAGCTAGCCCGGCACAAAATTTGGAGCAGTCGCACATTCTTTGATCGATGCAAGCGATTGTGATGAACAACAGCGATGGCAAATCAACACTAGGCATAATATAAGAGCAACAACAATCATCACCCATCTTTCAAAATGAGTTGTTGGCAGTGACACGGGGGTTGCCTCGCAAGGGGTTTCCAATGTTTCAACAGATTTCTGCACGAGGATTGTATCATCATCATGAGCATTCAAGCACAAGTGGCAAAGACAAAGTAGGAATGGTAGAAGAACTCTTCCATCCGTTTGACTTGGCGGTCATTCCAATTGGAGCCTACCATCCTTCCTTTCTGATGCAGATGCGCACATGAATCCAGACGAAGCCCTTCTGTGTGCAACACAGCTACATGCACTGAAACAGAATCAGATCAACTGTGGACATTTGCCCTGTCTGAAGAAGAGCCCTGTGTACGAACCACCAAGGAAGTATTGCAATCTGAAGATGAGTTTGAGTTTGCTTGTTTGCCCATTGAGGAACCCTGAGTGTGCCATCTCATCTCTGGCAATCAAAAACAAGGCAGTTCCATCTCTGGCAGCCAACAAGAACAAGGCTGTCGAGATTGTTGTAGAAAACGAGGAGAATGATATTCTGCCAGTTACAACCGCAGTTTCTGGGTAGACAGACAAACTCGAATTAACGTAGTTCGTAGTGTATCACCTACCGTACTACTTCTCTGAGAGAATCGAAGTCAGTTGTGTTAGTCAAGATTAGACTATATGCTTTCGACTCCTCGAATTGAATTCAATGAATTGTTGTCAGGTTTGCTTCGTTCTCTCATGTTCAGGAGTGCTGGGCGCCATTTCAGTCGCAAGAGCCGCCTTTGCCTGAAGCATCGGCGCCCCCCTGCCGTCAGCAGCACTTTTGACGCATGGCAGTACCCACAACATTGGTTTTGATTTCCTGGCTCATGGCTGCAGCTACAAGCAAAAAACCAGCCAGGCCATACGATCTTAGTAGCAAATAATACTACTAATCATTGAGTCAAATCAAATCATACGATCTTCTAGCAAAGAGTGACTGAGTTGAAATGGAAAGAAGACCTTCCGAGGTGCTCAAGATCGTTAAAATTGATAGACCACGTTCACAGACATTCGATTGTCGAGGACAGGGTCCCACGAATATTGTCCCTTCATCAAGACTTTAGTCTTGACGTTGGCAGCACAAGCGTTGGTAATTGAAGTAGTGGGTTCCCACTGACTGTTTTTACTAGTCGTCGAACCTATCAAGTCCGGCTGGAAGGACCCCCCTTGCAATGATACCTGTTGAAAGTATCCAGGATACCCCTTTGCCTTGCCTTGTGGAGCAATCTCCGGTGGAAGATCTTCGAGCTCCACATATTCTTCCAGCACATCCAAGTAGTCATGCTTAGTCCCAAAGATGAGGGCATCTTGGACATGTTTGTCAAAAAAGTGTTTGGCAATAGCCCATATGATTTTGAAAATGGCTGGAGCTCGGATGATGATTATTCGCTTTTCCCACTTTAGTATGCGAAACAAACCCAAACCAAAGAGTGAGACATCCCGCATACAAGAGGTGAACTGGAGTATCGCTTGCTACTTACTCCAGCATAGCAATCTTGTTGTACTCTTGCCGTCTTTTGCAAGAGTGGCAACAAACCAGGCCTCAGATGGCCACTGCTGAGTCCCAGAAGGTCGATAATGACGGTAAAGTTGCGTACTTGATTGTTGTACCCCCAAAAGGAAGGATGGCAATGGAACTCTCTGATCCAAATGATGTGGTCGGCAAACGCATCAACTCCAAAATGTTTCAGGATACCAAAACTATCCCCGATGCCAACACGATCGACAAATACAGGATCGCCATCTCGATCACAGGTTTCCAACATTTTGCAAGGGAGTTGTGTCCAAAGAGGATCGGGTTTGGGATTCCGTTGCAGAAGCGTATCTGCATCATAGTCGAGACGCCACTGGACCATGTGACGCCACACGGTCTCCACCTTTTTCAGAGAAGTTTCATGGTTTTTTGACGTGTAGTATTCCTTGTAGTATCGAACGACTTCAAATGGATCATTCTTCCAATGATCCACATCCCGAATGGTCTGCTCAATGTGCCTCACATTTGCCTCATCCTTTTCTGTCAAGTCCCACAGTCGGGACATTGCACTAAAGCGATCAATGCTCCATCGCTTTTCCAATGATAAGCCCAAGGAACTTTTAGCACATGTGGTTCTACTCAGCTTGATGGCCATGGTCAAGCTGCCATACAATTACCATAGACTACCCATGAGAGCTCCGCCTTGAGTTGGTTGTTGTCAGAGGCGGGAGGCAAAAACAGGGGGAGCGCAGACCTGGCTCCTTGTCGCGTCTCCCAGCCACACCCAGAGGTTTTGGCTCCAAGTTGTGTTCTCATTTTTTTCTTCGGGATAATTTTAGGGCTGAACTTTAGAAATCCATTCGAAATATTTCGGATATTCGATGAGCGGAAGACATTGGCACTATTAATATGTACCAGTACTACATGTAGTCTAGTACCGGTACTTGTCACCGTACCTGGTACACTGTACAGAACCTTAACGGTACCGTCCGTACCGTCCGTACCGTCCGTACCGACCATTTGGTTTCATGCACTACTTTGGAGGTGAGGACGTGAGGACCACTTGGCGTCGCGCCCAGAGGTCCTTTGGTTTGGAGTTTGGAACCTCCTCCTTCACAGTGCAACGCCAGCCGTAGGTGTTCTACATGTATGTTGCACATGAGCGATGGTCGGCAAGTCAATGAACTTCTTGTTCTTGTTTGCTTTGGTTCTAGCTAGCTACCTATTAGGCATCTGTATATAACAGCTGGCCAACAAGCCTCGCAAGTCCAAGGCGTGGCAACTTCCGTTTTGCGGAGGATTTGAAGCACCCACTGGTCAAAGCTAGTTGCAAGACCAAGCGAGCGACAAGAAGCAACCAGCCATGCATTGAAGCTTCGGCCTTCCGAGTTGTTTGCACTTGTGCGGAGATCGCACCTTACACAGCCTCTGCATCTTCCAGCACCTACATGAGTACCTCGCATGTTTGCCCAAACTTTTACTTCAGGATCCACACAGTTGCTGATTCCGGCAGCCCTCGACCGAGCTCGTCCGTCAATTGCAACTCACCAACCAACAACGAACAACGAACAGCTCAACGAACAAGGTGCAAAACCGGAGAAACCTGAAGCCTTTCCTCGTTCCTCGTAACTTCAAGGTCATCTTGTGACTGAACTGTCCAAGACTTAGTGTCAAATTTCAGTCAGGGGTACTGTACACAGGAGCAGCTCCGAGTTGGAGTTGAGTACTATTAATAAAATAAATACTAGTAGTACTTGCGTTTGATGACAGTGCTCTCTCTGGCCATTGAGGACAGTGCTCTTTCTGCTTCTGGCCATTAATGCTTATTGGAGGAGTTTCCACCAGCGCTGAAAAACAGGGGACAAAAGCTGGACAAGACTAAGTACAGTGTACTACATGTAGTACTCAGTACACTGTACGGTACTGGTACCGGTACTATCTCTAGCTGGCTCTGGCTTTAACCAGCTATTACATAATAGTACTCTACGTACAATGGGGCACTCGGGCTCGGCCAATCTCGAGGCCACAAAACAACATCATCAAGTACCGGTACTAGCTATTATAAACCCGCCGCTATTACCTCTCTGGCTAGTTCCGTGTACATGTAGTAGCAGCCATTGCTAGCTAGCTAGTACCACACTGGCACAATGCCTCTAACACCAACTAGTCTAAGTCTCCAAGCAGTCACTCACTGATATTTACCTCTTACTCGAGTACGAACCTCTCTACTTCTAGAGAAGCTACTACTAGAGACTACCGGTAGCTAGTAGTAAGGTGGCCATTTGCCTCTCTAAGCTGGCTTTGGCTGGGACGAAGAAGACTTCAACGTTCTGAAAGCTTCTCCTTTTGTGCAAAGCTTGTTTGAGGTGCGGAGGATTTGTTTGGCCTGCTATTGTTACGTTACGTTGGGGCTGTCTCTATAGCTAGCTACTGGTAGTTAGTCTGAGTACAAGAGTAGGCTTCATCTGTAGCGCTCCTTCCGTACCAGTACGGCTAGTGGAAATCCTGTGTTGCCTTTCGGATCTCCTGTCGCAACTGTAGCCGTAGAACCTTTGAGTCGCGATTGGTTTTCCCTTGGCCAGTGGGTGGGCATGTTGCCATGGGCTTAAAAGTTTTGCCTCTTGAGGAAACCCTTTGAGTCCCTTTGATGCAAGCAGCGGCTCACCCTGATAGTCCCTGATAGCCTGATAGGATACGGAGGAATAGTTTAGCCTGCAACCTGCAACTTGCAGGTTGTGATACCGCAGTATCTAGTACCGGTACCAGGTTGCTACCTGGTAGCTAGACTAGTCTAGCTGAGTGTGGTTTGTCGGATATCCTGATGGTGAGTGATGCGCTGCCGCAAGACAAAGAGCCAGAGCTTCTGCTTCAGGCTTCAGGCTTTACCGGTAGGGATCTTGTTTAGTGGTAGATGTTATGACTTAGTAGAGCAGCTACATTGGATTCTTTGGTGGTGAAAATGGGACACTAATTCGGGATCACTATCTGTACCACTAGGTTCCAATAGTACTATAAATTTCATAGTTTTAGTCCGAGGATTCCTTCTGTTCGCCCCATCAATTCCATTAGGCTGAAGACTCAAAGACGCTCTAATAATCATGTCTGAATCAGGCATCAATGACGTGAATGAAAATACAGCTATCGTACCAGGTAAAACGTTTTTGTTAGAGCGCTTTCGGAAGGACTGGTTTGCTCCGTCACAGAGGAGTAATTATTTAGTCTTCATGGTCAAATCGACTGTGTAAAAGCGTACACCACAAAGTGTCCACCGTTTCACTGACTTTTTGGAGCCCCCTTGTTGTCTTTCTTTGTTCCAACCTCTCACGAGTAAGTCTTCCAAATTCTAACTACAAAGATCGAATAACACCGACCCTCATCTTGATAACACCGACGCCGACACTGCTTTGTTTCAAGGACTCCGGCCTTTTGGATTCTCACAATTTTTCATCTCCAACCTTCGAAATTGTCACCGAAAACACTTTCGACTTCACACACTCTTATTTTGTTCAAGATGATCCCCACTGAAATCTACATCCCAACTGATGCTCTTCACAGCAGCACTGATCGTGATGAATGCAGCTGTCACCATGATGACCTCGACGACACGGGACGAGCCTCCTTGGATGGAGGCTCCAATCACACTGGTTGCTCAAGCACGTCCTGTGCAAGAAGATGGATTGCCTCCGAGACATCCACAAGAAGCAGTCTCTCTCTTCCAGCACAACCCAGGCGAAGCGAAAAACGACGATGCAACTGCAAAAGCCCACCAAAGCTCCCACGACGATCATATTGTGCCGAGGAGTCCGAGGACAAGGCTCCAAGACAACCATGCCGGAAATGCTCCTGAGGACACATTCGAAGGAGACTTTTAGCTGAGCAAACAGATCTATTTTTGAAGCTTTTGTAACATTATAATCCAGTAATAACAAACCAATAACCAACAACTCATAATATGTCAAGGAAATCATATAGCCTATAGATTGTATAAAATCTTCTCTATACCCCTAACTAGCTCTTTCGTTGTTTCAGACTACCAGTAGCGAACTCGAGTTTAGGATGACTGGCTAGAAGTAGTCAAATAGAAGCAGCATCTAGCTGGCTGAAGAGTAGGGCTGATCTTGGTCTGGGATGGCTGAATGAATACCTCCTCAACAAAGATTGGAACGTCGGGCCACTCCGTCGATGGCTCGGAAAACGAATACACGACGCACACTATTGGCAGGCTGCACATAGCCATGAGCCTCAGCTGTAACAGCGCTACGATGTCGCTCTGGATGCATTGCACATTAAAGGATCTTTGATTTCAGCCTTTGCAGTCTCGACTTGGACCAACTAGTACTCCAACCAGTAGTACTGGCTGGGGGCTTGGTTACTCTGGTAGAAGAAGGGCCTAATAATCTCTCAAATCACAAGGAGTCAATAGTCAGTGGCACGGAAAGAGCCACAGCCGCTTCAGTTTGGTGTGAGTTCGAGGGAACCTTAGGTGCTTGCTTCTTCGCTTTGCTTGGCCTACTACTAAGTGCTCTAGGCCGGCATAAAGCTCCTATAAAGATCATCCGATTCATCCGCCAGGATCCAGAGATTGCAACTCACCAAGAGATTGGCCAACATCTGCTTGAAGCGGTGCACGTTAGCTAGAAGCCTGGAGGCCCTGCTGAAGGAACGAAATTAGGCCTGCAAACTTGCTTGACCGCAATCAGCGCCTGTCACAAGCCGTTGAACAAAAGTGACTATTTTCAGAGTACTAGCTAACTGAGTGCTGCCTGTTAAAGAGGAATTACAAGTATAGCATTGTACAAGCTCTATTCCAGTTCAGCCAGTAGCCTCCTTGGATGCTAAGAGGGAATGACTTTGCCACTGGCTGCGATTCGACCAGGAGCGCTAGCATCCCAAGAAAAAACTACGAGTACTGATGGGCTACCACACCTGCCTGATGGTCAAAATTCTAGGTCAGCTACCAGGTGCTGCAGGCAGAAGTCGCATCTCTAAGAGCTCATGACGAGCTCATTGAGGTGGCTACCAGAGGTGGCTACCAGTACCTCCACCACTCCCGGAGAAGGTGGCTACCGGTAGAGCCGCGACACGGCGACACGGCGATACGGAGGTACGGTACGGAGGCAAATTGGATGCGAAATCGGGATTGTTTCCCCCTGAGTCGAGTCTCCCTTGAGTGCTCCCTTCTCTTTCCATCCCGGAGAAGAACAAAAGATTTACCAAACGGCCAAAATTGTACATTTTTTTTGATACCGGTAGTGGATGAGCTGCTGTGGAATCTACTAGCCGTAAAAAGGAACTGTCGATGTCCGAGGTGGTCGGGAGGAGTTCCTCTTCCGTTTGGCAAAACCAAAATTTCGCCGAGAGCCGAAAGGCTCTTCAGCCGGTCGCTGCACCGATCGAACAGCTACATCGCAGGCCTCTGTCTCACAATAATTTTCTCTCACGCCAACTACCTGCCTCTCGAGCTAGATCCTGCAATCAAGATGGATATCCCAACTTTTATCTTTGTGCCAACTCTGGGCGCTCCTCTCCAAGAGGATATTGAATGCAACTGTTCCCACCACCACCACCACGAGGAGGAAGAACAACCTCAGTCGAATGACTCTGCTACAAGCGGATGCAAGAGTTTGAACTGCTCCAAACGATGGTCTTCCGAAGCTCGTTGTGACAGCAGCCTGACTATCCCCAGAAGAAAAGAGAAAAGCTGTTGCTGCGAGGGACTGCCCAAAGTCCCACGACGAACCTATTCCTCAACGGACAAGACTCCAAGACAACCTTGCCGACGATGCGCCTAGTTGGATGGAATTGAACCACCAAAGAATGGCTAAGGCCTGCCAATTTTGCTACAAGCTGTACCATTAATATGCTAACTATAGAACACTCGAACTATGAAACAAACACTAAATACTTCTTTTCTATGATAGATAGCCAGGCAGACTCGGAGCACCTACATACACTTATTACTGCTTTGGCTAGTAGAGGGAGACCTGTCAGATACACCGATCAAGCGCAGCCAAAAATGAGGAGTGTCGTCAATGGATGAATCGAAGGTACAGTCGTACCATGCATGCCCTTCCGCGTCCCCGGAGTCTCTCGCCTGAGTTACCAGCATCATGACATGATTCACCCAGAATGATCTCTTTCTGCTGGAGGTTCATAGTTCGAGATGACTGGTCGTGGAGGATCCCAGTCAACACTCAACACTCAACACTCCCGCCTCCCACCTACTTCCCTCGCCGCTTCCAGCTGGTAGAGCAACGTTGGGCATGTCCGAAGGCTGTACTATTGCTGCGAGTGAAAATCCATTCATTGTTTTCATGATTTAGTCATGTACGCAAACATCCCCTCACAAAATTCTTTCATCAGATGACGAGGGTTAGGTTGAGTGAACCTTTGACGAAACAATGGATCAGGATCATTTTTGGCACGGTACGGAAGGCTCTCTCGGACTTGAAGGATTGCATCTCTGTTGGTGCATCGTGCCACCTGAGCTTGACCGTTGGTGGAGTGGGCCGGTACAAATACAATGAGGCACCCAACCCTGGTTTTATCAATCCTCCAGCAGGATGGCAGGTCTTTTGCGATTCTCCCATGTCTACTACATGTACACGTACATGATGAAGTATTCCGCCGCCTCGTCAGCAAACCTACCGTACTAGTACAATTACTTGCCACAAGCACTACTACAGACAGTAGCTACTGTACTTGCCACGTAAACCAAATTTCTTGGGAGTGGGACAACAAGGCACCGGTAGATCGGCACACGAGGCTGGTCACAAGAAGTGGAGGAGTCTCAGTCCATTCAGTGAGCTGCCTTGCCGAACACTCATATGTCCACTACATGATAATTTTCGAAAATAGTTCCATTGACCTCATGGCGTCTTTCTCAGCGCAAACAGCACTGTGCAAAAGAAATTGATTGACACACGAGCAGTCCTCCAGCTTTTGACTCATTCTACAAGTTTTAACTTCTGGACAAATTTCACATGACGTTTCCATTTCACGTTTCCATTTCACCAAATTTTGGTAAAGATGCAGCATTCCCCCACGTTTTCCTGCTTTCAAAGCCACACAAATAATTTCCAACACCAAAATAGCCATAATCTCCTCCTTTTTTCACATGATCCGATTGGGATTATAGATTGTCGAGTATTGTCTCACATGCATCATTTATGTGGTACCATATTGCAGCCAAATAATCCGAATAGTCCATCTCAATTTCCTGGATCGTCTAGCTCATCATCAAAGCTTCTTCTGCTCCTCCTTCCATCGCCGCAGATTGGTTGAATCCGTCTCGGAATCCATTGAAAAAGTCGTACATGTACATGATGACGCAAGAAGTAAAGAGCAACCCAAAGAAATTGAATCCGGCTCGTTCTGAGGGATTCAACATGTACAATCCCGTCCACAAATTGTACTGATAAAAATATCGGAAAAAGAAGGGCTTCTTGGTATCCAGACAGGTCTTGTCCGTGTTGGTGTTGGTCAAGGCTTCTTGGTGCATCTCGGGCTGAGCTGGTGGTGCCTGCGTCTGTTGCTGCTTCTTGTTGGACTTTTTGCCGCTTTTCTTGTTCTTTGCCATTGTTTTTATGGAATAGATTCAAAGGAGAGGCGGGTCTTGCTGGGTGTTGTTGGCTTTGCTTGTGCAGTACCAGGTAACAAGGTCTCTATAAGAGTACTAGTAATAGCTTGTTGGCTTGCCGTTTTCACTTGAAATTTAATGAAGGTTTGGCTGTCATTGCCAGGGCCGGTTTGCTGGCTGCAGACCCGCGTGTTCCAGGTCCCATGTCCCTGATGTGACATGCTATTAGCCGGTGCGAGCTGTACCACACCCTGATTGCATCCGAAAAGGCTTTCTCTTCTTCTTTTTGGCGCCTACAGCTGCCAAGCTGTGATGAGGCTGTAAGAGGAATCATTGAATGTGCTCGGTGGATAAAAATAGAATTGATCCGGAAGTAATCGTGCTCATCAGCTACTGTAGCTAGCTACTAGCTAGAGCTAGAGCTACATGTAGCTAGCTAGAGAGGAAAGGACGCGGAAGGCTCGATTGGAGAACAGGGGAGACGGGCTACGTGCTCCGTGATACGTAACATATGAAACTTCTCCTGTAGATTCCTGGGAAAGTGTTCACCAATCAGCCTGCCTCTACTAGCTAGTACCAAAGTGAGGGGCCCTTCATTTCCTGGATTGGGGCAAAGCAACTTGGAGAGTTGCTCCCTTGCAAGAATCTGAAGCAATTTCAGCCAGCAGTATGACTAGTGTGGGTGGCAGTGGGGGTGTCAAACGATGGCTGGATAGGCCCAGCCTGCGAGAATGATATTCGGCTACCGATACAGTAGCTGTGGCTGATTCAATCCAGTTGGAGCGTTCTGGCTGGCCTGGATGTTTGGTTGGCTACCGTAGATACATTTAATGACTGAGGCGGAGTGAATTGCAGGAACCATGACAAAGTGTAATTCCTTTGCGTTTAGCCAACCGGCCTTGGTTTCAAGATGCTCTGGTGCGATGAATTCAACAGTGATAGCTAGTAGACTTTTGGGTCGACCTTACGGCATGATCACACTCGAAGTTTACCTGTCTGGTGTTATAGAAGCTAGTAGCTACAAGTAAGTATTCAGCAGTATGTATTGAAAGCGATCTCTAGATTAATAGCATGTAAGAGTAGACTAAACGCCTTCTATGGGGTCGCGGTCGATGCATATCTGCATGCATTGTGTTTGTTTTGTTTGTACAGTACCGGCTGCTTAGCTGGCCCCCTCTCTCATGTAAGCAAGCAAGTTTCAAAGCTTTTACCTTCGACCACCCCGCAGAGCCTTGACGGTCTTGATATTCAATTCTCCAGCATGGCGATCCAGGAACTTACTCACCAGAGGATCATTTCGACTTCGATGAGTTGCAATCATGTCTTGCCTCGATGTCCTCCTGGAGCTCGTCGTCGAGTCTCGATGATAGTGTGGATGATGATGTCTCGATGATCCGGGAGAGACGAGATGTGGGATACGAGGTGGCTTGTCACTGTTTTTGGAGGACTTTCGTTCTCGGCTCGTTCGACGACGCGGTTGCTTGGGTGGTGCCGCCGAAGAGGAACATCCCGACGATTCACAGAGACTTGTATTGGATTCCCACCGACCGCTCGAGGAGTGGCCTTGAGAGGACAAGTCCATGAGGGAATTGCTCGACTTGCTCAGGCGTGTGTGGTTGTCGTCATGGCAAGAAGAAGATAAGCAGGGGATCTGGATCATTGTAGGAATTCCATCGTCTTGTAGATGGTCGTCGCTGCGACCACCCCGGATCCTGATTAATGCTGGAACACTCATCTTGTCTTGTGCCATGGATGATTTTGTAATTGTGGGTTGCATGAGCAAAAAGTTATGGAACGCGAGGAATGGGGGAGAGTCTGAAGAGGAGAGTCTGAGGAGGAGAGCTGCACTGCTCGAAATGGTTAGGCCAAGTAAAGAACTTTCGGTAGCCAAAACGGTGCTGCGACTTTTGGCAGTCGAGATTGGAGGCTGCAATATTTGCTCCTTCGTAGCAAGCCATTGGCTAAAAACTGAAGCAGGGTTCAACAGAAGGATCCATTCAAATCTGCCACGTGAGCATCTTGGAGCACCGGAACCCGTTTTTGAGCCAGAACAAGGCTGTTCTCAAAGATACAGAAGCTCAGTGGTATTGGAGGTAATAACAGAATGCGTTTATTGGTATCTGAACTCGTACAACCTTTGTTCTCCTCCATATAAGTGAAAAACATGAACGTTTTGTCCTTATGGTATCTCGGACTCGATTGCCAGAAAGCTTGGCCACGTCAATCCCGGTCGTGACAAACCATAAGTCAGTAAAGATAGCAACAGTTACTGTTTTCGAGAGAGCTAATGCTGCAGCTGTGAGGGGAATGAAGAGGTAGGGTTTGACTACTCAAGCGTGAGAATGGCCGTTGGGCTGTTTGGCTTTCGAGAGCTCTTTCGAGTATCTGACCCTCGCTGGCATAGTTTACAGTACTACAGCATGAGAGGGGGGTCTCAATGGTTGCTTCATGTATTGTCTCTCACCGCCCTTGTAGACCCGGGGAGGGTGGAGAAATCCAATCCATCTAAGGTAAACCATGACCCAGATATAGGTGGAGAGTGGTTGACAGTGGTAAAACATGGGACTGTCAACCAATGTATTTTTCAACAGAATAGCTAGGAATACAAGAGTGCTAGAAAGTGTTAAGAAAGCGAGGGACGTGGTGAAAGTGACAAATCTTTCATGAAACGGTGGCTTGGGATGCCATTGATTTTCTCCATCCCCCGGTATATTTGGCCCACTCTTGGATACTTGGATAAAGAAGCAACAGAGAGACAGAGAGGACCTGTGCAACCTGTGTCTTCCCGAAACGGCATCCAAGTCGCCGATACAATAAGGAAATCGCCGAGTGTCAGCTTGGGCTGGGCATTAGAATATTAGGTGTAAGATGTGATACTATTGCCTTTATCATCTACTGGCTTTTCGATGTTCTTTTGGCCGCATTGGTATATCCCTGGCTCCAATAAGATAGAAGTTGACATAAAGGAAGAAAAACCGACAGTTTAGCTGGTTGCCCTGTACCCTGCACCTACTAGCTAGTACATGTACTCAGTTTGAATTATTCAATCTGCTACCAAGTTTGAACGGCCAGTGGCAAAAAATATAAATGTTTGGGGTTTCTGCACTCTCCTTTCCTTGGCTACGTTGCACAAGTCTACACCCCAGCCCTCTGAAAGGCTGTTTCCCGAGTGAAGAAACGGCACAGACAATGGAAAGAAAGTCCATGGGAGAGAAGGGAGATGCTGTTGACATGACGTGGCCCCAAAAGAGAAATGAAAACTTGAAGGCCAGGGGCAATATGTCACAGCTTTGACGGCTACAATAAATTTTTGTTGTGCTTGGAGCAAATCTGCGATCTGTGGGAGTTACACGTGAATAATGGAGCCGCCCTGAACATCGACGAAGCTCGAAGACATCACGCGAATTCCGTGATGCAACCTGTTCTCAGAGATCCAACGGCTGATCCAACAAGATCCTGCTGTTTCGTTCATTGTGGCTGAGAAAAGTTGATAGCCATCTGTGATCTGTCGTCTGTTGTGCAAGCTGTTATGCGTGATCTGTTGGATCTTGGAAGAAGATACTAGATCTAGACTAGCTAGTCTGTTCTGGTTTCTCCTATCTCTATTCCGATGTCTCCCATAACAGAGAGTGCCATTATTGTATAAACACCATGACAGAAGCTGCTACTACTGATACCGATACCCCCACCATGAAGGCTGCCATTTTGCACAAGAATGGTGATCCCCTAACCGAGGAAGTCTTGAGTTTGGATGATGTTCCCATCCCAGAACCCAAGGAAGGAGAATTCTTGGTCAAGATTCATGCTGCATCGATCAATCCTGTGGATTGGAAACTGATGAATGGAGACATTCCTGGCTACAAGAGTGGGCCAACAGGCAGCGATTTGGCTGGAACCATTGAGAAAATTGGACCCAACACTACTACTACCGATCTCAAGGTTGGTGATGCAGTCTATGGTGATTCAATTGCCACCAAGGGATCCTTTGGAGAATACTGCATTGTACCAGCAACTGTGGCATCCAAGAAACCATCCAATATTTCCTTTGCAGAAGCAGCGTCCTTGCCATTGGCTGGACTGACAGCCTTGCAGGGACTCCAGAATCATGGCAACTTTGAAAAGGGACAAAAAGTTTTAATCTACGGTGGATCAGGTGGTGTGGGCTCACTGGCAATTCAAATGGCAAAGGCATTGGGTGCTTCGGAAGTGTATTCCACAGGAAGCAATGTCGAACTTATCAAAGGTTTGGGTGCTGATGTTGTGGTCAACTACAAGGAAGAATCCTTGATGGATGCCCTGAAAGGAAAGGACTTTGACTTGGTTTTTGATACAATTGGTGGACTAGAACACTGGCAAATCGCACAAGCATCCCTCAAGAAAGGAGGACGTTTCATTACCGTGGTTGGGGACGGTGGCTCTTTGGTCTCCCTGATTGCCAAAGCCACGTGGCGCAAAATGTTAGGAAGTGTTGGACTGGGCATCCCCTACGCATTCTTTTTGACTGACACAACGTATGATGGACTTGGCAAAGACATGGCTCAAATGACAGAAATGGTGGAAGGAGGAAAAGTCAAGGCTTTATTGGATGAACGACGATTTGAATTAACTCAGGAGGGACTGCAGGACTTTATCAAGGCCAGTATGTCGCACCGTGCAAAAGGCAAGCTGATTCTACAAGTTCAGAAAGAGTAGAGTAGAATAGACACAGCAAGTCCAGCTGGAGCAAGAGTTGTCTTCCGAGCGGTGAATCCTGCATATTTTGTCTTTGATGGGCTTCAAACTTCATAGCATAAGGTAACCGTTAATGAAATGCGCTTTCATTTTGTTTTTGTGTAGTCTTTCAAAGCTAGATAATGCCATGGTGTCCACAGAATCTGATTGTCGCTCGTTTGTTGCCACAGTTGTTGCCACCACTATCAACCCAAATCTCTGGCTACATGTACCGGTAGCTTGGTGCTTGGTGCTTGGTCCTTTAGAAGTTAATGAGGGAGCCAAACGGTCATTCGGAAGCCAAAAATGACCAAAAAGACCTGGATTCTGGCGACATAAAATTTGTTTCACGATAACAACGCATGGGATCAACCCAGCCTCCAAATACCATTCGACTGAATACAAAAGATGAAAGCACAAAGATGATCAAGCTGAAAAGTCACCGGCTGAAGGGAGGCAGAGTACAGGGTGGGATAGATAGCGGCAGAGTCCGGGGAGGAATAGTTCTGGCTTGTATCTTCTTCACTCACCTGATAGCCTACCGGACTCAGTCCAGATTCTCGGTCGATCTATTTGTGACCCCTCCTCCATCTACTACTACCACTTTGGAAAGCGACTTGGTGCCCCCACCACCTCCCGTAGTTCTCAACACTACGTTCTTTACGTTGCCCGAAGAGGAGCGGCAATTGACCCCCTTGCGATTCGTGGACCGCGAACAGTACACACTTCGAATATTGAGCTGGAAGCGAGCCCAGTTTCTGGCGGCATCGGTATCATTGCATTCTCAATGTCCGGGCGTCAAACAAATTCAAGTGGTTTGGAGTATCTTGCAAGAAGACGACAACATGACGACGACGAATCCAGACGAAATAACCGACAATCGCATCCCTGCAGAAGTGTTGGAAAACCCAAAGGTCGTAGTGGAACGAAGGACCACCAACCGACTCAATAATCGCTTCGATATTCTGCCCACCACTCCCACAAGCACTCTTGGCATTGTCATTTTAGACGATGACTTGATTTACACTTGCGAGGCACTGGATATGGGATTCTTTCTGTGGACTCAACATCCCGATCGAATGATCACGTATGCACCCCGACGCCATCTCGTCACAGACGCCTACTCCAACCCTCCCCGATGGCGATATGGGTGGCATCGCAATCAACAATATTCCTTGGGATTGACATCCACGGCGTTTCTACACCGTGATTATCTGCACTACTATACACATTATCTACCAAGAGACATGTACCAGCACATCCAAGATCACATGAATTGTGAAGATATTGCCATGAGTTTGCTTATTTCCAATCTCACACATGCAAAATATCCCATTGCCGTCGACGAGTGGGGGTTCACATCGCGACTGCAGCTCGCTCTCAAAACGGGATATGAAGGAATCAAGGCCGGAAAGAATCATATGCCACATCGATCCAACTGTGTCGATTGGTTCGCCACGGATTTGCAGCTCAAGGACAAGTTTGATGGCTATTCCACCTTTCGAGGTATTTCCACGTTTAATACATCCAACGTTCTTGCACCAGCGCCAACTCCAGGATTGCAACAGATCTTGGCCAATCCACGTTTTCATGCTTTGGAGGAGAAGCGAAGAGAATGGTTGCAACTAGACGGGAGAGAATTTGGCCGAGTAGTGACAGGGATACGGCGGTCCTTGGACCAGTACGCCAAGAGTCGCAATCTGTCATCCGAGGGGCACGGATGAGAGAGGATGCTGACAGTTTGATATGTACCGTACTGTGGTGTTGGTCATGCCATGCTACCCACATTACACATCATGGCAGTAGATGCTCGGCCTTGAGGCCAAAGGGCAGATTGTCTCAAGCAGCCCATAGCTAGTACGTGTAATAGAAATAATTAGATTTGACCACGGCTGACCGTACAATATTGAGTTCTTTTATTTGGTTTGTCCTGTTGCTTCGTCCATGATTTCCGTTCTGGCACCCCGGCAGGGGCTTCCAATTGACCGTCGTTGCTACAAACGTGATGATTGGCTTTGACTCCGCCGCCATCCAAAGTGATCCGATCCCTGCCAACGAGCTTCATCGGTATAGATCGAGCCAGGCAGGACAAATAAATCTGGCCCGAACAACGCAGACAGCAGCTTCGTTTGTCCCGATCATTGTTGGAATACTACTGCACAAACCTGACCAATCTTGTACTGGAAATGCAGGGCCTACTCCAGAGCAAAGGTTTGTGATTGTTTCTATAAGTATGATTGTAGTCCAATCGAATTGACCTCTGTTCCTTTTTCAGTACTGTGAATGCAATTTGGTACTCTATGGCTCAGCTTTCCTTGTCAAAATTGCTTCTTGGTCCTGGGTAGTTGAATGAAGTCGTGCACCTCTTGCCTTCTATTTTCTATAGCGTGATATTGGAAGGACCGTCGCATCATCGTCATGACCAGAGAGAAGGCTCCAACAAATGGAAAAGGGTTGTTGTGTACTGTACCAATGTGAAGGCTGATGACTTCCTCCAACCGCACGGCACGAGCCGCTGCGTCTCTCATACCTCCGCTGACTTTCGTGGTCGTCTGAGGACGAAAACGGAACCCTTGTGCCCTCGTGTAATGCGCATGTCGTCGTCAATGTAGTCAGTCACCAACCATCCGGTCGGACCTAGCAATCCAAGCGGGAAGTTGATGTCGATGGGACTCTTGGAAATGATCAAGCGACACGCTTGAAATTTGACATTGACTCGTCTGGCATTGCTGGCATGGGGAGTAATATCAATATCCACCGTAAGCGAAGCACGACGGGTGTTGGACGCGTCCGGGAAACCAGGAACGGCAAAGGTGACAATATTCCGAACCCGGCGTTTCTGCAGGTCTATGGATTGTGTGCTCTTGACATTGGCAAGTTCTTGGTCGATGCGGATGAGACCCAGACGCTCCAATTGATCTTGCACGGCACGAGGTAAAACTGGGTTGAGTCTCCCTGAGCTTCCATCTGGATTGTTGGAATACGATTGGTCTTCAATAGGACTTTACGCATGGCAAGAAAAGAAATGTATGGTTAGCAAGGTAGCATAAAGGGATATAAAAGGAAGATGGATTGGTTAGCTAGCTAGCAGCAAGCAAAAGCAAACATGGCCCAGCCCAGCCCAACCCAGCCACCTTTGCACTTACTTTATCCAAGTAAACAAAGGTCCTAGCGTATTGTACTCTTCACTTGATCTATCTTGAGCAGTCCAGAGCAATTCCCAAGTTCCTCCCAACTTGCCCAGTACGTCTTGGTCCGGCGTGGGACACACTTGCTCGAGGCGTTGTATCGCTCCCAATATATAGTTGGTAAAGTCTGGAGAAGTGGGTGCATTCGAGGGAGTTGATCCCAAGAGATTGAACAGCTCCTTTCGTCGCGACGCTCTTTCTTCTTCGGCCGATGCCGATATCGAGGCAGAAGATTCCTTGGAGGCAAAAGAAACCACAAGAGGCTTTTTCGCAGTTAAACGGCGGCTACCTGTTGATTCTGATACCAGAAACGCCAATGTTGAGCATGGGATCATCAGCAATAGAGCTGCTAAGACGGCCCTTGTGGTGGCTGGAGCGCGGAAATGCACCATGTTGCTGCGGTAATCTCTGCTTTTCCCTACGGTCGTACCAATACGTATACTTCTATAAGACACACAAACAAAACACCACCTGAATGGATCTGAAATCGTGTCCTTGCTTCGGTGTCTTTGCTTCAGTGTCCTTGCTTCAGATTTCGCAGCCAGGCGAAATCCTCGTCCACCTGCCTGCTGCCCGAATGATCATAGAACAAGCAGCCGGAGGCTGATGCCCTCAACTGTCAAAAAGAGATTTGATTGGTCAAATCATTTACCGTGTTCAACTGGACACACTATTGATAGCAAGTCTCCATAGCCAGCCAGCACGGGCACAGTGGTATCGATACCCATGGGTCCAGAGTACTGTGTCCAACAGAACACACAATATAAATCCCTATCCTTAACAAGGAAAATGTCCCTTATGTCTTTGGCAAAACCTCCACCGTGTTTATCTGGACACACTAGCGAGTCTGCATAGCCAGCCAGTACTGGTACCCATGCGTAGAAACTACTGTGTCCAACAGAACACACAAGATTAATCCCTATCCTTAACGAGCGACGAAAACAGCTGCAACAAACACACAAACACACACACACACACACACACACACACATACAGCGATAAAAGTGTGAAAGACCCTCAGTCCGTTGAGGGCAAAAGTGTGAAAGACCCTCAGTCCGTTGAGGGCAACACAAACAAAAGTGTGAGGCAGCCAGGCTTTCCTCATGTTGCGTGTAGCTTCTGAGATTGCCTGTGCCGTCTTGTTCACTTTGATTCACCAAGACTTACAGTACCGACAGGCTCAGATCTTTGTATTCAATGACAAAGTAGCTGTTGTGCCAGTGTGTCTCCTATTTGCGATCACTGGTATCTTCTTTTTGGGACATTTTGATTTGAGCACATATGATACCGTTGCATATTTCTTGCACTATGCAGGAGCTGCCTTTGTGACTCTGGGAAGTCTGGGGCTTGTTATCCTTGATGACTTCTCCATGCTCAGTGTCAGTCTGACTGCTGGATTTCTGTTCTTTGGCTCTGCTTTCTTTGTTGCGGGAGAGCTTGTCCCAGCTTATTCTGAAGATGTGGCAAAGGTAAACTTATACAGCAAGCTATGTGTCTCTACTGAAGTCATTGGATGTCTGCTTTTAGGACTGATTCTAGGATTCATCATGAATGCCAGTGGTCCAAACCATGGGAACTTTTGGGCATCCCCCTTCCACACAGTTACAAACCGAACGATCAATACATGTGAGGCAACTTTTTGAGGAGTAAAGGAAGTGACAACGTAGAAGTCACAATTCCTACAGTATTTTCTAGCAGGTTATTGGTGTGAGTGTGTCTCTGAAATCATCGCATTGGTGGATTTGGCTGAGACTTTCCTGGGTTACGCTGGCGCTGGTTACCTAGGTTTGCTCCAGTCCTTTACGACGACAGGATTGCCGCCATCGTACTGTCTCACGTGGCGTAAATGTACCCGACGGTAGCCCCAACCCCAATATGGAGGTGTCTCAGGCATTGAAATTTTGGGTCAAACGTTGTTTGGTTCATCCCTGGATTGAGTCACCTTATCTGGAACTCGAGACCCTGTAATGCCCATATTGCAACCCAGAAGGATTTACACCAGTGTGGTAACACCTCGTCTTTTGGTTGCTAACCAAATCATCCCAATGGTCAAGTATATTGTAACTTTTCCCTCAACCCACCCTCCAACCCTTTTGATACCTAACCGCTCCATTGCGGTATCAACGAAAACGTGTTAATCACGAATCGCCGTGTTTATTGTTACATTGCATTCCTTGTCCAGAAAGATAGAACCGCCAATTTCTCTTATCCAGAAAGATGCCTGTTACACCCCCAAAAGATTGGCGGCTTGTGCGTCGTTGACTTGAAATAGCAGAGAATCCGTGTCACTCTTGTCGTGATCTACATGGTTGTTGCGCCGGCGGGAGGTGGGCATCAATCGTGCCAGCAAATGCTGTCGCTCTGTTTCCACATCGGCGGCAGCGGATCCAGAGTTCGTGGAGGATGATTTGGGAGAGTCTACCAGTTCGTTGGTGCCGCCATTCTTCTGGCCCATCCGTGCCAGTCGCCGTTGTCGTTGACGCTCGGAAGCTCGCTTGGCTCTATAGAAATTCCCCACGCATAGCACAACGATAAAACCAACCAGAAATCCAAGAAAGATGGCGGCCTGTTGATCATAGTGACAGAATGTCATTTTAGATGAGTCCAATAAAACACATTGATTTTATTCATTTTCATCTACTCACAGTCAATACCTCTGTCATCGATCTACCTCTTGATTTGTACGTCATTATTTCAACACTATATCAGCCAGCTCTTCGTTGGTGCCAGTCCGAGGGAGATGCATACCGGTACCTTTGATGATAGTGAGGACTGAAGGTCGAAGGTCCACCTTTGTCATTGAGGGTGGCTGCGTCGAGAGATGCGAAGCGCAAGGAGAGTTTCTTTCGCAACTAGAGATAGAGTTAACGAGGGTTAGCCAGCGTTACTGCATGGTGCAATCCAATTCTGATTAGAAACGAACCGTCTACTTTTAAGGGTCAGGCAGGGACCCGAAGGTCGGAGGTCTGACCGAGGGCTTAAGGGAGGGCGCAAGCCCGACAGCCCGATGGTCAGGCCGGAGACCGATGGGGCACAGACGTCCTTAAGTAGCTGGTTCGTTTCGAATGGAACGATAACGGCTGGTTTTGTATTTAACGGTCGGTCTGTGTAGGGCTGTGTAAAACACTACCGTACCAATACAAAACCTGCCGGTTCGTTCCTGAGCCATCCAGACCGGAATACTACACGTGGGCACTGACATATACAGTCTATTCTCTCTTATGTCTATTGGGTGTGCATCCAGATAAGTATAAATATAAGAGAGAAATACACATAACAATTTTGTCTAGCTATTTCCTAGTGAAGAGCTGGTGGAGCGTTGTGTCTCTCGTGGTGGTGTCTCTCTTGGAATGGCTCAAATGCCTTTTTAACACCCACTTCAGCTGTGGTGGCCCCTTTGCTTTCCTAGGACTGCCTACCATGGTGGATTGTCATGCCACTGCTGAGGAATCTTGACAACTGCATGAAATACCCTTATGTTGCACCATATAGCTTGAGTCATTAGTAACTGGTGACTCAAGGGGGGGCACTCTATGAAAGCATAAATACAAGAGAGAAATAAATATAAGAATAATAAATATAAGAGAGAGTAGACTGTACCGCTATGGCTTCAGTTTGCTATGGTTGACCTATAGAGTGGAAGACTCAAACCCTGGTAGAACCTTCCTCTCCCTTGAGCTACCGGAACCGTAGCCCCAGGGAAACAACAAACTAGGCAAGAAAGCTCCAGGCAAGCACCCAACCAGCCGTAGGTTATTGGGAGGCTTCAAGGGCTGCCACCTCTCTAGAGAGCTCAGAGGACGAGGCTACTACGGTAGCTACAAGGAAAGAAGCAATCCGTAAAGAAGACTCGTCACTTCCAGGCCGGCTGGTCCAAAAGAACTTCTTCGAGGGCTGCTACCAATACGCTTGGCTGACATGAATGTTGACTGCATTGGCGTCTTGCTCAGAGCCACTTGGTGCCGGTACCAAACTGATTCTAAGAAACGGGTGCCTTACGTGAGTGAACTGATGAAGGTTTAAAGATATAGTTAATTTGTTTTTGGACACGATGATTTCGTATCAGTGGGTCAACATACCATGTCTTTTCTTTTACAGTGCGTGGCGAGCTTTTGTTGCCTTCACCCAAACCAAATACGTACGAACCCAACCCTAATCCTTGCTTGCATCAGCTTTGCGAAGGCAAACCAACGGCCAAAAAGATCTGACTCCTTTATCCTTGCTACTAGCTAGCTAGCCAAACGAAAGAATCGAAAACAGAATCCTGTTGCACGTGCTAACAATAGCACAAAATATATTCTTCTATTCCATCCAACCCTTTAACCCAGAAACAAACAATGAGGCCCTCTGTATTCGCACTATGGATTTCTTCTGCCTTTTTGGCAAGTGAAGCAGGAGCATTTGTGTCGCAATCCAAGTCGGCACCCAGACTCGAGAGCAGTCTTTTTGCTCGAAAGCCCTTTATCACCGGAAACTGGAAGCTCAATCCATCCACCAAGGATGAAGCAGTTGCACTTGCCACTGGAATCGCCGACTCTGTCACCGCCGATTCACCTGGCGATATTGGTCTATTCGTCCCTTCTCCATATCTGGAAACTGTGCAAAAGATTGCTGGTGACAAATTCGTGGTTGGAGCCGAGGTACGTACCTTTTTCTCCCTCGATGCTGTAATGAATACTATACCCACAACAATTCTCATCATTATCTCTTTCGTGTGGTCAGTGTGTCACCCCTGAAACTGCTGGTGCCTTTACTGGTGGAGTTTCTCCCTCGATGATCAAGAGTATGGGAATTGAATGGGCATTGGCTGGACACTCGGAGCGCAGAACCATCAACAAAGAGAGCGACGATTACATTAATTCTCAATGCAAAATGTTGATTGAAAGTGACATGAATGTTGTTCTCTGTATTGGGGAGACTCTTGAGGAATTCGAAAAGGGCCTTGTTGACGCTGTCTGCGAGGTTCAGCTCAAGAAGGGATTGGCTGGTGTGTCGTCTGAGGAGATGAAGCAAGTGACAATTGCCTACGAACCTGGTAAGTTTGCACATCTTGGAATTTAAAAAAACATGCTGTCACACTGTTTTCTGACCGTGTTCAATGAATGGATTCTTCTTTCTGTTCGCTTTTCGTATGATGCAGTGTGGGCCATTGGAACTGGAAAGGTTGCTACCCCTGAAATTGCTCAAGATGTGCACTCTATTTGCAGAGGAATTCTTGGTGAAATGTACGGCGAACAAGTGGCCGAAGATACCCGTATTCTTTATGGAGGAAGTGTTAGTCCCGACTCGGTTGACGGTCTCATGGAAAAACCAGACATTGATGGAACTCTTGTCGGTGGAGCAAGCCTTGATGCCACTAGTTTTGGAAGGATCATCAATTTTGTCACCAAGAAGGAACCAGCCACAGTATAAACTCCATAAATGTGCATTACGGTATAGTTGATGTTATATTTTAAAATATAATGAAGAGGTGCACCATTTCACTTTTGACTTGATCGCTACATTCAAGTTTTAATTATTTTGCTGAAAGAAAGGTGCCGGTACATGCACCCTTCGTGCCAATAGCTCATCGTCCTTGACGAAATAGGATCCGTAACATTACTATCTGCGCGGGGATGGATTTGTTCTCTGCATGGTTGGAGGTTTCTCGGACAGGATAAATAGCTTCCTCGCGGATGACAATATTGCATGCCAAATACGCATGATTGGAGCCAACATTAGAAGCTTTAAGCAAACAAAGTGTATGTTAAATCTTTCTTGGGCTGGGAGGCGCACCGTGGAACAAAGATACTCATCAGTATCCACGATTGAGCTAGTGACCAGTAGAGAGCCACCACGCTCCGCGACGCTCCAACCACATTTTGTTTTGAAATCTGCAACATGTGCCGTGGCTGAAAGATCTTGCTGTGATGTACATCATGAATCATGAAACAAAGACAAGTCCAGGCTGCGCTGTCGGAGTTGAAGACGAGACACTTGGCATTGTCAAATTCATCAGTTTTGACTCACTTTGTGTCTTGACGAGAGAGTTCCCTCGTTTCGTCTTGACTTGCAGACTGTTGCCTCCATCTCCTCTTTCCCAAAGCAAAATAACAAATCTCAATCAACCAATGGCACCATGGAAGGGAAGGAGAACAAATGCGACTACAACCAGGACACTTGGTTGAGTCTCTTGGGATTGTTGCATCCTACAGAGTTCTTGGTAACAGTGGATCACTCGCAGTTGTGGCGGAAGCATGTGGCATGGAGCAAACCGGATGGCAAAGAGCTTCGGAACTTTACAACCCAGCGGTTTTCTTCCAATATGGTCTTCATGTCCTTGATTTTGGCGGCAGAAATGAATGTACTGTTCAATAGCAGCCAGATCACTACCGATATTCGGACCCACATGATCAATGGCAACTACTTTTCCTTGAAACACTGGATTGGGTTGGTCATACTCTTGTCGGCTTGCGTGACAGTGATTGCTTTGGTCAGCACGTTCACAGCCTGGGGGTAAGGAAGGATATATAGTCTAGTGGACATCCAATGGATTAGGATTTTGTTTTCTCATTTGCCTTTTTTGTTTTCTGCAGGATGGTCAGTTCCATTGGAGACAAGAATGCACATTGTCTGCTGCGTTCCAGCACTGGCCAGCTGGTGACAAGCTTACCGAGCAACTATGTCGTTGCAAGTCTGTACCTATTCCTTGGATGGCTGGTTCTGTTTATCATCGAGTTGACTAAAGGACCAGTGCGAATTGTGCTTCTGTTGGTCGTCACGTATCTTTTCTTTCAGACCGTAGTATCTCTTTCAGCTTTTGGACGGCTCATCATTCACACGGGAGCCATGGGGAGTAGGCCTGTCTTGGACCCTGCGTTGGAGAAGGCGCTGTTGCCCAGTGGATTGCACGCATCCCTTCTAATCAAAGCTACGGACCGAAAAAGAAGACAAACTTGTGTGGTAAGCCAACCAATACAATAAACATTGCGAGCGCTTTGATCTGTTCGAGTCAGAAACCTCATCATCTATCATACCTTTTGCCTCATAGATGTCCATGTATCGAACTCCAAAAAGAAGGATAAAATCCACAGACAGTGCATCTTGGTCGCTCAGCGGAGAGGGCCTTCGTGTGCGAGGAGACAGCAGAGATTTGACGCAAGTAAGTTCGCTGTCGAGTAGTAATATCTTCACCACAAAGGGTAGCACGAGACGCCGGGAAAGCCAGCGTTCAAGCCCACCCATTGATGATGAAGTTGCAACGGCATTTCGCATGTCAAGTGACACATTTGTTGGCAAGAGTCCTTCTTTCCCGACACCCACCCGTACGTCGACGTGTTCTTCCTCTGCGGGCACGCTCCTACCACCTCTTACTCAGGACGAAGAAGTCGCAATCATGGAAGCCATCCGTTCCATAGACTCTAACCTTCAGACCCCTCGGTCGGATTGCAGCATCTCATCCTTCAGCATGAATGAAAAGGGAAACCTGCTGCCGGACTACGGTCCAGACAACAGCAACCCCAATCTACTTTACGGTAGCATCTCCGAGTCCGAGGATGATTTTCGTGAATCCTTTGGAGGCGTCGTATCCTTACCAAGAGCGTCCGTACTCAACAACAGCGTAAACGGATGCGACCTCAAGAAGGTGGTCGAAGATGCGCTCTCCACTACAACTAGCAAGTCAGGCTCTCGAAACCAGGGACAAGGAGAGACTCCTCTACGACGGAATGGAGGGTCCCGAGCTGCTGCTGTGGATAAAGTGAGGTTCAGTTTCCGAAGTCGGAGTGGATCTTCGTCTTCAAATGAAAGTGCGGGACAACAAACCAGTCGCAGGTCGCTTCTTGGATCACAAGCTCCAAGTCGCCGGTCACTGCTACACGGCTTTCGGCAGGCGAGTGTGAGAAACTTTATTCAGGCGGAGTGGAACGAGGAGAATGACGTCCGGGACATGTATGATATTGCGCCACCTGCGGAAGTGGTGTTCGAAGATGAGGATGATGTCGAAGAAGACGATTCGGACGAAGATATCGATAGCAGCGAGGTGGTCATGCCTCATCCCAACGTTTTGAATTCAACTCGGCGCCTGAAGTCCCTCAGGCGACTTGTCAGCAACACATCCCTCGACGAGGCCTTAGAGTCTGTAGGATCTACAGAGAAGCGGCGTGAAGCAGTACATGCGATTTCAACAAAGAAGCATCCTCACGACGTCAGCAAATACGATATTGAAAACGCTGTTGGGGGTGAAGAGGACGAGGATGATGATTTGCTGGTGGGAGAAAACATACACCTTATGTCGAGCCCTACGAAGGGGGCGTACCGGTAGCTCTGCCTGTTGGGAATCGATTTGTATTTAGTCCTGGGCTATAGCTCATTATTGTTTTGCAACAGTTTCACGGAGTTGGAGTGTGGCACCCTGAAAATAAGCTCCCTTTGTCGGGCCTTTGGAGCACCTCAATGCCACCATTTGCTTGTGAGGAGGCAGGTCGGCACGCACAGACAACTAGAGAGCTGCCAGTGGCTCTTTGTCGTTCCTTGTGTGCATGGCGTTTCTGAGATGGTGGCAGGAACGAATGACCAAGCGGCTAGCTTGAAGCAGACCAAGAAAGTTGGCTGTAGCAGATAATGAGTGACAAGTCACTTTGGAAACTATTTCTTATGAGGTCAATGTATATAGCTAGCTGGATAGACTTGCGATCCGACGCTGACGCCCAATCTAGCTTATTACGCTTCCGTCGGCACCGAACTAGGGGCTTCTCCGCTTACGGATCGGTGAATTGGACGAGTCTTTTGACTACTAGTGTTTGTTTGTGTCATTGCTTTCAAGTTGATCTCGTAGGAGGGCCCGCCCCTGTTCTTCACAGTAAAGCGCCAAAACACTGGATCTTCTTCAAAGACGGATACTTGGTATCTTTTTTCCACTGTTTTGCCAGCATCGGTAGGGAAAACATACCATCCATCTGGGTTGCCAGAGGAGTCGTTTTGCAGGTAATAGAACCAGGTGACCCTATGGTGCTCTGACTGATTTGATATTGGAAATGCTTCCGTCTTTGCATTGGTGAAACCACTTTGAACTCGTTGAACTCTTCGGTTCAAGCTATCAAAAGCCTTGCCCAGTTTAGACATGTATAGTTGCGCTTCAGACTCACGAAGCAGCGCCTCCACCTTTGGAGTGTTGTTGCGACCAAACAAAACAGTCTCAGAGAGTATATGTATAGCTTCCTTGTAGCACTTTTTGGCTTCCTGTTTGTCCCCATTGGAATAGTAACAGACAGCACTGGAGAGCAAGCAGGTGAAACAAATGCTGTTGTCTGCCGCATCTGCATTCCTGCACATTTGCAAGACATCCTGAAACTCTGCCAGCGCCGCCAGAGGCTGGTTGTCTTGAAACAGGAGAATGGCAACCTTGAGTGTGACATGCCTGTCAAAGAAGCGGTTGTAATCACCAACAACCACTTGCTGAAAATATTCCATGGCAAGGTCTGATTGCCGACCATAGTAACTATACAAGTCACCGAGAGCCACAAGGGCTTCATCCACAACCGTGTGGCCATCTCCGAGATGTTGTCGACCCACATACAGACTGTCCTTGTAGCAAACAATGGCTCGTGCTTCGTCACTTTTCTGACAAAGTGTGTCGCCCATCTCCAATAAAACGTCTGCTACAAATTCATGGCCCGTTTGACTGCCAACCGAAGCCCCAAGCTTTTCTCTCAAGAATGACATATTCTCTTCGAGAAACTGATTGGCAAGATCAAATTGATTTTGGATGCAATAGATCCTTCCAATGGCTCGTGTAGTGTCAATGACCCGCCTCCTTGACACATAGTGTTTGAAAATATCGAGCGCCTGTTGTAGATAGCCCATCGCATCTGCCAGATGGTCTTTTCCCACTTTCATCAGTTCACTGTTGTCCTTGAAGTGGCTAGAGCGCTCCATGCTGCGCAAATTCAACGATTTAGCGGCCATGAGAGCCTCGTAGCCTGTGAGCTCTGCGGTTCCCAATAGATAGAAAGTGTCTGCTATGTTTCTAGCAGTAGCTTCCACAGCATCAGCACCTTCTTCTTCATGCTCCAATCCTTTCCATATCTGCAGAGCTTTCTGAAACGAGCTCGCAGCTCCCTTAGGATCATCATTCGTGATTTGTGACTTCCCCAGTTGACGATAGGCGCGGGCCTCCCAATGGACGTCTCGTCCAGTCCCTTTGATACTTTGGTAGTATTCCAGTGCCTTTTGTACCTGTTTTGCATCATCCAGCTCCCTAGCTTGATCATACATTTGGGTAACCAAACGTCTCATGAAAGCAAGATCATCAGCGCCTTGTTTTTGTTTCCGCTGCAAATCTCGGAGTTTTTGATCAATCTGATCAATTTCTAGTTGTAGATTGTTGTTGCCATGGTTACTTCCTTCCTCTCTTCTTCTTCCAATGAGAGTCTTGCGTTTCACTGCTTTCAAGCTGACCCGAAACGTAGGTCTTGGTCTACGAAGAAGACTGATCTGAAGACTTTTTAGGAATTCATGGATCCGCAAGCTCTCCATGGCTTCTTGGATGTGTCTCTTCTTTTCGTTGGAGTTGATAATGTTGTCTTCAGAGACATTATCAGTAGTCGTGGTGGCAATGGTGGATCCACTGTACCTTCGACTTTCTTGAGCCATGCTGAAGCCAGTGGGAATATGATATGGAAACAGAGTTGGATGCATGAAGGGATCTTGATCAATAAGACCGGCAATCCAAGAAGGCTGGTCTTCCCACAGAAGCGAGGATAAAGAAACTCGCTGAGTGGAGTCATAATCATTCTCAACCTCGTCCTCGTCTTCGCCTGGGGGCTCCGGTGGCATCAATAGTCTTCCAGTGCTCTCAGTCGAGTCAGCTAAGGAGGCAACCAGTTGGTCCATGTTCTGATCAATTGTCTCTGTGGTAGCCTCTGCCTCAGAGGTGGTAGCATTGGCCTCGGAGGTGCCGAGGGAAGACTCCCCTGACAATTCCTGCTGTCTCATAGTCAGCCAGCTCAACTACCGCTAACAACTACTAGTACGGCAACTCCTGTATCGTATGCAGCTCCTCTTCTACATGTACGTGTAAAACTTTCTTCAGTGTTTGGTTTTTTAAAGCCAGCGGGTAGGCTTTTACATGTAGTTCCGAAGAAAAGACCAGGAACGTCTTGCTACCGTAGAAGAAGGGGGTTTTAGAGTAGGGAAATTAGCTACGGAAGCCAGCCGGGGCCAGCTACCGTACAGTAGTGATCACAAGCGGCTCAAGAGATCAGATATTCCCCTCAACACGTGAAAACTGGGCGCCATGGCGTCTGTTGTGGGAGAACCACCAGCCAAACGAAAGCGGGTTGACGATGTTGCTGATGGAAAAAATGGTGGTATGGAAGATGATGCCACCGCCAAGCGAAAATTGGCAGAGGCAGGATTTGACCCAAATGATTGCATCACAGCCATTGATCCACCCAGATCCAAGTGGCCAAAAGTTGGCAGCTGGAAGTCCATTACCCCCATGACATACTTCTGTTTCTATGGTGACCTTCCCATGTGCCGGTATATTCTCAGTCAGGGTGGATCAACCACAAAAGCCGGCGGGGAGTTTTCAATGTACGCAGCAATCTACAAAGGAAACATGGAGGTTGTGCAGTGGTTGTTTCAAAACGGAGCCAAGGAAGACACTCTATCCATCACTGTAAATGGCCTCAGTCCCTGGTATCTCTGTTGGCGGGGACACCATAAGGAGCTACTTGTGATTGGCAAATAGTTCTTGGTGAATGGAGTATTTGAATTGGATACAATCACAGTGGCCAACCAACTACGTAAAAGAAACGGAACATGGGAGGATCATCGCCCAAATGTTTTGTCTTGGTCACAGGATGTGCTGAAAATGCATGGCTGCTTTGACACATTCCTCATGGGAACTTTTATTGGCCCAGAGTTTTCCACTCAAGCCCTATACACGAAGCTGGAGGCAAAGCTTGGCTCCACGAAGGCTGCAAATATTGTCATAGATGGCCTTGGCAAGGAGAAATGCACGTCTTTGTGGACAGAGCTGATGGAACCTTACAAGAAATCCCCGGTTCGGTGTTTCCATGAAAATATTGGGGTGCTGAATTGCATTGCAGAATTTGTGCATGGGTTCAGCGCCAAAGAGATTGAAAAGATTCACCAACTGACCAAGTTGTTACATCAGAGTTTGAAGGAGCATCTACATAGAAGACATCGAGGCTGATTGCGGGGGTGAAGATGATGGCAGCGGCAAGGCATGGATTGACTTTTGGAGACCCACCGAAAGTACCAGTATCTTGAAGGTGCGTGGTATAAAGTGCATATTGATTAGATTACTAGTAAATTAAATTCAAGTAGTGAATGCAACACTGAGCGAGCCTTGGATCAAAATCCGTTACCTCCCAATCATTGTGTCTATTGTCAAATGCCGGTTTTCTACCGTCCTCCTCCAAACCACTGCATGGCTCCAAATCCTTTGCCTCTTTCTACGCTTTCTCCGATATTTTTTTGTTCCGCACATCCATGGCATTGCGAGCCTACTGAAACAGATTTCATGTTTGGGGTGAATAGCCTCCATTTAGCTAGCAGCTAGCTAGCTACACGTACCGGTACGGCTGTGATGATGCTTGTACTAGCACCTGGTAACGCCGCTGCCAGCAGAGAGATTCAGGCCACGATGTTTGGCGCCCTTTAGAATAACACATTTGAGAGAAGTTACCGCTTCAGTAAGCCAGCAGTTTGCAGCCGCGCTCAAGCTTCACCTCAGACCACCAACAGAAACACCTCCACCCTCCAAACAGAGCTTTGTCCCATCGGGAGCTCATTTGGCTCCAATATTCGCACCAAAATAGCTAGCCACTATCTCGGTAGCCAGCTACTAGAACCACCATGACAGAGTATGCCGTTCCTGACCCTTTGACAAAGTTGCCACTTCGAAAGTTTGAGCATTTTCGCGTGACGACCCATGATGCTCCCCCCGAACCGCTGTCTTCTAGCACTACAACTACTGTTGTAGCATGTCGTGTGTGCGAAACCAATCATTCGAGATATACGTGTCCACGATGTGGGATACCCTATTGTTCGGTGGCTTGTTATCAGTCACATAACAGCAATAGCAACAACGATGCGTCTTGTACAGAAGGCTTTTATCAAGAAAGGGTCCAATCGGTGCTACAGCTAGAACGAAAGGCCAAAGTGGAGGACACGCATCGGATGCTTCATCGACACTACCACAACGAGATGAGTGGTGTGGAAAATATTCTTCAAGAAGTATCCAATGAAGAAGAACTGGACACGGAACGATTGATGGAAGTCTTGGCGCTGCTGGAGCTTCAAGAAGAATCTCATACTGGCAGTGACCAACAGCGGGAAATTCAACAACAATTAGCTAATCTGCTCGCCAAATCTCCCAATTTAAAGAGCGCCTTTGAAGCGTCCTTGGAACGAGGAGAAGTGCAACAGCTGGTCCTCCAACCCTGGGATCCATGGTGGAGACCCGTTCTGGCATCCAAAGACGACGATGATCAAGAACAACAAACCACGTCAACATCAGAAGGTCCCACCTTGGATGAACGGTTACTAAAAGTCTCATCTTTTGAATCCTTACTGCCAGCTGCCAAAGGAGGTACCAAAAGACCACTGCCCAACTTGACATTCAACCTACTGGAAGTTCTCTATTGGATCGCCCACACATTGCGGCAGTATCACGGAGTGACAAATGCCACTGCCGATCCAGAGACGGCTGTGGAAGCGGCCACGACCTTGCTACAATCCTCCACGGTACTCTCCAAAGATGCCAGGTATTCGTGTCTGGAAGAAGTCATGATGAGTCTCACCCAGCAGACCAAGCAGCAGCAACAGACGCTGGCCGAGGATGTCGAGTTGATTGTGGGTCACAGGCGAATGGTCGGCAGGGCATTGTTGGAAGCATTGGATATTTTCAAGGCTGCCATTATCGTGCTCAAACACAACAACAAAAAGCATACAGGAACTTCGCCCGACGATGCCGGTGCTGAAGAATCCTTGCTGCTGCTGGACTTGAGACGCAAGCGCAAGAAAATCGAATTCTTCTTATCCTGGTCACAGTATGCTACTAGTAGTATACACTCTGCCAACAACAACGACAACAGCAACAATCAATCCTTGTCCGTGATTCTGCCAGAGCAAACTCCAGAATTGATTCGAGCTTGGATTGATCACTACGGCCAGCTAGCAGCAGAGTGCGATAGCACAGACGAAGCCGAGAAGAAGGATCCCTTTGTGGAAGAGTTTGTGTCTGCTGCAGCTACTGTTCCGTCCAGCAACCATCAGGGACATGGTAGGATTCTGCACCAACCAAAGGGACAAGGGAAGAAAACCACCAAGAAAATGATTGAAGTATTGGATTAGCTAGCTAGCTACCTAGGGCGACAAAATTCTCGGTCAAGAACAATCCGATGTACCGGTACTATTTGCAACATGGAAAGGGCAAAGTGGGAGCAGTGTGAAAAGAGACGCCTCTACTACTTGCTAGCTAGCTAGCTGCCTGCAGAAAGACTACTTTTCATTATTTCTTTAATGTTGCCACGGCAATGCAAAGACGCGATGTCCGTGGTTGCCATTCGCTTACGGGAATGTGCCAAGCAGTGCCTTCCATTCCCTCTCTGTTGATTGCATTGCCTTGAATTTCGCAACTGAAAGAATCAGCTGCAGCAAAATTAATCTTTCTGTCTTCCCATTCATCTTCGATAAAAGGAGCAATGGCATAAGTGACAATGTGTGAACTAAACCATCGCCGGAACAGCTGTGGCTCCAACATCTCCAATTTATGATCACGCATTTGATCATTGGAGATGAGGATTGGTCGAATGCCAGGCAATATGCTGGATTGGCTTGAAGTCTTCATGCCATTTTGATTTGCTATGCTTGCAAGCATCCAATAGTAATCGTCAAAGTAATGTGCGGGCACCACGTACATTTTCTGTTCATTGATGAGTCTGGGGTGGAAGCAAGGATGAGATAGCCGCTCATTGCGCCTGGAATCATGAAACCATCCTTCTGCTGGACATACCTAGTAATCACATCAAGGTCAGCAGGTTTCAGTTGCTGATAAGCACCTTGAGCACGTCGGAAGCTTGAGTTGACATACTTCCTTGGCATTATTACCAATGGGTTCTCCCCGAGTCGTTCAAGCTCGGCAACCACCTTTTGTACTTGACTATATCGAACAGTCCCTTGGCCAAAGTAAGCAACATTGGCGCCATCTATTGACAGGAGAGGGAGCAAAAAGCCATGAGCCAAAGTCTGTGCATCGTATAGAAAGGAACAACCGGGCATCATAGAACTCACCTACAAAGGCAGTGAAAGGATCTCCTTCTCTGTTTCTGTGTGCAGCAAGACGTTGATGAAGGGATGAATGAGAATCAAGAAATACAGCAAGGCACCAGGTGCGAGGATCTCCTGCCTCTTACTCTAACCAATCCCCAAACTTAATCAGCTCTTTCTTGGCATCGTCGCCACTGCTCTTATTCTTGCTGCTTTTCTTCCTACCAGCAGTGAACTCTACATGCTGAGCTTCTGCCATTTCAAATAGGGCGTTCCGCATATGTTGTCGCTGGCTGTCACTGAGGGTGTTCAAGCGCAGTTTGGCACCTGTAGCGGGACAAACAGATGAGATTGGATCAACATTCACTCTTCCGACGCAAAATTGCACCCCCTCGCTGGTCAGTTCCCAACCATCCACGGCATTCGCGGCATACGGAATCTCCCTTCGATCATTCAAAAAATCTCCCAGTAGCTTGAACCCAGCTCTAAAGTGGTTGTACATATCCAAGGCTGTAGCATCTGAAACTTCCAGGACATCCTCCCCCATACCAAGCAAAATTTCATCCAAAAGCTTTGGACCAGTGTCTGCTGACAATCCAAGGTTTACTGCATCATCAATGATGGGTGAATGCAGTCCAAAGACACGATTCCTGGCAAGTGCTCCAAGGATGAGTGAATAGGTTTCTCCGTCCATGTAAGCCCGAGGTGCAGCGCGAATAAGTTGCCACAAGCGTAATACGGAGGATGTGTCCCCAACTTTACAGTAGTGTGTCAATAGCGGCGTGAATGTACGTAATCGTTTGCATTCCTGGCCATCATCCTGTCAAAGATAAGAAACAAATTGATGTTATCAGTAGTAGTTGCAATGCGTAATGACGTTGGATTCTTTTGTGGTGACAATCTTACAGGCAACTCCTCTATCAGAGCCTCCGCACTCTTGGTGTCGTTCAATGCCACCAAAGACTTGATACGGAGATGGACGGAACTTTCTGCGGCACCATACAACAAATCATGACAGGTAGCCACCTCCAATGATAAATCTGCCAAATCGTCATTGAGGCCAATCACAAAGAGGAAGGAACTCAGGACGTTTGGCTTGAGAATCATGCCACCGTTTTTGATTTTGGACCATGCTGGCACAATAGGCAGTGGCGTTTTATTCTTGGCGCAAGAAGACACCAGGTTACAGATACACTGCATGGCCAACGCGTATTGGTGAGGATTGAAATTTGTTTGTTCCAGAAAGGCTTGCCGTCGTGAGCTCAAGATTTGCCGAAAACTTTCTGTACTGTCTGAACCGGTAGCAATTGGCAGTGTTGATTGTGGCTCTTCCAGCAAAAGGTAGTCTCTTACACTTTCAATTTCTTCTGGTGTGACTTTCTTGATAGCCTTCCGAAAGCTAGTCATTTTATCTACAATCTCGGTCATGGCTTCATGGTAGGCATTCCAGGACTCGGAATGTCCTGCTGTAGTGCAATCATTTTCTGTGGGTAGCTGTGTAGGTGGGTTGTTGGTATCGTCCATGAATTCTCTGTCATGTCTCGTATGGACTTGCTTTCGACGCTGGCAACCAGGATGCAGTAGCAAGGGATTATACGGGTTGGTTGGAATGCGATGATGGTGGATCTGTCTTGTGGCCCAGGGTAGGCTCGGAATGAAGCTACATGTACTGGTACCAGCAGTCCAGGGCCGGCAATGAGCTCTACGGACGCAACCGCCAAGCCCGAGAGAAAGAAAGAGGACTCCAGGGGAACGGCGAAATCCAACGAAAAGAAAGTGCAATGGCATGGGCGGTGTGTATGTCCTAGCTACCGTAGGTAAGAGTGAAGGACCGATGAACAGCCAGAAAAGGGATGGAAAAAAATGAAAGTGATGGCTGCAATCGATGCGACCGCCAAGATCCGGATATGGATCCTGTTGGTGAATGATTCAATCATGTGTCATCGTGACTTGGTTAGAATGTATGTACAATATGATGTACATGTATGTGGTTTGGCTTTTGGTTGTGGATTAGCTGGTAGTCTTTACTCTACATATCTCTGCACTACCATAGAAGCTGGTCGTGCCTTAGAGTTGTTGTCTGGCCAGGAGGCACTGCAACAGGTGCTGCACAGGTGCTGCGCAATCAAAATATTGACTGACAACACACTGTACACCTGGTTCCAGCTCCAATGTGGCTGTGGCCAGTGCTACAATGTGCTTGGGGATCTTCCAATGGACTGCTTTCCAATGACCAGGTATTTTGCCTAGGTGTGGTGGGGGCAACACTTCCAGCAGGTCCAGCTGGCAATTGTCTATCTTCAAAGTGAGAAAGGGTTGTGGACATTTTGACTTTCTCTAACTGCCAGTTCTTGTTGGACAATGTCCTACTGGTAATCCTGACATCCAATGTGGCTTCTGTCTGATCTCGACCATCAGTTCCGGCCATGGCTTGTGTCCCTGTAAATGATATCCACTATGAGTTCGTGCTGGCAGTTGATCTTTGGTATCACAGTCCCAGCGTCCCTGCAAGTGATATCTACTGTGACTTCTTGCTGGCAGTTGGTCCTTTGTTGGAGTGGTTGTACAGATCAGTTGCTGAAGTTGATGCGGTGGCGGTGGATGCTTCTTGTTCCTGCATGTGTCCAAACAGTCCAGCAGATAACCTGGATATGGAGAAGGCAATGATGAGCAATGAAAATGAAGATTTGAAAGTGGGGGAGAACGTTTCTGTGGTTGTTTGTGATTGTGGTTGTGGTTGGTTGCCAGCTAGATTGTTTCGTGATCTTTTTGGATTTGTGAGGAGAGGAGAGAGACTGAGCTGGACGAGTTGATTCGATTCATCATTCCTGGAAGGCCGACATTCGTGGCTTCTGCCCTCCTTTGTTTTCAGTTTGATGCTAAGGATCCGAAACCAGATGGGGATGTCTTGGGTTTCGAAGCTCTGCTGCTTTGGGATGTCAAGTATTTACTGAATGGTCAAGTCACGAGTATAGTACGTCATTTGGATGCCCCCGAGCCCTTTGGAAAGTTAGTTGTGATGCCTTCGTGTCATCACCGTTGCCCTCCATCGATATCGGAGGGGGGTACCTACCGGTAGTCTACTTGTATCGGAGCTTCGTTGATGTTGTCTTCTATTGCATTCTTTCAGCTGTCTGAAGAATTTTTCTCGGTCTCCAACTCCAGCATAAGATTGACCAAGACCCTCCCTCCAACACGCAATTTAGTACCAGTATCACATCATGGCATCCAAGATTGGGTGCTTGTTGGCTTTCACTGCTTTGCTGAAGGCATCTCTAGCATGGGGTCCAGTTCCCGCCACATCTTCCCGGATACGCCGAGTGCGGTGTCAGCTGGGTGCTACCGATCTCGCGATGAGTGCTAACCTCCATGGACAGAATTCATGTTTCCTACCCTTGAAGCAACTAGACCAGGACTATTTTGCGCCTCGTATAATTCAGGTGAGCATAGCTTGACGTGACTCTATTTACTTTTACCATTTCCGCCCATCGTTTGAGTCCTCAGTTTTTTTCTTTTTCAGATTGCTGGTGCCTACCCAGGGTTGACTCGAGAAGAATTCTTTGCCGTTACGTCGGAACCAGCACCTGATGTGGGCCAGTGGTCGTATGACTTTAGTGATCCCGATGGACCTCAGATGGGAACCGTTGCTGTGGAAGGGAGCCCACAAGTGCATGACTGCGAAGATCCAGTTGTCCTCATTGCGGAGCATCCATCATTGGGCGTTCCTCTGCCCGACGAGCTTGAAAATCCAGTGGATTTAGTGGTTGTGGTGGACCGAGCTCTGAAAAATTTTGCTGAACGAAAGTTCTTGGTTCTGGATATTCCTGGCCAAGAAGGAGTGCACATTGGAGCTTATCCCACCAAAAGTGATCTGCCCTCTGATGCTACAATTTTGGGACAAGTTGAGCTAGTTCAAATTCCGTGGTTGCCCAGCATGAAGCCCACAAAATCCGGTTTCATGGAAGTTGACGAGTACTTCTAATCAATCAATCATCAATCTACGACATACTTGCACTATCTGGTGCTGTACAGTGCATGTGTTGCAGCCGATTTGCCACTCTTAGATTGCACCGCAATCCTCGTACGGTAGCAGGATGATCACCCAGCTTTAGCTCGCAGCGATTATAGACTCGACTAATTCGACCCTTTCAGGACAAGTCAAGCTTTCCGGACAAGACAAGTGCTGAACGTAAAACCGTGCTTACTAAACAGTGATATTAGATACTAAGTCAACGTGCAACAACGCAAAAGCTTTGCTTTCGAGGCTTGGACAGCAAATAATAGCTCCAGATCTCCCATGACCCACAGCAACTCGAGCTCATTGTGAACCTAAACCATCGATAAAGTAGAAGTGACCAAACAACCTGCAAGAACATTACGCGACAGCCGGGTTGTCCATGGCCACTTGAGGCGCAAAAGCAGGAGCTTGCGCCACCTGTGGAGGTGCCGTTTGTGCCACGGGCTGAGCAAAGACAGGAGCAGCTGGTGGCGGGTGTTGCACATGGTGAACAACGGGTGGTTGTGCCATGGGTGGTTGTGCCACAGGTGGTTGTTCCATTGGTGGTGCCACTACTTGTTGGACCACAGGTTGAGCTACTGGCTGCGCAACTTGCTCAGCAACAGGCGCTAGATGCGGGGCTTGGGCTACGGGATGCTGTTGAGCTGGTGGATCAACAGGTGCATGTCCACTTGGTGGTAGAGAATTGGGAGCTGGCGGATCAACAGGTGGAGTCGTCGCGACGGGAGGGACCGGTGCAGGATGCGGGGCTTGGGCCACATGTTGAGTAAGCACTTGCGCGGGCGCAGCAGCTACTTGTTGAGGTGGCGCTGGAGCACCCGGATGAACAGCTGCAGGTGCAGTTGTCGGAGCAGCGGCAGGTTGAAGAGCCGCTGGCGCAGGCATTAGAGCAGTTCCTGGGGGAGCATGGACTTGCATTTGAGGCATTGCCGCCATCGTGCCTGGAGCTGCTTGTGGTGCTGGCCACATGGTTGGTATCATGAAAGGTGCCCCGGGGAAGAACGGAACTTGCTGTCCTGCCGCCGCGGCGGCTGCTGCTGCCTGTTGCATGGCAAAAGCTGTCATCGTATCGGTATAAGCCTGCTGGGGGTTGGTTCCCACAGGAGCTGCAGCCATGGTAGCCATGTTGACGCCAGGAATTCCCTGCATCCCTTGCATGGCTGCTTGCATCGCTGCGGCGGCAGCCTGTTGGAATGTGGCCATGGCTAAGGAGAACAAGGAGAATGGGAATGAGATGGAGCTCTGAATTGGATACAAAGACAAATAGAAAACCAGGTCTTACCTTGCATGGTGGCTCCAGGTTGCATTTGCTGCAAGCTTTGGGCTGTAGGCGCTGGCTGTGGCGATAATGGAGCAGGAGCTGGTTGACTTGCCCCAGCGTTCATGGTTTGGGCAGCCGCACGTGCAGCAGCAGCTGGAAAGCCCTGTAACAAGAAAAGTCAGCAGCGGAAACAACGGTCAATCGAGTGGTTGGAAAGAGGGAGACAAGGGGACTTCCGACCGAGGATAATCAAAACATACCTGACTCTCTAGGACTGCCTGGGTAGCCACGGCCTGCGCTTGTGCTTGCTGGAATGCAGCAGACTGCTCTTCTGGCTTGGGGGTAGGGACAGGCGAAGGAGCAACCTGGGGAGCAGGAGCTACGTGTACCTGGGGAGCAGGAGCTACCTGAGGAGCAGGTGCCATTTGAGGCGCAGGTGCCACTTGAGGAGCAGGAGATGCAGGAACATGGACAGTCGGCTGGGCAGCTGGTTGTGGTGGGCTTGGCTGGGCCACCGCGGGAGCGGCTGCTGGGGGAGCCGGTTGTTGCCCGCTTTCAATCGCTGCCACCTGTGCTTGGCTTTGCATCAAAAGTCTGGAAAGCTCTTCATTCTGCTGCTTCAGGGTGCTGTTGGCACGAGAGAAGAAGATGACACTTCTCTGCAACTCTTCGATCATTGTCTTCTTGCGTCTTCGTGACTCGCGAGCAGCCTTGCGGTTCTGCTCGAGGCGGACTTCGCGAGCCTTTGACATGGGTGGATTCTTGGCGCCATCCAATTCTTCAGTCACCGTGGCTGGAGCTGCTGCTGCCGCTGCGGCCGCTACAGCAGCAAGGTTAGCCGCATTAGCATCAGCAGCCGCCACTGGAGTTGTTGGCAGTAGGCCAGCAGTGGCAGTAGTAGGAGGGGCAGCCACGCCAGCTTCCGTCTTGACGAGCTTTGCCGCTGGTGCGGTGCCCTCCAACTCTTCGCTCTTTCGCTTGAGCGATGCTGATCCAGCAGCAGCATCACCTGCCAATGCAGCGTCCAGAACAGTGCTCATCTTTGTCCAACTTGAGAAGCAAAAAGTGGTCGGTTTTCTTTCTTCGCCTTTGTTAATAATAATTTGTTACTCGAGACAAGGTGACGAATACGTGCGGTCAGCGGATGAGATCAGCAATGGGTGTGAGATCAGCACCCCCTCCGTCTCCTCTCGCCTCCGGAAAGCTTCAGGGAAGCCTGCCAGGCCTCGAACGAAGCTAAAAATATTTTCGTGTCGTCACAATCCGAACTGAACATGGAATGAAAGATTTGATCTTGTTGAGGTGAAAACCCTCAAAGAGAATGCACAAAATACGTATATGCTGGGTGATAAGAGCATTGTTTACAACGGTAAATAGCCCAAACATTTTAACAAAACTTGAAGAAAGAAGCGCAAGATTGATTCTCTGGGGGTGAAACGTCAGTCTGCTGACGCTTCTGTGTCTCCTGATGTCATCGAAAGATGAACTCACACTTGCTCTGAATTTAGTGCTAGGGTCAGCTCCGCAGTGACGTTGCTGTGTCTGCTAATGTCGTCGAAAGATGAACTCACACTTGCTCTAAAGTTAGTGCTACGGTATGGTTAGTGCTACCGGTATGGTCATACCGGTCAGACTTGAAGAACCATCACCCCAAACCATGCAAAGACAACATGATGTGGGGCAGCACAGTTTTGTGAGAGGATGAGATATTGATGAAGGGCTGATATGGTTATCTAGCTAGAGGATGTTTGAAAGCAAAGCAGAGTGTATCTTTTGTTCCCGATGTTGTGTACCGTAGGGCTACAGGCACGTGAAGATTGTCCTGGATGGTGACATTTCTTAGGCCCTTTCTTTGACTTCTAGCTGGCCATTCATCCCTTTGAAGCCAATTCAAAACAAACAAAGGCTGCTGACCAGCTAGAAACAGACGAAAATATTGCCATGGATCTTCGGGCTACCCGTAGTAACAGCTTGAGCAACTGATGAGTGATTCTCCGCTTTACCTGCTCATCATTATTAAAGTTACAGGGGACTAAATTATTGGTAGTTATGAATTATACTCTCGAAAGCTCTGGCGTTCCAACGCGTTTGCTGTTGCCGTGCCAGGATGGCTGTGTCTAATGGCTGATATGCCAAAATTTGGGGTGTATCTAAAGGAGTGTATTGACGTGTGTTTTCATGTCTGCGGTCAGGAAGCTGGAAGGAGAAGCCGAATGGACATGTTGCAAGTGGCTTATCCGATGAAAACCTGACACAACATCAGGTCTCCGCTTGGAGACCTTGCAGTTGCCATGCCAAATTCAAAATATTTTGAGTCAAGCATGTTTTTAACATCAGTTTTCGAGCCCATCATTTCGTTGTGAATAGCTCTAATACTTTCACCCCTGAATACATTCACACCCAGGCGACGGCATGGCCTTGCAACTTTCTGCTGAAGCTCTGCAGCGCCTGCATGGAAAAGTTGATCCTTCCCAGCCATTGCTTCGGCGTGCCAACGAGCGGTCGCATCGAGCTCACTTTTTCTAGTCAAAGGGTGGATGTTCTTTTTGGTGCGCTCGGTATTAATCATAATGTGGTTGCTGGAATAGTACCAAGTACCTGGCAACTTGCGAGAACGTTTCGTGTTCAAGACGGGAAGCTCCAAGTCATTCGAGGCGGGAGGGTCCGCCTTGACAGGCGGGGGAGGGACCAGTTTGGGGCGAGGGCGAGGAGGGGAACGGAATTGACATTCGATCGAGTAGTCCGAGATGCTCAAACTTGTTGTGGAGCTGCAGCTTTCCGTGGATGTGCTGCCTAGAAGCTCTAGTTTGTGCCAATCATCGTCTCCCTTTGTGCACGCCTGCTTATTCTTCTGACCCTTGCCATGTTTGATCAATGCCGTCGTCTCGGGGAAGCATGAGTCGAAGCCGTTGGTTCGAGGCAAGAATTTCCCAAAGTTCTCTCGGAGCAAGTCAATGATCATCCTGCACTAGCTAGTATTGTACCTATTAATAACAGCAGCTGCAATGGGTATTGATGTTGATCGGATCGATTTAGTGACAGGAAAACCTGAGATAGGTAACATGCGAAACATCCTGTTGTAGCTTGCACGAATTGACCGGTTAATGGCCAAAAGGGAGCAAAACACACAAAATTGTAGTCGTTTGAAGCGCTCGACTCCCGCGCCAAATATTCCTGTTTTGGTTCCCGTAAAAGGAGCTTCCGCTTGCATTGATTGCAATCGAAGATGGTTCAATACGCGCGTATGGTATGGCACAGCCCCACCGGAAATCACATGGCAGGGATAAACTCGCCAGGCTACAGGCTGTATCGCCAGAACTATCAAGCATTGTTGGATTTGAATGCAGCTATGCATAGCTATCCCGAAGCACGGTCGTTGCAGCGCTGAGAACAGAGCCAATCAAGCGGAAATTAACCAAGAATACACGTTCAGCAGCCGTGCGGTGGTACCGAGTCCAGGTACGGTTCCGGTACGAACGAGGTGCGCCTAAAATACCGGTAGTCATACCGCCACTGCAAGTGCCGTCCAATTGTAAAGCGCCCTACCACCAGCACCTCTTTCAGTCTACGATACCAGGTAGCAGTCACACAGTCATGGCTCGATCTTGAGCAAATGTGCCTGTCCACGTGCAAAATACATTACAGTACATGACACGTTCTACAGGTAGCTAGGCTAGCTAGCTAGCTTCATGTTGGTCTCTTTATCAACTTGCTTTGAGCAAGCCTAGGCCTCGGAGCGAATCACATGATTTTGGTTGCGAAACCTGTCGGTGATGGGTCCGACGAACCCACGAGCAACGACTCGACGAGTTGTACTTCTTCCAACCATCTAACGAGATTGCGCAGCAACGGATTCCAAGCCAATTGAAGGAGCAACGATTTGAGAACGAAAGATCACTTAAGTTGTACGCTTCCGGTGCGGTCCGTGTAGAGACGGAACGAAGAGAGCTAGTTGGCTACCGGTACGTACACTCTCGCTGCTTGTTCGGTTCAGCCAAGGATGTGAGATCCACACTGCAGCGCCAATTAGCATACCAAGCATTAAAGGACGAATGATGTATATACGGACAGTTAGTCGTCCACGGGTATTAGATTGAATGGAGCCGCCCCAATATGTGGATGAATGTTGCCGCCTTGCCTTGAGATCCTGGGGCAGAGTTATCCCCTGTAGATCTGGCACATGTAAAGATCCCCGTTCGGCGCTGGTGCAGTTCCCATACCAAAGTGCATGTATCGGCGGTCAATTAGATTGTTGAAGTCGCCCCTTTTCTCCATCATCTTGGCATGCATATGCTGCACACTTTCCCCCACTGCAACATTGCATCCTATTCTTCGGCTGGGCTTGCCAAGATGTGATACAATTTCAGTTGGATCTGCATGGAAAACACCCTCTGCTGCTTCGGCCATTTGCTGTGCATGCCCTCTGGCCACTTCATCAAGCTCAGGAGATCGGCTGAGAGCAGGAACGTTTCTTTTTTCTCGGATTCTCTTCACCATGACATGGTTGCTGGTAAAATAGCTCGTTCTGGGCAATTCTTTGGCTCTTGCCATGGCGATTTTCAGATTTCGCTGCTCTTCTTCTCGGGTCTCTGGTATTATCTTGACGCCCATTTCTTGTTGAGCTACTAGTACTTGTTGAGCCACCAGAGGTGCGTGTTTGTGGTATCCAGGTTTGTCAGAGGTTTTCCAGCTATCATAAGATTTCCTGCTATCATCCATTGTTTCATCTGAAGTTGAGGATTCTGAAACATCACTTTCCCACCGAGGGATGGCACTAAAGAACTTGCCCTCTACAGATGAGCATCTCTGTGGCTCTTGTGGCTTGGGTTTCTTTGTAAACTTTGGTACTCTGATTTGGAGCTTCATAGTGGTGGTTGTGGTTGCTTTGTCTTTGTTTTTGTGTGTGTGAGAGGAGTGAAGTAGACTAACTGAAGTTGGTTGGAGAAAACGTGTCCCGCCCCTCTGGACTGTGTTCGTGCCAATGCTGGTTCCGTTTTCAAGTCCAAGTACTAGTATGCCTATGTTGACTGTACCATTGAGAATTACCGGTACATGTACGTGGACCGTACCGGTACACATGTAGCATGGCAACACATTGGCAACCTCTTGGTCATGGCGAGATGGCAGAACTTGAATACCGTGAGGTCACCAAAAATGATTTTCAGCCACTTTTGGCCAAAAACATATTGAATTAGACACACTTATCTTTATCCAAATTGTCTTTTAGTGCCGTAAACGCCACTGAACGAGACACACATCAACATTGGCATGAAGTCGATTGATTGCTGACAGGGGATTCTCCCAAGATAGAGAGGATTCTGGCAAAGGGATACTGCACGCAGGGAAAGATTATCAGCACATCGTAGCGGCATTGGAGGCCCAGCTTGCTAGCCAGCTCGATAGCTGCTAGCTACCGGTGGCTGGAGAGGCGAAAAGAATCCAAGCTGGAGCTGAAGATTTTGGGACTTCTTGAACCATGCAGGTTACTGAAGTTACATGTAGGTTTGGTGCTGTGGCGGAGAGTACGGATACTGGTACCGGTACTGGTACTTATGAGTGACCGTAGAAATCTCGCGGTGGGAATCGAATCCAATGCACTGTAATGTGCCACTACTCTATAGATCATCGCAACCTACCGGTATGCATACACGTAGCTAGGCAAGTTCCTGGGCTTCAAAGACTTGAGCAAGCTTCGCCGTGGCAGCCGGTTGATTCAAGTGACCTCGGATCTTGTACAAAGTGCGGCTCGGGGGATTCGAGTCCAACTCTCCAGCCACGGTACGACCAACAGGGGAGCTACGGTAGCAGCTGCTCTAGCACAATTATCGGATTCTTTCAGCAAGTTTGGAAGCTCACTGGCGGTTTCTTGGATCGGCTTCGTGAGGCAACCTTTTTGGTGTCGCCAGAGCATCGTGCAGCCAAAATCTCGTTGATGCTCGAGGCAATGGTGTTCTCCTTTCCTGTGCGCACCCACCGAGTTGTACTGTAATAGATCACCTCACCAACCTTGGCTCCAACCCACCGAGTTACTGTAATAGCCTGCCGTCTTCTCCTTATTCACCCGGTCTGAAGATTGGATGCCAGTGCTGGGACCACCACAAGCACGGTGCGGCGGTGGTTGCTGCCGGGACGTCAACCCAGGGATGCACAATACTGGTGGGCGGAAAAGTGCAGCAACAGCAGAGCATAGACGACAAGATACAACCAGCCAGCCAGGCACGAAGAGACGAAGACAACAACGAAGCCAACGAAGCACGGGATCATAATCATGTCCCTGCTGGCTACAACCAACCACCCATATTATTTTGAAGCTAATCCTATCAACAATTATCTGTTACCCTAAAATAGTGGCACATGCAAAGTTCTCCATTGGCCCTGGTGCAGTCCCATGCCAAACTGGACGTACTGTGGGTGGATCAAATGGTTATTGAAGTCTCCTTTTTGAAGCAAACAAAGCAATGGGAACCATAATCACATCCGCCCTAACGACAACTGCCTTCTGGCACATAAAGTTCTCTATTGGGCCCTGCTGCGTTTCCCTTGACGAACTGGATGTAGCTGTCGCACTGAAGCCAAGGAAGCACAGGAACCGGAACCACAATAATATCCCTACAGGCCACAACATACCATATTATTTTGAAGCTATTTCCTATCAACAATTATCTGTTATCCTCTGTAGATCTGGCACATATAAAGATCTCCGTTTGGCCCTGGTGCAGTTCCCATGCCAAACTGGATGTACCGCCGGTCGATCAAATTGTTGAAGTCTCCTCTCTTTTCCATCATTTTGGCATGCATATGTCGAACTGACTCTCCCACGGCAACATTGGATCCTATTCTCCGGCTGGGCTTGCCAAGACGTGATACAATTTCGGTGGGGTCTGCATGGAACATGCCCTCTGCTGCTTCAGCCATTTGCTGTGCGTGCCATCTGGCCACTTCGTCAAGCTCAGGAGATCGGCCCAGAGGAGGCACATTTCGCTTTTCTCGGACACGGTTTACCATGACGTGGTTGCTGGTGAAGTAGCTAGTTCTGGGCAATTCCTTGGCTCTGGCCATTGCAATATTAAGATTGCGAATTTCATCTTCTCGGGTCTCTGGAATTATCTTCACGCCCTTTTCTTGTTGAGCTACCAGCACTTGTTGGGCCACCAGAGGAGAATGCCTGTGGTGACCAGGTTCATCAGAGGACATCCAGCTATCATCCCGTAGTGTTTCATCTGCTGTTGAAGATTCCGAAACTTCACTTTCCCATCGGGGAATGGCGCTGAAGAACTTGCCGTCGACCGTCGCCTTGCCCCTTTTTGGCTCTTGTGCCTTGGGCTTCATAAACTTGGGAACTTTGATTTGAACCTTCATCCTGTGTTTCGCGCGTTTCGATGTTGCTATGCTTTTGGTTTTCTGTGAAACTGGAATGTGAGATGCTTTTGCTTTGGGCCACAGGGCTGATGAGTGTGGCGTTTCCCCGACTGGCAAATAGCTCGTGCTGTCAGCCGCTGCGAAGGTGCCCACTTACTGAATGGGACTTACATGTTGTACGGTAAATAAGTTCGGACCACCCCTATCTGGTAGTACCAGTAACTTCTACAGGTACCTGACTACAGTACCCTAACTTGCGAGCTTCGTACATGCTTGGCCAGTTTTATTCGCGATCGCCGCAAGCGCCTTGCAGTCAGGCGAGGTCCTATCCATTCTCCATGTGTGTCCTCCGTGCATTCGCGAAACACATTTATTTTCGTCAATTTATTTAGTTGTACGAATCAAGATTTCATTCCTATCCATGTGACACACATACGCGGTACGCGAAAAATCAACGCAAATCCCCAACTCTAACGAATCGATTGAGTATTCGATCGAATGATCAAACAATCGAATCTTCAATCTACTAGCTAGCTATTAGCCATTAGCTAGCTAGCTAGCTAGCTAGCTACCAACAGACCAATCTTCACAACCAAGAAGGCTAGCAAAGTTATTAGCATGTAGGTTACTCTCGGTTAATGGCTTGGCTTGTTAACCTTCTTGGTTGTCGAGATTGGTCTGTTGGTAGCTAGTAGCTGCAATCGAACGCAGTGTTGCTACCGAATTCGAAAAGCTTGCCGATTAGAGTTAGTGATTTGTGGGATTGGTTGAGATCGGCTGGCTCTAACGTTCTGATTGGTCCTACGCGAAATCCATTTCCACGAAAGCTGCGGTACGGCGAATTGAGAATGGGAAATCAATGGTTCGCCGTACCGCAGCTTTCGTGGAAATGGATGGAAAGCAAGCCGATTTTAACAGTTAAATAGATTTCACGAACGAAGGGAGGAATAAAGAGGTATAAATAGCTGGTTAGGACCCCGCCTCAGGAGTCAGGTATCCAGGACTCGTCCTTTTAAGAAGTTGAATACCAATGGGATACGAGACGTCACGCTTTTTAATGGTACTACCGTAAAAGTACCTGGTACTGTTCTCAAGCGGACCTCTCGCTTGGGCGCTCGGGTAAAAAATTGGTGAAGGTCGACTTTGCCTTTCCAAAAATGGTGTTCTCGTTCTTTTTCTGTTCAGGTTCCAAGCGTGCACCTTGCATTTTGGATTCAATGCATGTCGGCAAAATCCCATTTCACATATGGATGATGATGGATGTTGACGCTGTCAGAAGAATGAATCGAATCCCTTCAGAGGGGACTGGTCTACTGTATTTGGCTGGCTGGGCAGCCCAGCTAGCTAGAGCTACCGGCCCTCTGTACATGTACCGGTACCGATATGTAGCCAACAATGAAAGCCAACACGAACAAAATCGAGCCTCTGCCTAGCTAGTCTGTGCCAGGGTACTCGTTATGGCCTGGGTGCACGGGCGCCGCCCTCTACGCTCCCCCAAAGCTCAGTGCCCTTGAACGGGAAGCAAGTCCCTGTTTGAGCATCTCATGACCGCCACAGTTGCCGAGACTTGTTGACAAAACGTGTCAATCCTCGTGTGATGTGCAGGCCTTCGTTCAAATCGAAAGTAGATATGCTCCGGGCAGTGGCTGATGCGGTAGGATGAGGCAGTCAATAGAATGTTTCAATGCTGCTTTCCGATCTAGTAAAATGTTTCAATCCTGCATCTATTTGTAAATGCTCACCCCCGTTTGCCATGCATTCATGTTGTGTCACCATGTCAGCTAGCAATAGACTAGTTTCAGCGGACTCTTTCGCCCAATCAATACTGGAGATGGTTGAGCTGTAAGAAGCGTACGATTCGTGAAGAAGTCACAATGAGGGTAGAGGGATGCAAACGGAATGATCTTGGATTTCACGCCCACCCCGCCGCCCCCACCGTTGGACTCTTTTCTGGCTTGATCCATCATCTCACAGAATGGTTCCCACTCAGCAGGTGAGATGTCCCGTTCCATTTCAAAATCAAAGGTAGGTCTCTCTTCGCAAAGGTAGCCATAATCTTTTCTATCGTTGGGTCGTACAGAATAGGGCCCCAAACGACGCTCTCGCATTCTCCTGCTCAACGTAAGTGCATTGCATTGTCTTTGCAACGATGGTTGGTTATTGGCAGCGGCCTTATTTTCGACCCATCCCGTCACCCTGTAGTGCTGTGTAAATACATCTAGTGTGATAAAGACACCCCGCATCCCCATATCCTCGCTGTTCTTCGACTTGAACACAACAACCAGGTTGGCTGAACGTCCCCCATCGTTGACTGACTGGATGTTGAAACTAAAGTGGTGTTCCGGCAACACACCGTCATCCTCATCGGAAAAGGCTTGTGTCATGTTGTAGCTCATCAGCACTTCCCCCAGCAGGACTTTCACATTGAGCCTGGCTTCAAAGGCAACCCTCAAGCCACCACCATTAGTATTATTGGAACCAGACACACCATCGTCTGTGCCCTTGTAAGTATTGTCGAATCCTTGTTGTTTCCATTCGTCCGAGTTGGAAATACTGTCCATGATGACATTATTATTGCGTCTGTTGTCGTGGCTGGTCGTCAGATGTGGCAGCGGCAACACTGGCTTGACACATGCATCTTCTACATCACGGTTCCAGCGGTCAACGTCAATCCACGTCAAGCGAAAGCCTGTGCCTTCCAAAATGAAGAGCAGATATCCAGGATGATCCAAGATGGAGTCGCAGATTGATGATTCATGGTTCGGCATGTGGTTCTCCCTTGCATTGTATGGAATTTGATGGACAGCCCACATGAGACTGCGCATGGTGTGACACTTGGCAGAAGCCTCCGAACATGCCAAGGTTTGAATATTGTTGCTGCTGCTATTCCCGGGCAAGGAGAAAATGACAACGTTTCCCTGTTGCTGATGTTGCTGTTGTTGTCGTCGTCCTGGATTTGGTCTCTTCCTGACAAACGCCACGCCTACTTTCCAATCACTCGATACGATGAAATCTGCCCGAGCGGATACCACCATGGACTGCACCAACACTTCTCTTTGGAGTTTAGAAAAACAAAACAAAAAAGACAAGTGAGTCTCATTTCCACTGATGTGGGCATTCAAAGTACACGTACAAGGCATGCCTACAAGTACGTTACCTACCTGGAGCCACGCTGGTCGCTTGGGAGAAGAGGAACCGTTTGCAAAAGTGGTGCCGTGGCGGGCAGTGTTCCCTGTCGGCTGTCCCCCAAGGAACGAATTCCTTTCAGGTTTGCAGGGCTGGGTATTCCTGGAAGAAGGAAGAAGAACAAATCACAACAATTTCAAAGAAAATGAAAAACATGTGTATTGAGTATAACATAATATATTTGATTGTAGACGTTCATGGTTGACTGACTCTCAGTCACAAAACTCACCATAGAATCTCAATGCAAGAGCAGGTGTGTCATTGTCGTCTGACGGTTGTTCTTGTCCACCAAAGGTCATGTCACTGAGAGCGACCGCATAGGCTCCATAGCGATCAATGGCGAGTATGGCATCACTGGGCGGTGTTCTTAGCTTTGAAAATGGCATCGACCGTTGCGCAAAGGACCGGTAACCTTTGCGCGGCTTACAATAATGATTGTTGTCGGCTTGTAAGGATTTGACAATCATGGACGATGCTCTCCGTCCTCCAAGTTCGCGCTGGAAAAGGAGCTGGAGCACAGATACATGTACTGGTTGTGGCTGCTGTTGTTGTGGTGTTTTCTTGAGTGGCTCTTCCTGCAGATTGTCGACTGAGTCTCCTTGAAACCCCTCCAAGTCAATCTTGAACTCGTCGTCTTCTTTGCAAAAGTCCTTCAAGTACGCAAGTTTGGGTCTTGCAGTTGTCTTCTTCTTCTTCCGCCTTCGTCTCGTCGGTGGACGTCTATCGGGCGGCATGGCTGTGGACTGTCACTCTCTCTGGAACTCTCTCGCAAAGTTTTGCTTTCCCCAGCTGCTGTGGTTCAACTCTTTCTTCAGCAAGGACATTCACCTGTCAGAAGTACGGTACCCAGTTACGGTAGCTAGCTACAGTAGCGCTCCCTTCAAAATGGTTTGACTAGATCTATTCTTTGACGAGGAAGGTCAACAAACAAAGAAGTGGACAAGGCGACGGCTGAAGAGAAGTGTTGTCATTGTTTGAGATCAATTTATCCTTAGCTCTAATGAAGAATCTTCCATCCATCCATTCTCACTTTTTCCGACCTTTGGATCCTTCCACTTTCACTTTCATGGAAAGGCAAGGTTTGATGTCACCCTTTGGAGATGAGATCTATAGCTGCCAGTAGCCGTTCATTGCTGCGTGGCATTGGATGTGCTGCTGCTAGTAGGAGGCCAACTGCATCAGCAGCAGCAGCATCGGGTCGCTTCAACTTGGATACCAATCAGGACCGCCCAACCTCCTTTTTCTGTTTCCATAGAACCTACGAAACAGCAACTTCTTCAAATCATGACAACAATGACGATGACAATGAGGATCATAAAACCGATCCCTACGAGATGGACGACATGGACGATGATTCCGACTATGACGACGACGACGATGATGATTCCCATCAACCTTGGAAGACGCTACTAGAACTTCCTGCCCGCGCCGTATGGCGTGCGGCGGATCCTCATCCTCCCGACACGGTCCGGGACGCTCAAGCCACCGTCTTGACCAAGGGAGCCGCCACGGCCAAACAGTTGCGACGAACGTTTACAGAAATTACGGTGGCGCATCGTGCCTTGGGCGAACGACGGGAACGAGAACGGCGACGAATGTTACATCGCACGGGCCATTATAGCAAGAGAGCCCAGCAACGCGATGACGAAGCACAACCCGTCTTGTACGGACGTCTCGAGACATTGGCATCACTGCGGAATCGATTGCATCCCAATTATGCCATTACCAAGCGAGTTCTGGAAGAAACCAAATCGTTATTACAACTGTCAGACAATTCGCAACCCAGGAGAATTATTGACATGGGCATGGGAGTCGGATCGGCTTCGGCAGCCGCCATGGAAGTATTTCAGGACGATATCGAATGGATCCATGGCATTGATCCGTCACGGTGCATGAGAGAATGTGCCAAGGAATTTCTAGAAGAAATCATTCAGCAACAGCAACAACAAGCAAACAACAATACTACTACGAGACTGACCTTGACGGGAAGCATTGCATCGGAAGCGTCCTCGGTTTCCACTTTTGATTTGGCACTCTTCACGTACACGGCAACCGAATTACCCCATGTGGCATCCACACTGGCGGCGGCTGCCATTTTGTGGCAAAAACTCGCCCACAATGGACTCTTTGTCATGATTGAACCGGGAACACCGGATGGATTCAATTCCACCCGTGCCGTTCGCAATATGCTGCTCGATTGTTGTCCACCACCCGAACGACAAGAAGTAGACGAGGATAGTGTCGAGGATGAGTGCCATATTATTGCACCCTGCACGCACAATGGAATATGTCCCATGGAACGGCTGCAGAACCGGCAGCCGAGTTCGACTCCCACACAGGCGGATGTTCCATTTGATGATAGTAAGGACAATGATGATGATGACGATAAGGACAGCGACGACGACGACGACCATGATGGTTGGAATTCCGAGTTTGAAAAACTCCTACAAGCACAACAACAACTACTAGCGAACGATCCAGAGGATGTGCCCGACATCACAACGGGCAGAACCAACAACAACAATAATACGTACACGGTCGATCACACGGATTTGCTCGGTCGTAGGTTTTGCAGCTTTGTCCAAACCATGTCGTCGGGATCGCATTTGAATCGAGGCGAAAAGTTTTCGTACCTGGTGGCTCAGAAACGGGTCAAGGGCCAAATGACTGTTGTCGAGAACAATGACAACAAGGAGCATTCTTCTTCCTTTGAGAATGAAAGGTTGCGAGATTTGTTAGCGACCGTCTACGAGAGCAACTATGACCCAGAGAGCATTCCCGATACGGACGCAGTTGCCAAACGACAACAGGTGCAGAACCTATTTGAAGATGCGGAGGCTCTCAAAGCGAAATACTTGGATTCGGAGGAAGATGATCTTGGATTGGAACTACTGCAAGGGGACCGCAACCGAGCTTCACATGGGCGTATCATACAAGCACCGCTCAAGAAAAAGGGACATGTCTATATTGACTATTGCGCAAATCCGGGAAGGTTAATGCGAACTCGGGTGTCCAAGGCCCTGGATTACAGTGTTGCACCAGGGCTTTTCACTGCCGCTAGGAAAAGCCGGTGGGGTGGTCTTTGGCCCGATGTTTCGAGCAGTAGTGAGGATGATTCCAGCAAACCTTAACCCAGACTGCATTAGCTGACAGTTTTTTATGGAGCTGGGCTAGTCTATCTGTTTTTCTTTAATGCTTCTGATACCCACCAATCCGGGGGATAGTGCTTGACAATTCCAAATATGGGGCGTTCAGTGTTGCCAGCCTGTTCCGGTTGCAACTCGTCTTCCGGAGATGGTTCGTCCGGAGATGGTTCGGGGTCGTTAAGGCTTCGCTTCCGCCGATGCATTCCTGGAAATGGAACGTCAAACATCAGATTCCAGTGGTCCAAGTGCTTGTCAGTGTCAGTAAAGCCTACCAGATCCTGTCAGTTAGTTGTTTGGATAGTGTGCGTAGAGATCGTCATTAGAGCCTTGAGATGAAAAAGTGCATAACAGTGGATAACTACAAAGGTACTTACTGGATCGAGATCGTCAATGTTGGCCGCTATGAAAGGGAATGGATAAGTAAACAACTTGATGGACGGAAAATAAGCCACAATATCTTGATTGCAGCTGAAGTCGATCCTTTGGCTTGATCCCGTCGGCTTTTCAACATTAGATCAAAGTGAGAATCTTTGATTGACAGTTGCCAGGGAATTCCAACAACATTGCTCACCTCATAATTACTGCGGAAGCAACCCACAATGGCCTTGGTAGTAATCCGCAAAAAGCCAATGATAAAGAAGGCAACCATGGCCAAAATGACAGACCAATAGAACCATGTGACGATTGTCTCCTGAATGCCAGAATAGCAACAGAGAGAGGGACTACTGTTGTCAGACTTCCAAATCATGTCCAGTTGAACACTCGAATCAAACAAGTCCTCACCTGGTCTCTGCGAAGCAAAAAGGTCAGCAAGTAATCAATCAGTCAAGTGTGAGACATATCGTATGCTCCATGGTGGGTTCCGTCCCCAGGTGATTCTTACTCTGTCATCCATTTCAAACCGTCTGGTTGAGCCAGGACCGAAGGCGGAAAGTTGAAGCCGTAGGTTTCAAGTTGGCCACTGAAACAGGTGCGGACTTATATGAGGAACACTTACTTGCAAACTGCCAGACCAAGCCGAACCAAACCAAGATGACATACCGGTAGCCTTGGTGGCAGAATCTTACAGGCTCCTCCTGTCCCACATTCACATCTATGCGTTTATCGTCGCTGAAACGGAGGGCGGAGGCATTACGCTGCGGAATAATCTTGGAGATAGTACCACCCTCAGGGTCACATAGATTGTCGTAAGGGAATTCGGCCCAGGCGTACGCAGAAGATATGATGAAGGCCACCAGAGCCCCAGTGAAAAAGTATTTCCGGCTGAATACTGCGAGCTTGTTGCCAAGCGACGGGGCCACACCCCAGATTCGCACTAGGCAAATCTAACATTGGGGTTTGTCGTGAAGCCAGTGTGAGTGAATAGAACTTTGAATCGACGTGCACCATTTGCCATACAAGTCCAGCTTACCTTGTCCACATAATATTGTACCAACAAAATCGCAAACCCAAAGAAGAAAGATGCCGGGAACAGGGCACTGTAGAAGAAGCAGACAAACAGTACCTTTGTAAGGTCTGTGTATCTTTCTCCAAGGTTGTACCGAGTGCCAAGGAAGCAAAGGTTCATTTGCTCTAATTTCGAAGTGAGAACGGCATGGAAACGTGAACGAAAAAGACCTTGACAAGTTAAATCATACCTTGAGTTACCGCACGCGGCGCCAATATGTGCTTCTGGAGGTTCCCCGGGAAATCGGCGTATCTTCATTGTGAACGAAAAAGGCAGAATGAACCATCTGAAAGCAATAAGATAGAATGCAGTTCAATCACGGCAACATACCGAATGAATGGAGTGATAAAGAGTTCCGCCCAAAGGATGGCACTGATACTGGGAAGCAGATCGTTCCGTCCAGTGCTAATGGAAGAGGTAAATGGTGTTATGAACTGTAGTACCATAGCTGAAAACAAGGCGGTTAGGACGCGTGCGATCTTTATCATATCATGATGCTTGTTGCTGCATACCTGTATTGAACCAACGAAACAGTGTAATCTTGAAGTAAAGAGATGATTGATAACCTCCTTCAGTTTGGTGTCTCTCGAACATCATCAACTGGGGATGCAGAGTGCTATCTATGTGAGTGGCATGCTGCCATCATGATGTGATGGTGGGCGGGACAACAAATTTCTTGGACTTACCTGTTGCAATACAAAGGGAATGCCACCATTGAAAATCGCCCTGAAAGAAGTCACAGCAACGATGCAGCACTTGGATGAGAGGTTTGCTGCGGGGCACAACGACTACCTGGGCTTTGGGCAGACACTTACACCAAAGCAGCAGACATCCGAGGCCCCAGCTCTTGACGCGTTATATCTGCACAGTAACCAGCAACAGCAATCAGTCCGATGGTCACGATAAAATTTGCAAAACTGGCCAGAACTCGGTACAGCTTCGAGTCACTAAGGTCCTGCCAACGAACTTCCGGGGAACTGAGGTTTGAGCCGCATGGTGATGACATAATGGTGCAGTGATTAGGCGCGACACACAATTTCCTTGACATACCTGCATTGGGTTCGGTTGGATCTATCACTCTGAGTACTCTATCGCGAAAGATGGCGCTCGGAGGGATATTGTGCGTATTGTTCATGATAATGTCGACACGACTTGCAGAAAGCGCCTCGAGAGCTGACCGTTGCCCTTCTTCTGTTTCGAATGTAACGTAGACCTTAGAAAGCTCATATTCTTGGAGCTGAAGCTCCTTGATCTTTTCAGTGAGAGTGTCAATGCGCTCTAGGCATGACTCCGCCTTTGCAAGCAAACCAAACATTCTCAAGGGCTTAAATAGCAAGAACTCCAGCACGCATCCTACGCACCCTTGCGGCTCCGCGTCTCTTTCTCGAATATGAACATCGACAGCCATCCGTAGCGCATCTTCATCGTCTAGATCTGTTCCTTTGGGCAACATTCGCCGTAACTGGTCCCTTTGTATTCGACGAAGCAAAAGGGTTCGCAGCATCTCTTCATTGTCGAGGTGAAGTGACACAAGTGTCACTTGCTTCTCTGCAAATTGTGCAAAGAAGTCTCGCCATTCGTCTGGGTCTAGAGCATCCGGTGGTGGATTCTTCACTGCAACAGAGTAATCTTTGGCTGTCAGTTTGTCTTCATCAAAACGGATCTCTCGGGTTGTTTGGTACATGGACATGCCGGTCAGGAAAAGAAAGAAGAAAACCCACGTGAACCAATTGACAGCCCCCAACATCAGTGTTACGTCACAATCATTCCTCATTGCCAACAAACTGCCATCATCCGCCTCGGCCAACCGGGATGCTGACTCTCCGGGGAAAAGCTCTCTTGTGCAATCCTCGCAGTATGCCCAGTAGGTAGAAGCACACTCTGCGCTTCCTTCCAGGCCCCAACGCCTCCCTCTGTCGTCACTATAGTTCACAGCATAGTGATATATGCTTGGCACGTTGCACAATGCTGCAACTAAAAACATGATCGAGATGGCACGCACTGATTGGAAATATAGATCAACCTTGTCGTACCGCAGAGGTTTGGTGAATAAAGCGTGACCGAAAGTAAGGCGTCTGCAAAAAGCAAAGTAAAGCAAACTGAAGTGCAAATCCCTTACCCCAATTCCAAATTCTTTTGTCCATTACACAATTTTAAAATTGACCAAAGAGATTTGATGCCAAGCCAAGCAAAGCCACGTCAAGAGAAAAGACAGAAAGCAGAATCAATCAATATTTTCACAACCGACTCTTCACCAATAAGACAACTCTGTTACGTACCCACCAAGTGCTTTTGCTTTGTTTTCCACGGATTGTAGAGTTCAGTCTCTCCCTTTTCATTTGGCTCTGCTCGCCTCTTGGCTGGACCGACAAAATGACGAGGGAGTGTCACACGCTACCGGTACCCATCCGAATCGAATCGAATCAAACAAAGGAGAGCACAATGAGACCGTCAGAATCTGGAAGATAACCTGCTAGTACAGGTTTTCCTTTCTGGTTCTTACCTCGTAGTAAGCCCAAGAATAGGATAATGATGGAGCACCAGGAATGTCTTTACGAGGAAAGTACCAAGAACACTGTGAACGCCATTGCAGTTGGAGAAGCAGTGGCGGTAGCAGAGATCTCCACAACGTCAGGATCACAAATATTCAAACTTCCTCCGACAATTACAAAAACAGAAACTCACGTGCTGGAGATAAGTCTCCACAAACCACCGAGCCCAAGTCCTCTCTTTGCCCTCCTCCTCGTGCTCGAGGGATTCCATCAGTTGCTCGATCTCTGCATCCGTCAACCGAAACCCCCTCGCTGAATTCGATCTCTGTTGTTGCGAAGACCGATCCAATTGGCGAATCTCATCCATCGTGGCACCTTTTGTCGTCATCTTCTTGCTCTCTGGTCCCTCCTTGTACAACTTGTACAACGGTGTAGAAGGGTAAGATTGAAGATTCCGATTTCCTTGTGTGGATGGATGCATCGGCACGTACCACAATAATAATTTATACTGATCAGTAGACTCCAAGATAGTCGGATAACCATAAAGATGCGCATACTAGCTAGTACATGTAAGTCCCCACCACAAAGTAGTGGTACTGTACGCCAACCGTTTTTTGTTGATCCCCCTTTGACCCCCGTCAGATACCATTGACTAGCTAGCTAGCTAGCAAAACTCCGAAAGAGCTTGCTCGATCGTGGAGCCCATTTGCGACCTCTAGCTACCAGCTACTAGCCAGAGCTTCCAATTGAAAAGTTAGCATCAAGATTGATGCAAGTTGCTTCAGAGTATACACTAGCATTAGCTTCCTATGGCCTTGATACCGATCAAAGTACCTGGTACCAGTTGTGTATTGGAGTCCAAGCCCCACCTAGCTAGCTAGCTAGCACAGGGGCTGCCAGGATTGGTTACTACTTTCAAAGCTCTCCGAATACGCCGTTCCGATCATATCGCTTTCAATCTTCATGCGAAGCTGCCACTCAGGAGGATAGTGCTTTACAATGCTGAAAATCGGTCGCTCTCCGGCGTTGTTTGCTGACGAGGATTTCTTTCCACCGTTGTTGTCCTCGATTTGATCGGGGGTGATAGATATCGTCATGCGCCTCCGTTGATTGATTCGGGGCACGTCAAAGATGAGGTTGTGCCTGTCGTAACTATGTCTGGGATCTGACCATCCAATCATATCCTGTACAACATGCGAGCAGCCAATTTGAGCAAGCACTCGTGGGAGAACAACGAAAGCCAATGCATTTGAGAGGCGCTCACCTGGTCAATCCCGTCCACGTCGCATGCTAGAAGTGGGTACATCAGTGACTCAACTTTGATCTGGGGAATGTATGCCACCATCCTTTCGTTGGAACTAAAGTCAATCCTTTGACTTTTGGCAAGGGTCGGCTGGAAACATCAAGCGAGTCCGGGTTAGACTGTGCAGAACACAATACGAGACGCGCTGTTCATTTGTGCTCACCTTGTAGGTTGGTCGCATGAGAGAAGACACAAACAATCGAATCTCCTTTAGGAAGTAAATGACATAGGCAACTGAAACGGCCAGCGAGGTCCAACCGAACACGGTACAAATTCTCTCTTGAGCTTCTGTCATCCATTTCAGGCCCTCTGGTTGTATGCCCGGTGTTGGCGGGAAAGGGAACGCAGCATCAAAATCTCTGCTCGGCACGCAACGCTGCAGGTGAGCGCAATTCCAAAGCAAATACGAACGTCAATGTCAGCACTTACTGAATGTCCTGGCTGCAGAAATAGACTGGAGTGTCTTGGTCTATTGTTATTGTGTCGACTGTTCCATTCAAGAAAGAAACATTCTCGAAGGTCTTTTGCAACACACGTTCAGTATCGCCCACCTTGTCACAAACATTGTCGTATGGAAACTGTGCCCATGAATAGGCGGATGATACGATGAAAACTACCATCGCAAGATTGAAGAAGTACCGTCGACTGATTCTTGCCAGACGGGGGCCAATGGCAGCTGATTGTCTCCACACTCTGACTAAAAGGTACTTGTCAGTGTAATATTGAACCACCAGAATCGCAAACCCAAAGAGGAAAACTGCAGGATATAGTGCCGAGTAAAAGAAGCAAACGAAGAGGATATTTGCCAGTGCCTGAAGGGTAGAGAAGCGGAACGTGGCGTCAGCAACTACCTCAGCCAAGAATACGGTGGCAGGCCGTGCATGGTTGATGTCTCACCGTGAACCGTTCGCCCAGCCGGTAGGGAGTTCCCTTTCGAATGCATGAATAAGCGCGGTGAGAATGGGGTCATGAGTGCAAGGGAGAGAAACATCGGTTCAATACACACCAGAAAGTTTCGATTCATTTCAGACTGCGTCAATGCCCTGGGCGCAATGACATGCCTAGCAAAGTTTCCTCCGATATCCAAATAACTCGTAAAGGGCGTCACCAATAGCTCCGAAACCAGCACCGCTTGCATTCCAGGTAGGACATCGTCGGCTGAATCACTCAAGTTCGAAACCAACGGCGTGAACACCTGCGTTCAAAGAGAGCGGAGTGTGAGCCAATAGACTAGAGAAATCGTGCAACGATGCAAGCCTGCGAACTTACCTTCATGATGACGCTCGTATTCACCCAGCGAAAGAGAGTGAGCTTGCAGAAGTATGATATCTGAACAGAAAGGGACTGACAGTGAGCTATCAAACGTCTTGTACAGATCTTGCTGATTCGACTGAAGATTCGCACGCACCTGCCATGAACCTTCAGTTCGATGACGTTCAAAGTACATCAGAGACTCCACAACAATGGGAACTGCCGTATTGAAGATTGACACAAGAATACCGGCAGCATAAGGGCCGTGTTTCTTTCTTGCGGAGTTTTCGCACCATGCGGCATACAGGATGACGATTATTGTGACGATAAGGTTCGCTGTCATGACCAGTGCGGTGCCTCCTTTTCGCATACCCAGATCCAGCCATTTGACACTGCTGGGATCGACGGCCCTGTCAACTCGCAATGTATCCCCTCGAAACGTTGGGATCGTCTTGTTTGGAAACTTCATTGCCTCCACCAGTCGAGAAGGTTCATGCGAAAGAGCCGCCAAGGCTTGTCGTTGGCCTTCCTCCGTTTCAAAGGTCACAAAGATACTTGCGACGTTGTAGTGTTTCAGCTGAAGCCTTTTGACCTTTTCGGTGAGATCTGTGACTTTCTGCACTGCGGCCTCTGGGTCGATAAGCAGACCAGCGCCCCGGAGAAACTTTTCAAACAGCTTGGATGAGCCGCTCCTGGTGGCACTTTCTCGCTCCGCCATCATGGTTGCCAATGATTCTTGCACGCATGCTTCGTCTTCAAGATTGACTTCACCTGGTAGTAGCTTCTGCAGTTCATCCATTTTCTCGCGACGCTCGACGAGAGCCCGCAGGAGTTCATCGTTATCCAGAGCAACCGTCACCATTGTGACTTGTTTTAGGGCAAATTCAGTAAAGAAGTCTCTCCATTCAACAGGATCATTCGCATCAGGAGGTGGATTGAGAACTTCGATGGTGTAGTCATCGGCTGTCAACCGATCTTCATCAAAACATATCTCTCTGGCATGCATGTAGACTGCTAGGAGTGTCATGAAAACGGCCACAAACACAAACGTTGCATAATCCAAAATACCATCCATAATCATGCGGCCTCCACAATCATTTCGCTGCACCAAGACTGTTCCATCCGGGGCAGTAGCAAAAGTGCTTCCTTCCTCTGCCCAGGACCAATGATCGGCAGTGCAATCGGCACAGACCACCCATTTGGTTCTGGTACAAATGGCAGATGCTCGCAAGGACCAAGGTAAATGCTCCTTTCCAGTCGAATAGGTGGGACTGGCGTAGTACATCATGTTTGGAATGTTCAGGATGGCACAAACGAGAAACATGAGCGAGAGGTACTTCAACATTCCAAAGTACTGGTCTACGCCAAGACCCCACTGGAGAAAGCAATAATCTGGCATGGTTCTGGGTTGGAACAAGGCAGTCTTATCGGTTTCACCTGGATCAGCTATCCGATAGACGTGATCCGCCGCGAACCACTGGTATCGGGGCAATGTCATGTGTTCAAAGAAGGCCCATGCTTCGGAAAGGGACGGCGCCTTTTCCACGTCCTTTCGAGGAAAGTACCATGATTGCTGGGTTGATTGAATTCGATTCAACGAAGTTCAGGAAGAAAGAATCAAAGAAGCAGCCAGTCAGGTGGTAAGTCAGTGTATAAAGGAAAGCCAATCAACTCTAGACAAAATTACAGTACCTTTTGTAGCCACTTTTCTACCGATAACCGCGCCCAAGTTTTCTCTTCGTCACTATCCTCATGGGCAAATGACTCCATTAGGTCCTGGATTTGGGATTGCGACAAATCCCGTGGAGCTGGCTCCGAGACAGGACGGAAGCGACCATTTTTAATGATGCTATCGCTCTGGGTGAATCTTCGCCTCCGACGACTTTGTCTACTTGGGGCTTTCTTCTCTCTCTTCGTCCATGGCAGGAATCCCCAACGTTTCTTTTCTTCTGTGTCGTCGGTACCATTGGTCTGGCCGACAAGTGGCGTCGACTCAGACGCAAAAGAAACCTTGGACTCGTTTCTGTGGCTCATCTTTTGATACCGATACCGGTACAACCAAGGCAAAAGTGGCCCCTCTATTCTAATCTACTAGGTAGCCAGGAGTTATCCCTTATAGCTACTTCATCTACTTTTCGCAATCAATATGATGGGCCCTCCGGGCCTTTGTTGTGAGCATTTGGGCTTGAGGTGTGTACAATACTACTAGTAGCTAGTAGTGGTTTCCGCGTTGTGTTACCATTGCCAGATCTTTGGCTGACGTGCTGACGTTGGTGAGATCTATTCGCAATCGATTATTCGAATTGTCTCAGTGGGAGGAACTCAATCGAACGATCGATTGAATATTTTTTTTAAATCGAATCGAATCGAATCTTCATCAATCTGCTTTCACCTTTCACAGGAGGTTCACGGGGCTTAATCAATGAAAGAGTGACCGATTAATTAAAAGTTCGTAATATAAAGATGTGGTTCACCCTATCGTTTAAATGGGGCTGTTTTGGGCTGCTTCTTTTCCATAAGTATCCTGCTAGTGGTACCTGTATCCACGTCAGAGTTTCAGCGAAGTTAAATCCGGCCGGCGGTACGGCGAATAGAATGAATGATCAATCATCGCGCAAAAGTCAAAAGAAACTGCAAGACCTACGAGCTACTAGTAGTAGCTAGACTACCTACCGCTACGCTGCTGCCGGTCACCAACAGCCAGTACTAGCTAATAGTAGTGCGCATGCGGCAGTGTGGATCCTGCGTACATGTACCGGTAGTACGGTACCACCGACTGGTCCCACTATGCTACCGCAGTACTAGCTAGTAGATCTAGCTAGTACAGTCGTAGTCTACCTTTCTCCAAGCAAGAGGACCAAGAACCTGACAATCAAACCAAAGCATCCCGTCCCTCCTCCCAATAGGCTCCCATAAAGCAACATCATCATTATCATCTCCAAACCAACACACAAAATCAATCACCATGAGCTCCTCTCTCGCAGACATGTCACGAGGCAATCCATTTGTCCATCCTCGAGATGAGATTGTCCGAGTAATGACTCGCATGTACAACCGTCGCCTCACCACTGTTTCGGGAGGTAATGTGAGTATCAAAGACAGTGATGGGACCATTTGGATCACCCCCGGGTCCACCGATAAGGGTGACATGAAACGAGAACAAGTGGTCTTTCGACGTGCCCGATCCACCATGTGGGAAGGCGATTTGTCTCCCTCTCGTGAGTGGCCCTTTCACACTAAAGTCCTCCAAGCCAGACCAGATTGCAACGCCGTCTTGCACGCCCATTCGCAAACCCTCGTGGCATTTTCCGTGGCCAATCAGGTACCCGATACGCTTGTGAGCTACCAGGCCTATCATTTGTGTGGAACGGCGGCTCTTTCCCCCTACAAAATGCCGGGAGCACCCGAGTTGGCAGATGTCATTTGCGACAAAATCATTGACCATGATTGTGTCATTATGGAGAATCACGGAGTGGTGGTCTGTGGCGCCAGTCTTTCGGAATGCTACCAAAAGTTTGAAGCCTTGGAATTTTGTGCTCGTGCCATTGTCAAGGCCACCATGTTGGGGGGCAATCGCCGCTTGCTCAACAAACTTGACGTTCAGAGCGAGAATGCATTGCGTGAGGCCGAGCTGAAGCAGTGGAAGCCATCCTTCAACAACCGCCCTCCCATCACCACCAAGGAATCGGAGCTACGTACAGAGCTGGTCAAGTACACCAAGCGCGCCTACGATCAAGGGCTCATCATTACCTGCATCGGGGCCTTCTCGGCACGTGTAGGTCCCACGCAGTTTCTGATTACTCCACAACGCATGGATCGCTCGACACTGGACCTGGAGGACATTATGCTCGTGGACACCAAGACAACACCCGCCAAAGTCTATGGCAAACCTGGATTACAGCCCAGTAAAGAGTGGAAGCTCCATGGAGCCATCTACAAGAGTCTCCCAGAACTGCAAGCCATATCCTTGGCCATGCCGTTCCATTTTGGGGCCTATTGCATGACCGATTTGGACTTTCCTACCAATGTGCACCCGGAAACCTATCTCGTATGTCGCGATGTAGGACGCATCAGCTTTCAAGAGTCGCAAAACTACGACAACGTAGTGCGATACTTTCAGGAAGACGGCCACCACGCGCTGATCATCGACAACAAGGGGGTCGTTGTGACGGGGCAGAGCGTGCATCGCGTCTACGACATGTTGGAAATTTGCGAGAGCACAACCAACGTGATCTTGGATGCCCAAAGTCTCTCGGGTTTCAACCTCATGACCAATGAGCAAATCGAGGAACTGGACCGTCACTACTTTGGAATTGGTGACGACGGAAGCAGTGAGGACGAAGAAGAAAAGAAGGATGTGGTACAAAAGCCAAAACTTCTGAAGAGGGCCAGCCTAGCCCGGAAGTCCAGCCACGGTATCCGCATTGATGGACACTCCCTAGCTCTCTCAGACGATGAAGATTTTGAACTCTTTGAGAAGAAGAGTGGCCATTTCTTGAGGGCCAGTCTCGTTCGCAAGAGCCAAAGCTTGTTTCAATACGGCAACCCATCTTTTCACTGAACCGCATAGCCACCGGCAGGATAGCTCTTACTATTACCGCTACTATTAATTAATTAATAGAAAAAGAATACATGAAATCTATGCTTTAAAAAGAATAAAGGAGTGTACATGTACTAGTATGTATCAATGCTTCTCTTAATAATTAATCAAGCATGAAGGAGTGAATGTAGTCATAGCTGTAGTCATGCAGTCAGTAGCTGCGGCTGGAGGGTACACAAGCGCGTAAAATGTAAAATGCAATATCCTGGTAGCTGGCTCACTGACCACCGCCCGCAGTACGTGTGCTATTCTCACCACTCACAGCTGTTGCTGTGCGATTGTCAGATGCAACACCGTCAGCTCCACAACCACACCCATAAAAGTCTTCAGTGCAGTCAAAGTAGAGTCCACACTCAATTTCCTCTGACCACCACCATGGTTTGAAAGGGCAGATGCCCATGGTATCATTGGTTCCAAGGTGACACATTTCATCAGAAAGTTCACCTGAAAAGTTGTTTCCTGAGACAAAGAGCCCTGAAAAATTCCCCTCTGAGGCAAGAAAATCCAGCTCTCTTGGGATCGTTCCTGTGAGTTGATTGTCATCCACGACCAACAGAACTAAGCTGCTGGCCAAGCCAATTTCAGAAGGGATGGGACCTGATAGGGCATTTTCACGAACATGAAGATGCTGCAGCGTGGGTGCAAGTCCGACCTCAGTTGGCAGTGGTCCGGTAAGGTCATTGCCATCCAGATGGAGTAGCCGGATAGCATCGTTAAAGATCTCAGTTGGAATGGTCCCAGAAATGTGCTGTCCAGATATTTGCCAAGCATCCAAGAGTGTCAGGAGTCCCATCTCAGTGGGGATGGGGCCGGTCAGCAAATTTTCATGCAGCCAAATGCTGGTTAGCTTTGTCAACTCGCCAATGCAACTGGGGATACTGCCACTGAGTTGGTTGAGCTCAAGAACCATGTCATCCATGTCTGTAATCTGGCAGAGCTCTGTAGGCATTGTTCCTGCAATAGTGAACAAGAGAAGGCAAAGCGAAGTGAGTTGATGTCTCAACAATCCAACAAGGGAGTTCACATCAGGGACAAACCTACCTGTGAAATCATTGTGCCAAAACATGAACCATTGCACCAGTGACAACCTGCCTATTTCGGTGGGTAGCGTGCTTGTAAGTAGATTGTGGTCCATTCCAAACCATCTCATGGTATCTGAGAGCAACCCGAATTCTGTGGGGACTGTGCCAGTGAGACTATTACTTGAGATCCCGCTGTAGAAGAGGCATCAAAATGACGAGTTAGAACACCCTTGCTTCCTCAAGAGCTTTCCAAGAACTCCAACAGGAAACTTACAAGTCTTGCATGGATGTGAGCAAACCCACTTTGAGAGAAATATTGGAAAAGGTTGATAAGTCAGTGACGTCTGTTGCGCATCATCTCCCAGAGGTGTTGGCTGTCCATCTGCTCACTTACCCTCAGTGGGAACTGTCCCAACAAGTCCTACAGTCCAACTGAGGAGTAATTCTAAGTTGGAAAGCAACCCAATCTCAGTTTGAATTTTGGTGCCATCAAGTTTGTTTCCATCCAAGAAGACTGTTTTGAGATTAGTCAGCAAGTAGAATTCTGGGGGGAGCTGTCCATCCAGGTTGTTGTTGAAAAGCCACAAATGTGTAAAGACTTGCTCTCCTGATCCCTCACAGGACAAGAAGGGCTCCAAGTATTGGTAGTTGCCACCAAAGATTTGTGTAGCCCAGTCATCCCAAAACTCATCTTGAGTTCCACTACCTGGATTTTCGTCCATTCTGGAGTACCATTGGCACTCGTGGTAGGCATGATTCATCCAAAGTTTATTGTCCCTCCACTTGTCACCATTGGTGGCATAGTATAAGGTTGCAAGGGAAAACCTCTGGATGATCCTCGTTCCAGAATAATCACTTAAACTAGGATCCGCCAGCAGCCACTCATAGGCACGTGCTTGAGGAGATCTGTTGTCTTCAATTGCCTTGATGGTTTCTTGTGGCAGATGAGCAAGGACCAACTCCTCGATCGAAGTGGGTGCCTGGGTGGGGAATGGTGTTGTTTGTTGTTGTGGAGTCGGTTGACTACTACTTCCAGCCTTGTCCTGCTCACCCTTGCCAGCAAGTGTAAAGACGAGCAACAAGACAATTCCTGCCACTATCGCCACACCCAAACCCCAATACATAGGCATCCTGCTGTCATTCTCATCAGTAGGTGCCACTTTCGGACTTCCTGTTTCTTCACGTGCACGCGGCAGGTCAGGTGGCTGCTCATCAGCCACCTCGTTCGCTACTGCCAAACCTTCATTGGTGTCGGTAACAATGGGGCTACTATTGGCCCCGTCGTCGAAGGACTCCCGAGTGTCAAGCGGAGGGATGGAACGCTCTGCTCCCTGAAGCATATCGGCATGGAAAGTCTCGTTGCGCTGCAGCTCGGTGGTGCCAAAGGAAGCCGCGAACGCACCGGGCCTTGGTGGTGGTGGCTGAGCTCTACCAGCGGAAGGTGATACATCAGACACGGATGGCTCCGCCGCGTTCTCGTTTATATCGATGGCAACGTGGTCGGTGGCCGCCTTCTTCTCGTTGCCATTCGCTGAAGGACTTGGGGACATGCCTGCGGTAGGAAGCATGTCTTCCACCAAGCCCAACTTTCGTTCGAATCCTTCCGCCTTTTGTTTGTCGTCCAACAACTCTGCTTTAGGGCTGCCAGAAGTCTTGGCATCGTTAACAGATGCCGCTGCTTTCGCCTTTTGTTTCGCAACCATCAGCTCTGCTTTAGGACTTACACAAATCTTGGCGTCGCCAACCCCTGGCGCTGCTTTTGCCACACCTACATGTACATCCTTCTTCTGCAAAGGGATGCTTTTAGCAGTATCTTTCGTGTCCTTAAAGGTCTGATTGCCCTGCAGCGCTTTGGCCTCTGCTGCATCAAGTAATTCAGCCAACTCCGTTACTGCAAAGGCGTTCGTCTCAGAATCATCGGTGGTGGTCATTTTGCTGATTTTGACTGAACTTGGTGAACCGGTTCGCCTCGGCTTCCTTCTCCAAAGAAAAAATGTGAACAGAAAAAATGGTGGGTCAATTGCAGCTCCAAACGATCACAATATTATTGGGAGACAGAGGGAGAGAGCTGGGAGAGATTGTGCCTTCGGGCCTGCATGGAGGTTGAGGGCATGCTCAGCTCCAATGACGACACCTTTCTGAAGAGGAGTACTGACTGTCTAAATACTATACACAAAAACTGCTCGGACACGATATCATCGAACGACAAGAACCAAGAGGACAGCCTGAGAGAAGTCGAATGTCGAATGGCCACTGGCTCAAACCTCAAAACAACTCTCAAAACTCCGCACTCATTCTGCATTCAACATTCAACATTCAACACTCTTTTTACGGGGCTCTCTTCTCACTCTACCATAGCTCTACCGTACGGCACGGAACCGGCAAGGACCTTTAAAACACACAATACTTCAGAGCTAGCTAGTAGTACCGGTACTCTTATAGGTACCGTACAGTCCAGTCGTACCTCCGGTCGCTGGTACCGGTACCGCTGGCCAGGCTGAGCCCGAAGACAGTAGATGTGCTGGTACAGCTGTAGCATTGAGTATGGTACAGTCGTACAGGAACAGCTTGGTACTCTGGAGTAGCAAGCATCGTTCGTTCATACTGTACGATTCATTCATTCAATCATTTGTTCGATCATTAGCAGTACAGTCGTACTTATTTCAGCTCTTATTTCCCACCTCGGTCGAGCTCATGGCTATGACAGGATGACAGGTCCCCGCACCCCGCACTCTTTGGTGATTGCTGCCGCTTGCCGCTTGCCGCTTGCCGCTAGCTTGATGCTGTACAAATGAGACGCTGTACGAGGTGCGAGTGCATGTAAAATCGTGCAGGGCAAGCCCTGACGACTGGCTCGCTATGTCATAGTAGCTACCGGTACTACTAGCCTATAGTACATGTAGCTACATAACACGAAAAACGCTCCTAGAAGGATGCCAGCAAATGCAGATTAGTCTACTGAGGAATAGTTTTTGGCAGCAGTTCAGAAGGTTCACGTCAGAGGCTGCCGGGCAGGCTCCGCTCGGACTGTCCTCACTCCGGATTCTCCTCCAATCCTCCATTCACCCTCTCCCCTCACCGTCCCCGGGGCCCGCAATTAGAACCTTGAACTCTTATGATAATATGTGGCCAGAGACTGGTCAATCAGAGAATGGTACCAATATGGGGTGCAAGGAGCTGCATGGGGACATCCACTGAGCAGAAGAATCGTCAAGTGTGCGTCTACTTCCTACGTTCACTCAGCGTCAAATGTGCGTCTACTTCCTACCGGAATCTTTCCCTGTAAGCGATCAGCGGGGTGTCTGTATGTATTTATTTCTCTTGTATTAACCATGGACGAGTTCAAGAATCTTGACAGCTTGAAACCTTTCTTCGATACAGCCTATGGCTTCGTTGTATTTGGTAGTGTAGCCAAGGCTGGAGTAGGCGTTGGAGGAGCTGCTGGCAGTGGAACGGTCTATGTGAACAACAAGAACGGTACCGAGACCTGCGTGGGAATTTCCAATTTGGTCCAACTGAGTGTGGGCATTCAATTGGGAGGGCAAGTGTTCAGTGAGATTATCTTCTTTGAGACAGAGAAGGATTTCCAAGCCTTCACTGCAGGCAATTTTGAATTGGGTGCTGACGCCAGTGTGGTTGTCCTGACGGCTCACGTCAATGTGGATCTTCACTATTCCAAGGGGCTGGCTACTTTCGTCACAATTCAAGGTGGACTCATGTATGAAGTCTCAATCAGCGGTCAGAAATTCACGTATACACCCTCCGTCAAGGGGTAGTTTGCTACGTAGCTAGTTGGGAAGTGCACACACTGCTTTTTGGAAGTCACAAGGCTCCTTGTTGCTACCGTATCTGCCACAATCCAATTAAGAGCGACAATTTGCAAGTGTGTGGTTTGCCTCGGCTTTCACATCCCTGTCATGTTTCCAGTCATTTGGGATGGCGTCTGACAATTTGAAGCAACTTCAGCTTTTGTTACCGACGCTACCAGAATATGCTGGTGGCAAGGAGGGCCCACCACGTTGGGTTACACGAACCATTGACATAAAATAGCTGCCGTACTGGAAGGTTGTCATGGTTCTTGAACCTATCTCTGGCTAGCTAGTAGCTGGCTACTCAGTCAGGAAACAAAGAAGAAAAGGGAGACATGATCAAGAATTATTGTGCCAGCTTCGTGCTAAAGCAATATTTGTGGTACGAAAGGTTTTAAGTGTCTTCTGAAGGCTCTGAAAATTAGCGAACCCGCACGGGGGGCCAAACACCAGGATGGTTGCTGCCTGTCACAATACTATGGTGTTGTGATTCAGAGGAGCATGTGCGAGTATAATGCAGTGATGGCCGAGTTTGAGGTTGCCTTGACTTCACTGCTGGCTACGGTACTAGGGGAGGAAACCACCCTGATACGGCCTCTGCACGGAACAACCCGGGTTCATTGCTTCAAGCGAAAGGAGATTCGGATGGTGCGCAGCAGCAGTACCTTAGAGCCCTTGCAACTTGTGAAGCCGTTTTGGGAGTAGATCACCCTCTTACCGTGGACCTTCGTCGTGAAAATGTCATACTTTGGCTACGTAGCTGATACAAACAAGCTGCTGCTGCTGCTGCAAGTTTTCATCTCCCCACACACAAGCTACTACTACGCACAGAAAATCATTCACCATCACAGCAGGGCAGGCTGAGGCATTGGTGGAGCCAGCCTGTCAGCGTGTTTAATTAATTAAGCGGGTGTAATTAAGCTGAACACGATGTAACTGCAGTCTCACATGATCCTGTTGCATCATTGTTCTTCACTTCCACCTCTGTGGTGAACCTCTTGACCATGTCAAAGTCTGCCACTGCAAAGAATGACACACTGTAGACTTGCTCTTTTTCGCTAGCAAGGAAACAGAGAGACTTCGACATCACGACGCAGCTGGCACTGCACGACCGAGTCCGCATTCTTGAGGACCCAAAGAAAAACCCTGATTGAAGGGGGCCAGCGCATCGTAGAATTCTAATTCTTGGGGATTCAAAGCGGCACGAGGGCGAAGCTGTGGCCGCCAACAGCGAGGAAGCCTGAAAGCATGCATATTGGCTGCTGCCCGTTGAGGTGTAAATGCATGGGGATGATTCGGGCTTAGCTCCAACAAGTCTGCACTTGCCATCGTCCGGTGGTTTTGTAGGCTGGCCTGTTGGGCTCGAAGTTGGAAGGGGAGATGGCACTTGGCTCGGTGCAGCCGAGGGTCGTAGCGTCGGTGGCCTTGGGCTTGGATTCAGATTTGGAGCAGTTGGTGTTGCCGGTACAAAATCCACGGCCGGAGCAGACCCTACACAAGCCATGCCGTTAGAGTTCAAGAATGAGAGAATTCGAATGATTGACCATCGGTTGAATCCGTCTGCAGCGTTGTTTATGTTGGGCTCCATGATATGATTGTAAAAGAATGGAAATTCCAAATGTGGAGCGTTCAAGACGTGGCCGATTTCGTGTGCAAGGACAACGCCTTGAGAGTAGGGATTAGAGGAAAACGACATGTACTCTACACCGTATCCGTAATCACTGTTGCAAAAGGAACCCACAAAGGCACAACCAATTGTGCCATCTGTTAAGAGAGGAAATAGAGATTCAGGAAAGAGACAAGGGGCGCCAAGCGACGTAACATGCCTCTTGCAATACTCACCTGGAGGACTGTGCCCTGTAAACATGTGCACGGTTGCATCGGGATCGAATTGAAGTGAGTCGCGGCTGTCCCTCATCAGATTGGAGAACTGGGTAAGAAACGAGCTGTCGCTGCCACAGGAATCCTCCCGATCGTAGTCTTCAAAGACACTAGAATGAGGGGAGCATGCAACTTCAGGTGTAGCTGTATTGAAGATGAAAAGATCAGCAATCAGTTAGGCCCCCCTCATTGCAACCGTCCAAGATTCTCCGTCAAGCTAATCACGTACCAATGTCAGTCAGCTTCAGTTGGACGCACATATCTCTCTCGTAATGGAAGGATGCGGAAGCTACAATAGTCATGATGCGACGACGTGTGTCTTCAAACCCACCGTGAATGCTGCAAAAGTCGCCATCGTAAACAATAGCCAGGTTGACAACCGTGTAAGATGCGCAGAAACTGAACGAAGAGAAACTGCTTGTAGTGAACTCGGTGCGACCCTGACGATAGTCCAAATATTGGAAAGGATATTCGCCGGAACTCCCTTGCATAGTCAGATCTCGGTCTCGGTTGGCATCAGTGTCTCCTGGGGTGCTCACGTCACCGTATCTGTACCTTGATTGAAGCAGCTCATAGTCAATATCGTCACTAGTGAAGGAAAGAAACTCAGATGTGACTTCGCCATCCAACAACTCTTCTTCATTTGGAACCAGGAATGTATCAGGATCCTCAGCTGGGCGCCGTACTTCAACGTACGCAATGTTGTCTTGCTCATCTTTCTCAACAAGAATTGTGCTTCCATCTTCGTATTCAGCCCGGTAAATCGAGATCTTGATCACTTCTCCGGTTCGCTTGTCGACAATCTTTGTATTGTCATCTGATGGTACAAAGGTGTTGTCGGAAAAAAGACCAACGAATGGCTTCAGGCGAGAAAGATCGTACTCGTTTCCAGCTATATCTCGTATCATTTCGCTCTTGTTTTCGTCTACACCGCTTCTACCGGTAAGGACTTGGACGGGGAAATCCTGTCCCTGTTCGTTCTTCTTCAAAGGCAATTCATCGCGTCGGAACTTCTTCTTCGCTCCTGCTACGGCGATATTCATTCCAAAGAAAGCAATGGTGCAAAGTGTTGCGATTGTCCATTGTGGAAACTTCAACTGGGCTTTGTTGTTGCCCACAGCCATTTCAAATCCTTATCTTTGCCTTCCCCTCGGACCGTTATTGTGGCATCGTGTCACTTTGATTTTTTGTGATTGTAGTACATAGTCGCTTCCATCGTAGACATATCGACACTTTCGCTGACGTATTGCTAGCTAGACACTGGAGAACTACGTTGCTTTCTCGATGCACATGGCCGTTGACTCATGATAAGAAAGGGATAGAGCCACCTGAAGACCTATCCAGGAGAATGAATGGGGCAAAGCGCGTGTGCTTTTTGTGCTTGTGAATCAAAAAATGGATCGTGCTATGTATCGAGTTGGGATGTGTGGCATTCAACGGGTGGATCCCCTTTCAATCATCTTTATGGCATACTCCGAGCTGAGAGCTGATAAAGAAAAGCAACCGAAAGAACAACAATGTTAGGATCAGCCGCGGGAGTGGAAAGGTTGACGCGCAGGAGTAAAATGATTGCTGGGGACTGTCACTCAGCCGAACTGGCTTTTTTTATTTTACGGTTCACGAAATCTTTTAATAGCCACGCTGGCTTCGAGAGCGTGTAACAAATACTAATATGTTAGACGCAAGCAGAGATTTATGTACAGATCCCCAATCTCCAAGACTTGGATCTGGCTAGTCTCCAAGCGACCGACTGATGAGCTGATGAGACTGGTACTTCGTACTTGCTTCTTCAAGTGGACTAGTAGCGATGTGGCTAGCTACTACATGTAGATAAAACTACTCTGGGTAGACTATCTGGCTACGGCTGACTTTCGTGGCTTTCACGTTCCAGATGCGGAGTTGCCACTCCGATGAGCTGCCGAAAGATCTGGAGGCAACGGGGGACTTGCGTGCTGCGTGATGTTCCGCACGAGTTTCAATTTCTCGAATGACCCAGTGATGCAGTGATGTTGCTCGGCATCATACAGTATCACAAGGCGAGATGCGAGATGTTATCGTCCAGCGTCCAGCTTTGGTTTGCCAGAATTGCCCGACTTTTCACACCCAACGCATGTATGTACCGGTACGATATGTACTTTTACGGTATGTAGTCTGACAGAAGAACAAAATTTGCTTGTTTATCAAAGCGACGTTGCAGCAGTCCCATTTTTCCGCAAGTGACCCTTAGACTGGCTCTAGCCACCTTCACGCCGCCTAACAACCACACTCATAGCCTCCAGCCTCCAGGTAGCTAAGTTCCATTTCGGCCAGCCACCGGTACTCGTATCTGCCATGTTTCCTCGCATGTGGTCGGGACCAAGAACATCATAATTGATTGTAACGCTGGGACTAACCCTGAGCGATACTCTATTTCCACCGGTACTGACATCTCTGGCATGGCTTACAAGAGAGGTACCAGTACCTGTTGTCTTGGATGCAACTGCCTACATGTACTTCATGCTCATGCTCGCTGCCCAAGGGCCCAAGGCACAAATAAAATACTAGCTAGAGTAAGTACGTACTGTGGTGTAGATATCCAAGGGATAGCTTTCATTCCCGATTGGATTGGAGCGCTTTGTTGCAGCTGCAGCTTGTAGCCCACACCAAGCGACCTATGCATACTATTGAGGTTCCGTATTCATCCTTTTGCCAGTTTTTGCATTGCTGGAAGTTCGGTACGGTACCGTACAAGCAAGGTCAGAATGTATCATAGCTGCGACTGTGCTGTTTTCCTGTTTCCTTCACTCTCGACTGAGTAGATGCCAGTAGATGCAGGCTTTATTCTTCCAAGGATATTTTACAAGAAGATCCGGTGACACTTCGTGGTGGCAATATTAACAGTGAGCGGTCTTTTGCTTAACCCCAATCCCACCAGTTTTTGTCTTGGTCAGTACCAAATGCAATCAATGACCTGAAGGCATTGCCTCTAAACCACAAAAATCATCAATGTTTTGCCAATTAGAGCAGTTAGCTGCAGTTGTAGATGCCACTGATTCAAAATTCTTGAATGCCTCAACAGTCACAAGGGGCTTTTACCCAGGAGGTCAGTCGAATCAATCACGAGTTCTCTGATTGATACATAGGCCTTCTTATGACCCAGTACATCGAAGCGTGAACATGCACTCAAATTTTGTGTAGTATGAACATGCTGATGCTCCTGTAGAACCCTTCCTTAACAACAGAGGACTCCAGGAGCACCAATGCTGTCCTTAATAATGCCCAGCTCGGGACTCCACATCCAAAAGCCCCATTTTTTGGGCTTTCTTGCAGTATTGTTTGATTGCAAAAGAACGTTGCAACACCACCAGTCCTTGCATGCAGCACGATAGAAGCAAGTGGTGCAGTAGCAAGAGGGACAAAAGACGAAAAAGGAATTACCAGGGTTGTTCTCACAATCTATGATACCTTGTTGTTGAGTTGGTTCATGCCGTGCTTCTGTAGCTAGCTAGTAGAGATTGCGAGACAAGAGCGAAAGAAACAATTCTAAAGATAGGAACAACCAATAAATGGAGTTGGTGAGATGAACAATGGGGGACCAGTTGACCGGCATCTCACAGCGGGCGACGAGCTCGCTTTTGGCCCCAATGATGTCTTGAGTGGAAGAACCAAGTTGTCTTTCAACCACAGTAAGTTAGTTATCAACCTTGCCATTATCCGCTGTGTGCAGGGATCTGGAGCATGTGTCAAGTAACCTCTGGTGTTCTTGTTTTTCCTACTACTAGTCGGCAACCGGCGCTTTCGCGAGGTGGTGGCGCAGTCGATAGACGACTACAACTCCGCTCAATCCCGCGCCGAAAAGTATGGGATTGTCGAGACGATAATGGACGAGATTGCCAAGTCCGACGGTAGGTTCCTCAAAGAGGATGATGATGGAAACTGGTTAGAGTTGGAACCAGATACTGTTAGACAAAAGATAGCACATGCTATACGAGATACTACCAAGAAAAAAGAAGCCAAGAGACTCAAAGCATTACAGCAGTTTGGTAGTAGAGATCGAGGGATCAGGCTTCCAACATTAGCCAAGTCCTCTGCTACTGTTCCTCCAAGGAGACCTCCGGCAAAGCCAAAACCAGATTTAGGAGGTATTACCTCTTTGGTACAGGGCTTGGATCAATATCGAAAGAATATGCAGTCTCGAAGCTCCAATGCTCGCACACAAGACGATGACAACGACGACGATGGTGATACTAAAATGCCCGCATTTTCCACCAACATGGGATTGCCTTCGATACCCCAAAAACTGCCCTTTGGGCTGGCGATGGGCGATGCCTTAATGGAAGGAATGGAGCGTGCACCGTGTGCGCCTAAGAGTGCTGACATTCTTGGCGGTGTAGATGCTGCGATGAAACCACTCGGCATGGGGTTGGATAATTTTTCCATGAAGCCAAAGAACCGATACCAACTGAGACCGGACGATCAGGGCCTTGGTCTCTTGGATCCGGGCTCCCTCAGACCAGGGGGGGTTGGGACCGTCGCACTCCCCAAAGAACCTCCGGCAACACTTTTGCGAAGTGATAGCACCCCTCACCAAAAAGAACCACCCGGAGAGCTCATGCGAAGTGATACCCACGAACATGCGGGGCTTGCTGCTACCATGAGTGACCTCAGTGAGCCTCCGTATCATGCCGACCACCTGTCACCAGGTTTGGGGGCACACGACGACGAAGGGTCGTTTCCTGAAGAGCCCCCATTGGCGCACGACGAAGACGACTTTCTCTCCAAGATCAACCAGTTGCCCGGTTTGTCTGATCACGCCGATTAATCCCTCTCGAGACGCTGGGTTTTTTGCCCTCATTTTGAGTCGATGCAGCAGCGTCTGGCAAGACGGACGTTCCGTCTTGCTCTGTCGCCGTGGTCACAGAACCGTTCCCAACAGTTGATGATGGAGAGTTCCCCGAGAGCAGTCCATGGCCGCGATTTGCTGTGGCGAGGCTGCACACAGAGTTGGCCTTTTACTCATTGGTCCTTTGGGACCCAGCGGAGGCGATTATTATGCCTGTGGTTTGGCTCGGAGGAACACAACGGATCAGGGGTTGCGTTCGCAGTACTTTTAGTCTATAACTTGTAACTATAGGGAATACATCTTGTACTGGAATTTTTACGACTTGTGTTAGTTTCTCTTTTACAAATTTGGCACAATGGACTTTTGGAGTCAGAACCTTGCATTAGGGACGAAGAACGTTACATACTGGTCAAATGAACCAGTCTCCAGTTGGTGTACACAGCCTCCGATGCAGTTAGCTTGCCTTCTTTGCTTCTTTGGAGTACAGTTCCGACAATTCCTTGGCCACTTCGGGTGGAACCAGATCCTGTAAGGACTGTTCCACGTGCTCGGACTCTTTTCCTGCGATATCCTTTGTAAGATCTCGAATTAAAGTGGAAGATATATGGTTGTATTCTGGCTTTCCTTCAAGGAAAATCGTCGGCAATGGCCAAACAAACGGTCCACAAACGAGTGGGCCCCAAGTGTTTAGTATTTGCAGGCTCCGTTCTTCTTTTCCATCCCTTTCCCAACTACGAATTCCCCGAAAGAATATTGTTGCCCCTTGCTGCCTCGCATATCTCCAGATATAGCCAGCATAGACTTTGATATTGTCGTTGGAATCCACACCAGGTTCGATTTGATGAGATTCTCATGGTCACAAACCGCAAGTACTTGGCTATCAAGGAAACGCACCTTCTACGCGAATATTCTTATCGATCTTCTTCACCTGTAGCATTTTGCGCAGTAGTTCCACTCTCTGAGCAGGTGTGACTGCGTAGGTCTTGTTGGGATTTATCCCGATTACAACAATCACTTGCTTGTACCTAGTAGTAGCAGTGCAAGAATTGAAGACCTTTTGAGCAAGTTCAATCCATTTACTACACAATTCTTCCGTCATCTTTCACCAATCAGCGTTCAGTGTTCATACCTCTTGGAAAGATATTCCAACATGGCCAGGTGCCCATAATGAGGAGGGTTAAAGGAACCAGCTAGCACTACAGTCCGGGTCTTGTCTCGCTCACGATACGAGTGCGATTCTGGCATTCTCCATGGGTAGGCAATGACAGTGGGCCGCAGAATGGGAGGAATTAAGAGCCAAGCAGAAACAACGATAGACCCAACCGAAACAATTATCATCCATTCCAACACTCGCTCCAACAAGAGCCACTCGCCGTCGTTGTCCATTGTCTCTTCTTCGGCTACGAACCACAAGAGGGAAGTACTAGCTAGCTAGCAGCTAGCTAGCTACCAGGTAGCAGCTCTTGTCCTTGTTCGTATGATGCACTCTCGAATCCCACCAAAATCGTGAATAAAACCTCAGCTTTAAGGATTCAAACAGTCACGACCACACACAGAAACAGATAAATTTGCGCCAAAAAACAACCTAAGCGTTCACACCCTCGAGCAAATCTGTGTATAATCAGAAGGAAAGAGAGCATGTGTGTATTCCCTCTTCGTGTTTGAACAGCAGAAGACTGAGCTCTCGCAACAAAAGTGCGTCGAAGCAACGAGCCGAGGTGCTCGCCCCTAAATGGATTCGAAGCAAGCAAAATATTTGCATATGTGAGGCTACACACAGTCCGAGTGGTACAGTAATTTCCAGCCCCGACCTCATCTACCCACGATGGTGGGGCTGTGCCTTGCTTGGAAGCTTCATCTAGAAACTGATACCAGTACCACTCTAATTGGGTTTTGCCCAAACTAAATCTGATGTACTGTGCGCACCAACATGTTTTCTTTCTGATCTCCCTTTCAGGTCAAAAGCAAGTTACCGGCCAGGTGTGGTTGATGCCTGCATACCGGCACGGCTGTAGCCAACTCATACTGGTGCTTAGTGGGCTAAGTAGGACGCATTAGACGTAGTCCGAGTGATTACTGAGCACTGAGCACTAGTAGTAGCTAGCTAGTCTAGTATTTTAAAATTGATCTAGTACCAGTAGTGGTACTGAGTACAGTAGCTACTTTGAGTCTTTGCCGGTACGGATTTACTGGGGTGTACAGTGTGCATACTCCGGACTTCAGGATCCAGTAGCACCCGGAACTAGAGACGTTGTCCAAAGATGCGACATGCGACATGCTATCCATAAGTAATCATCATCGAATTAGTATACAACTGGGACTTTTATACAGAACATGCCACAGTGAGCCTTAACTTCATTGGAACATGCTCTAGTCGCGTGCTAGCCAAAATTTACTGGCAACCACCGTGATTTCTATTTTGTCGCTTGGAACAGGTGGGATGTTACCTGATCCGAACCAACTTGCCCCGCGACTAAACGCACTAATTCCAAAGGCGCAGAAGCTTGGTAGAAAGCTACGTGCGGGGTGGTCCCGGCGAGAGACACGTCCAACGTCCAAGCAGCTTCAACATCAAGGAAAACACGAACTGGCTACTGCGCGCTACGCTGTAAGCTGCGCTGGCTGCCATGGTATGCTACAACTGGCTAGCTACCGGTAGCTAGCTAGCTGGTGTTCACGAAGGCTCCTTTTCTTCGATTGCCAGCCAACGACCAACGACACTCACATCGCAACCAATCAGTCCTACTTTGGGTCTTCTCTTTCTAGCTTTGACTTGGTTTAATCGCACCCCAGCCAAAGTCAAAGCTCCATCACTCCATCACCAGTCCATTGAGGGGCGTTCTGAAGCGTAAGAAGATATCATACAAGTGCCAACCGTGGGTAGCGTACCGGTGCCATCAGAAGATCGACAGATTGATTCCTCCTCTTTTTGTAGTCAAGGCTAGCTAGCAGTGTTAGATTGAAGGATGAAAGAGAGCAGAAGAGGCAAGGCACCCAGAGAGCTCAGCCCGAAAGTAAAGTCAGCTTCTGTTTGGAAAGCCCCACCGTTTCCCATTATGGATCCTGATTGCGAGGCTGAAAAGAGGCCAGTGCCGCTGAGCTTCTCGGAGAGTGAGGACCTCCTACTTCCGCGAGATTATCTTCCTACAAAGTGTGAGTTTCGGACTGTGGAGGGCCTCTTGTTCGTGGAGGTAGCATCATCTCATCTGCTTCTCTTGTCGTCTCCAACCCTACTAACTCAGATGATGTAATCAATGGCAGAGGCAAGAAAGCGTGAGTAGGTCGTGTAGGTTGCAAATGGTGTTGGAGTGTGGATAGTTTGACTAATTCTGGCGTTTGTTTCGATGGTGTGCAACTGTCTTCTACCGTTCCTCCTTCTTGTGCTTGCAGATACAACCATATCGCCAATCGCAGGTAAGCTATGCATACACTTGGTACTAACCACATTTCCTTTACGGGGCATGCTAGTCCTGGAGCATCACCTCATCTTGAGTTAACCCAACCTGATCTTCGTAGGTTCCGGCAGATCACTGCCATGAACGTCAAGCGTTATCAGAATACAAAGTGCAAGGTGGACAAGTCGTTGATGTAAGTTCAGGTCAAGCTATAGGAACGGAGCTTGCCCCTTATATGCGATGTCGTTTGGCATTCATTGCATTCAAACCTCACCTTCACGGCTACTGCCAAAGTGTCATCGGCATTGTCAACTCCATAAGGAAGGCTTCTCCGTGTGGTGGGTTTATCAAGAAATGCCAAACCACCGGTCGCTGGATATCCATGAGTGATGAAGGTGAGTTTGCCCTTGCAAACGCCATGTATCTGAAGAGTCTGCCGTGCACAAACTGACGCTTGCTAGCAACTTGTGTTCTGCTTTGCTGTTCAATCAAGCGGCTCGAGAAAAGGTATGTATTTCTAAAGTTTGTTTTGGGCTGCCCACCTCCGCATTCTCAAACCTGTTTCCATATATATATATATGTTTTTCCTAGGTTGGCCACTGCCTTCGTGACATGATTGCATCCAAGCGAGATGAGAAATCCAAGCAAGCCAAGGTAGCTGCCAAAGAAGAGGCCGCGTTGAACGCCGCCATGCCCAAGATGCCCATTAGCACTCATTTGGCCAACGCAAACAGCAAGCCTCGGGCTGGCATGCCGCAGAGCAGAAGGACGCCATCGAAACAGTCTTCCAAGTCCACAGCGGGCATGACAGGTGGTCGGAGCCAGGCGTATGTGGCGACGAGTACTGCGTTGGAACCTGTGGGTAACTTTGCGAGGCAACCACCCATTCCTGTGTCGTTCAACCAGCAACCGAGTGTGGCCGTAGAGAGGAGGACCAAGCCTATCTCAAGCAGCTTGAACAATTTTGACAACATCTCGGCCAAGGGCACCCAAGACATGTCGGAACAGCAGCGCAGGATCCTCAAGCTGCTGGAAGGAGGATGGAAGGGATCCATTGAAGACCTGATCAAGTTAGCAAGCTAGCTAGGGGGCAACCATTTGAACTTTAATAAGGTGTTCTTTTTGCGTACTAGTGACTATGCATACTTGGTAAAATAATGAAAGCCTTCTCATAGACTACAAGTCGCATTGCATCCACTTTCCCAACGAGCTTGTGACATGTGACCATGGAGGGTCGAAATCTTAGCTCGAGAGAAATGGTTGGGGTGGGTGTACAGGCAGCATGCAAGGCTGCAGAACATGCCCATCTGGTTTGTTCTTGGAACTCGAATGGTAGGCTGGAATGTCCGACGGTTTTCACTCAGGCTTTAAAAACGGGCACGACTGACTCATAATCCTGGTTCTCATAAGGGGTTGTTTAAGGGGATGTTGAAGCTTTAAGGGGTTGTTTAAGGGGATGTTGAATATTTAAGGGGTTGTTGTTATGGGGTTGTTTATTTAAGGGGATGTTCATTCGTGATAAGGGGTTGTTGTATGGCGTTTCAATGAAGGCTTAAGGGGTTGTTTCGAGGATATAAGGGGATGTTGTTAAGGGGTTGTTTATTTAAGGGGTTGTTTAAGGGGATGTTGAAGCTTTAAGGGGTTGTTTAAGGGGTTGTTTAAAAGATGTTGTCAGTCGTGGCAATTTGAAGATTTTTAAATCCTGAGTGAAAAGCGTCGGACGGTCCTGGAATTGGAAAATTGATTGCATGGGAGGAATCCAAAATTGAAAATGAAATTGTGAGGAATCAAGAAACTAATATTGTGAAAAAACACAAACTTGAAATTGTGAGGAATCGAATCGCAACATTAGAATTTTGAGGAATCGCTTTTTGAAAAATGGAATTGTGAGGAATCGAAGAAAACAAAACTGGAATTGTGAGGAATCAAAAAGGAAAAAAGAATTGTGAGGAATCGGCAAAATTGGAATTGTGAGGAAATAAAAAAATGAAAAAAGCAATTGTGAGGAATCAGAAAAATCGGAATTGTGAGGAATCGAAAAATCAAGATTTTATTTGTGAGGAATCGGAATTCAAAAATTGGAATTGTGAGGAATCAGTAAAATTGGAATTGTGAGAAATCGTCAAAACTAGAATTGTGAGAAATCGGAAATCAAAATTTGGAATTGTGAGAAATCAAAAGTGAAAATTTAAATTGTGAGGAATCTGTAACAATGGAATTGTGAGAAATCGCCAAAATAGGAAATTGAAATTGTGAGGAATCGGAAATCCAAGATTGGAAGAAATCGAAAATAAAGAAATAAAATTGCTTCAAATCGGTGCCAATGCCGTGCCGACCATTGGACGAACATGGCGCTGGGCGCTTCAACTCCACCTCTCACATTTATTTCTGGAACACTCATAACACTTGCTAGCTAGCTAATAGCTACACAGCTGTTTATTGAAATCAAGGCATCCTTTTCTTCCATGTTGGCCATATCGCGTTATGTTCAGTGCTTGGCTCTCTGCATTGGCGTCCTTGCAAACGCGCAAAGGGGCGAGTCCTTTGCACTGCCAAGGAGAGCCACTGGGTACCTCGTCAACACCAATCCTAATCGCACACCCTCTTGTGGCGTAGAGATTCTCAAATCATCAGCCGTCTCCTCAGAAGAACAAGAGTCGTCATTTCGAGGAGGTGGAGGAGTACAGAAGAAAGATGCCTTTTGGAATGCAAAGTTGTTACGCGTTTTGTTTGCCGAAGGTATGTTGTACGATGCTTTCACTGATTGGGTATTGTTGCTCAGATCGATGGTCAAATCTAAACTTCCCTTTTTATTTTAAAAGCGGCTGGGACATTCATTATCGTTCAGCTTGGCACAGGGGCAGTCATGTCAGCGATATTTGACGATGCCCTAGTTGGGTTGATGCAGATTGCTGCAGGTAGGCTTCGATTGGTAGATGGCACTACAGTAGTACATTATCTCTACGCATCCCTCAAGACTTCAACCTCTGTGTTTCCTATCCAGTTTGGGTTATTGCGGTTACCTTGGCCATTGCCACAACTGGGCCCATATCTGGGGCACACCTCAATCCAGGTGAGTGAAGAAAAATGTCTACAGTAGTCACACTCATTACTACGGCATCGAAATGGCTGCATCCTGCTGACATTTCGCTTTTCCATGAATCTCCCAGCGGTTTCCATCGCAATGTCCCTTCTCAGACCAAGCTCTTCGTTTGGGTTTGGCAAGGTTCTGTTGTACATAGCGTCGCAGCTAATTGGGGCAATTTCTGGTTCATTGATCAATCTGCTTCTTTACAAGGAAAAAATTCTTCAATTCGAAGCCAAGAACAGTATTGTCCGAGGTACAACGGCAAGCATTGCATCAGCTAAAGCATTCGGTGAATACTTTGCGTGAGTTCTCTGGGGTACCCTTTTGCCACTACACTGTACGTAATCACAATTCTGACATCTATCTTATTATGCATTACCCAGAGAGCCCATTTCTGCAAGCTTGGCATTCCTGGTAGAGCTCTTTGGAACCGCAATGTTGTCCTTTGCAATCTTTGCCCTGACAAACCCAAAGAATGACACCCAAAAGAACGGCGTGTACATTCCACCACTTATTGGCCTGACGGTTGGAGGGCTTATCTGCGTACTGGCGCCATTAACCCAAGCTGGATGTAAGCTCGTTGGTGGTTCGTGAGCCAAATACGCCTGGTTTCATCTCATCCCATTCACTCTTTTGATATGCTTGCGTGCTTGCTTACTTCAGTCAATCCTGCACGAGATTTTGGACCTAGGATAGTCGCGTTCTTTGCTGGGTGGAAGATGATCGCCTTTCAAGGATGGTGGGTATACGTGTTTGCACCTATCATTGGAGCATTATTGGGGGGATTTGTCGCCGACAAGGTTCTGTATGGAGGAGACGACAACTGATCTTAGCTTGGCGACAGACTACTGCCGCGTATTGTTGCTACATAGTCCCACCAGCTCCAGTAGATTAAGCCAACAGCGTGCTCATCCTAGTTCGGTCACCTGACTCAGCGTAAAGGCACCGTGTTGCCTATTGGGCTCCGTATGGGTGTGCAAAGGAGTATGCTGCATACCTCCATTGTCGTACCGGGCTTTCGATTGGAATATCACGCGACAGGATCAAAGTGTTCGGGGCATTTCTCGAACAAGTAGTGGGTTCTTTCTGAATTTCTGTTCCTTCGAACACGGGGTCATGTCAATTCAGGAGTAAACCAGACCAAACTGAATCGTTCTCCATGGTACTGATTGGTCCAATGACGAAGTGCCCATCCGTCAAATTCCAGTGGTTTGAAGCGAATGTCGCATGCAAGTCCTTCCACCCTCAGCTCGCCATCATGGTAGTCACCAAGACCAACAATAATGGAAAGGCTCTGTCCGGCTCCACGTCCACTATCGACATGCGGCTGAAATTGGGCATTGGCGTTGATGGCACAGTGGGTTGATTGAGGTCTTCGACTGGTGCATTCATTAGACAACCCAATCTTTCCGTTGGGAGCTACATCAACTTTTGTGGTTTGCTCTGCAATGCGTTCTTCCAGCTCAAAAACCGCTGCGGCGAGATCTGGGAATAGTTGGTTGCCAAGCGGAAGTTCCACTTGGGATCCACTCGAAGTTTGGAGCTGCTCCTTCAGTTTGCTATTGATGACTGTAAAAGATCCTGCCTTTCCTGTTTTTCCTCCCTGATCTGCCAGAACAGAAGATCGAGCAATCGACGTGACAGGCCACTTGCCCGTCGAGACAATGTCTCTTAGCTTTGTCAAGACATCCATATAATCGAGCGGGGCCGGGTCTAAAGCCGAAGCGTCTAACTCACTCCGAGGGACAGAAACCTTCAAAAGCTCATGAATAGATTGTGTTGCTCTTGGTGCCACGTTGGTTTGGACATCCTTCAGCCATTGGTCTTCCGCTCTCTTTGTCCCTTCTGATGACAGGCTTCTCAGCAAGCATTGCTGAGCCCATTCTTGAGGACGCGTGTTGCCGTTGTCTCCCGGTAGTCCCAACCTGAGAACCTTTCCACAAGTATCGGATTCAAACAATGGTTTACCCGACGAGAAGCTCTCTTCAAAGTGGAATCGACATTCGGAGAGGTAGAGTCGCCCTGGTGGTGCCAAGACAGTTTCGATCAGGCTTGCTGGATCCCGCAGAGCGGTTTCCCATGCATCCATAGGAATCCATCCATGCGTCATAGCCACGGCTGTCCCTAAAATTCTCCGCACTTGCTGTGGTAAAAAAGCATCTCCCTTGATCTCCACCACCAGATTTGCATTGTCCACCATTCCGACCATGCGACAATAGTCCACGACTCTCCAAACCGATTCTTGATTGGGTGCCGCAAGTCCTCGCAGCGTTGGGTCGGCAAAGTTGTGCCATGCTTTTCGCTCTTTGGCGCCCAAGCGTCCAAAGCGACCGACGGCCATTTTGTGTTGTTGTTGATGTTTCTTTTGTTGTGATGGCAGAGGTACCATGCCACATTCGGCACCTCTCAGAGCGGTCTTGAACCGCTTGAGACAATCGGTGGGAGGTCGATGTCCCCATCCTTCCCACTGGGTCTGGAGTAGCTCGGCCCCCGGCATCCATGCCAAGGGGACCAAATAGTGATAGACCATCTGGGTACAACTGCGTTCGGCATGAAGTGTAATATCGGAACGGAGTAGTTTGCAAGCCCATATTTGAATATTACCATTGGACAGTGCATCGGGTAGATTGGTTAAAGCCACCTCCAATTGTGGAAGTGAGGATTGCAGGCATGTTCCCGTCATGACCAACACATCCGTGGCAGCGGGACATTCGGGGTCTTGTTGTAGAATTCTGGCCCGTAATCTCGCCAGACTGCACTGTGTTCGGCTTTCCTGGAGTTGAAAGTCCAATAGTTTATTATTAGCAGTGCCATTCGTAGAATCTGGATCGTTCTTCGTTTTCTCGATCTCATATGTTTCCAGAGTCTGTTGGACCGCCTGAAAGACTTGTTGTCCCGCCCATTCATTCCATCCCAAATCATTGTCTATACCGGTACCCTGTAAAAGATTGCTGTCATTATCATCATCATGAGGAACATGATAATATCCAAACCAAATGGCCAGGGATTGCTTGACAATGGGGTCTTCTGTGGTAGCACTGGGCGCCCGGGGATTATCACTGGTACATCCATCGGCTCGCAGGTGCCGAAAGATGGCATTTCGGGACGCAAACTTGGAGTGACAAAACTGGCAGGAAAAGGCAGGGGCTGCTGTCATGTCTGTGGATAGTACGTCACGAGTCGCTTGTCGTGGTATCCTACTGCTAGCTGGCCTTGTCAGAACAAAGTAATCATGGATCTTTTCGCGTCGGAGGCAGGTGCGAGGAACCAAGCCAAATGCTGGATCCGAAGGGAACACTGTCAGTATTATAAAGATGAAAACGCATCCGACAGACCATGTCCTGATCATTCTGATGATGAATGAGACTGTTCTATCCGTCAAGGAGATTTGATGATATGATTATGATGTCCTGTCGGAGAGAAAGAAGGAATGGGTGGGCTTGGCACTTGGCATGGAGCCATCATCCATCGATCGACTGACGCCATGTGAGAAACAACGGCCAGAATTCAAATTGAAGCCGGCAAGGTTAACGCTACTAGTAAAAGCTGATCAAAGGCAAAGGGGTTAAAAACGTTTGAAGGTCAAACGCCTCCTGAAGGTGCAAAACAATGTGATGGATGGGATGTTGTTTCATGCTTTCCTCTGCAGGGACGATTTCAGTCCGGCTTCAATGGAGTTGCGGGAATACCTGTTTTACATGTTCATCAGACAGTTCCAACTGTTTCTTTTGGAAGAATGACTGAAAACAGAAGAATGACACAATCTGGAAGAATGACACAATCCGGAAGACTGATGCAATCTGGAAGGTTCTACGTAGAAACGCGTAGAAACTAGTACCAGGTGACGTAATCTGGAAGAATGACACAATCTGGAAGAATGACACAATCTGGAAGCATGACTCAAAGTAGAAGATTAACACAAGGTGCTGGTGACCAACAAAAAGGAACTGTTGCAAGAGCCCATTCCCCGCAACTCCAATTGCTGGATTTTTCAATACCGGTTTTCAAAAAATTCCGTGCTATTCCTGGGACCACTCAGGATGAAAGACGTCTTGAGCGATGAAAACCGTTTTGCACCTGGTAGCAAGGCAAAGACCAAAGCAAACAGCAGACCAAACAAAGGCAAGCAGAAGGAACTATCAATAATCAATTGCATGTTGTAACCATGATCCGACGTACAAAACACGGAGACAACGCCCCATCGTCAGGCCCATCATCGGGTGGTGTTGCATTGAAAGGGCTTCGATCTCCTGGTAGTGCCTCTTCCAAACGCAAAGAAGACGGCACTAAAATGTCTCCAGCAACACTGTTGATGATTGTCTGTGTGGCGCTGTTTGGTGGCGTTGCCATTCTCTCCTTCTTGTCTCCTTCCTCAGTCCACAATGCCGAGAAGAGTCTCTACGAAGCGGAACAAATGGTCGAGAGCAATCTCTTTGGCGGCGGTGTCCACGAAACCGCGGCGCCCCCCAAAGAAGAACCCCCCAAACCCAAACACCGATCCCTCGATGCCTCCTCGGCCATGCTGCAGCAAGATTCCACATGGGTCGATGGCGAAAAGAAATTGAAACAGCAACTCAAACTCTTGGCGGCACGACAAGCCCAAGGCAAAGATTTGGGAGTCCCCGCTCTGACACGATGGCTGGGCGATGACATTCCTGCTTGGGCGGGAGAAGGAGTCGATGTGGAAGATTGGAAACAAAAAGTCGATCGACGATATGCCGAAATGAGAGAAGAAGAAAATCAATGGAGACAAAAAGTGGCCCAATTTATGGAGGAATCATAGAAATTCACAACAACAACAAAATTATGGCACATCAGCTAGCTGATGTTTATTTGAACAAGGGAAAAAGACAGAATATGGATCATTACAACTATAATGTTTCGAGCAGAGAGAGCAAAAGTCATTTGACTCCACCCCATCAATCAACTGGAATCGAATCAAGGATCAGAGCAATTTTGGTCTACATGTACATGTATTCTTCTTGTCTGTTCAATCAATCAATCAACACCTACGTGTAGTTACAGTGAACTTTCTTGGCCATCATGCTATGCTGCTTCCGTTGGTTTTGGTACGGTAGCTAAGTGATTAGCAACAAAAATTGTTAAGAAGTCTACTAGCTACGGTAGGACCTATAGTATGGTGCTGCCTTCCAGATCCTGCACTACGATCTCATGCTGCTGGCACCTAACAGTACGGTACAGTACCGTAGTTATGGTTGGCAATATTTAACGATTTTTGTTGTGCTGCTTCCAATCCTCCATGAACGGAGCAGCAATGGCAAAGATTCGGGTGAAACAGTTGTAGGGCACCCAAAAGGTTCCCATGCGACTGGACCAAGCCAGTCCTCCTAGATCCCTCAATGCAGCCCGTCCAATACTTCGAAAGATATCATCTGGCAATTCCGACGGTGGAACTGCCGATTTGGCCGCCGCTTCAATCATTTCCACCTTGTGATCTAAATTCTGATAGAAATTGGATGCCACCGGGGATGGATGTACCGCCACCACATCAATGCCAAGACTGGCCACTTCAATGTGCAAACAACTATATAGATAGATAGATGATTGAACATGGTGGATGGATGGATTGTGAGGAACAAACAGGAAACATCCATAATAATGACAGTACAAAAAATCACAGTTGTTGTAAAGTATAAACTCACGCCGCAAATTGGGATACAAACGCCTTGGTGGCGGCGTACATGGCAGCAAAGGGCGCCGGAATGAATCCCGCCACACTGGAAGTGAATACGATGCATCCCTTTTTCTTGGACGAAACCAATTTCTTGACAAAGAAATGTGCCACATTGACTCCCGCCGTGGCATTGCATTCGATATTGGCGAGTAGTTTTCCAATGGGTGCTTGATCCAAAAACCCTGTCACAATAAATCCGGCATTGTTGAAAATAATGGGCACATCGATATCTTTGGTAGCCTCATCGATTTGTTTCATGTAATCGACTCCCGGACTGAATGTACATCCGACCGACCTGAATTGTTGTTTGGGATAGTGTTCCTTCAATGCTTCCATGGTTTCTTTGAGGAATTTGTCATCGAGCGACACAATGACGACATTTAATCCTTGACTGGCCAATTTAAAGGCCAATGCTTTGCCAATGCCCGATCCACCGCCCGTGACCAATGCCCATTCGGCATTGTACTTTTCCTTGAGATTGGGAATCGATCCAAATGCCATGTGGAGTTGGGGGATCAAGTAGGCCACCAACCAAAAGACGGTCGGAAAGGCAAATAGAAGAGACACATAGAGCAGAGCGGATGAAGAAGCAGAAGAGGGATTTTCGCAAGTGCCCTCTTCAGCAGCAGCAACAACGGAGGTTGCCAGGATGGTCAAGAAAGGCATGAGGGTGGTCCACATCTTGATACAACAACAGATCCAACAACTAATGTATATTTAGTAGAAAAGAATGACAACAGAAACAATGCTGACTGTGCTCTTCCTGGACCGATGCGGCTTTGTTTGGATCCATGACTGGTTTGTTCGATTGTCCATGGTGAGTCACGAGATCTTTGTGGAGTTGAGTCCAATGAGTCGATTGGAGAAACAAAGAGACAACGACCATGACACAACGACCATGACATGACACTTACTTTGCATCGATCATAGCAAAAGCATAGAATAGCACCCACCATGTCAACCTCATCATCTTCTTCTCCATATTCTAATTCTGATGTTACCAACAACCACGCCGTGATTGTATCATCATCTCGGTATTGGTTCAATTATCGGCACATTAACAATGCGTTGGCATTCTATCAACTCGTCAAGGCGAATGGGATTCCCGATGAAAATATCATTTTGTTTTTGGCGGATGATGTGCCCTCCAATGCCCGTAATCCGTTCAAGAATGGCATGTATTGGAACGGTATTGACGATTCCAGAACGCTATACGATGCATCCATTGAAATTGATTATCGAGGAGAAGATGTCACGGTCGAAAATCTGGTACGAGTCTTGTTGGGACGGCAAGGAGAAGCTAGTAGTACTAGTAGTAGTGGACAACAGAGACGACACTTGATGACGGATGAAAACAGCAATATTCTCATCTTTTTGACAGGACATGGAGGAGACCAATTCTTCAAATTCCAAGACATTGAAGAAATCACGTCGGAAGAAATTGCTTCGGTGCTAGAAGAAATGCATCGTCGCAAGAGATACAAGGAAATACTACTCGTGGCCGATACCTGTCAAGCATTTACACTGGGAGATCACATTACGGCACCCAATGTCATGGTCATTGGAAGCAGTCTCCGAGGAGAATCTTCCTATGCACACCACTCGGATACCAAATTGGGATTGAGTGTCATGGAACGTTACACTCATGCGTTTGTGCAGTTTCTCAAAAGCAACAAACAAATTAAGGGAGTCTTGACACCCGGTTTGACCATTCGCAAGGCCATGGTAGAGCCCTATTCCTTTGCACAACAGCGGGCTCATGTGGGATTTCGTGAAGATCTCATGCAACGGCGGACCGTCGATGAGGTACTGCTATCCGATTTTTTCTTCAACAATCAACTACTTCACAAACAACAGCAACAACAACAATTAAATCAAAATCAAACCAGACTCGTGTCCCAAAATGCCCTGCCCATTCGTCCCATTGGACGATTGGACATGCCAACAACAACAAAACCAAAATCAACAGCAAGAAGAATGATAATAGACCAGCAGCCTGCAAGAGAGGAATACAAGGTAGAACTCGTCCCAGTCTACAATCCATCCGATCCACCCTTTTTGGCAGCCGTGGTCATCTTGTTGAGTTTCGTCATGGTGCTCTCCAAGCGGACATGATGGATAGATAGATCCATGGATGGATGGATGGTGCTTCATTGTCGAAACATAGAATCTCAAAGTTGACTCTAACAGGGCAGCTGATGCATGTCGTCTTAAAAGACAAGATGGAATCCGCCACAATTGGTGGTGCTGTGTAGATTGCTACTAGTATGCTTTTCCTTTGGGGCTTCCTGTTTCATGTGTTTTTGACACGAAGAACTCACCTTGGGTGTGGATCAGAGCCAACTCTTCTACTATTATAGCTGGATATGCATACAATGATAGGCCCATGCTTCTGGTCATTCAAAAAAACCAATAAAGGCTGGCACAGGAATACCAAACTAGAAAAGCGCTTTCTGTGCATTAGCTAGCTACCACCCAAACTATTTCAGGAACTGTGCAGGGTACCGGTATTTTTGGGGATCACCTGAATGGTTGTGGTTTTCCAGTAAAAGACCCAAAGCAGTTGCAGGCAGCTTGAGCTTCAAGCATCCAAGAAGGGAAACCAAGCAGTGGTGAATTCCGCCTTGGTAACCATTACTACCGTATAAGCAGCTATCGCTCCACTAATAAGCTAGACTGCTAGCTAGCTTTGGCTGGGTACTTCACAAAGCCAGAACAAGCTTGGGCAACTTCGTCAAGATCAACAACCACTCCCACCAGCCTCCACCGGGAGGGACAGAGCTTTGCAAGACGAGGAGCCTTCATTCGCGCGACGCTGCGCGGGCACAAGAAGTCTCCCACCAATCAAAAGAAGCGTCGCCGAAAAAGACGTTGAGTCAGACTGCATGCACCGCTTCGTGGACTGTGCCAACAACAGCTGCTACCATGCCACCGCAACACCACTCGAGCCGTTCTTCATTGCTCTTTGTTATTGACAGGACCCAACAGCCTCAACCATGGCATGACGATTCATTCGATCTTGGCTACCATCACAGAGTAGCCAGTATCATCATCGCGTCCTGGATTGATAGCTATTAGCTAGCTAGCCAGTGAATCTGAATCACCCAACCGGCTTTGCTTCTTGGGAGCTATTTTAAAGGATACCCCTGGGTATCTTGTTCCGATTGGAGAGCTCACAAACTTTACCAACTCTCTCCTCACAAACCACGAAACAAACGAACAATCAAGATGATTTCCCTACGAAAAGCAAGCGCCATGATTCTCTGCTGGACATTGACAGTCGCTGTCAATGGCTTGATCACAGCGTCTTCCATCTCCTGGCGTCCCGTCTTTGGACTGACTGTCGCCAGAACCACACCGCAACCAACCACTACTGTTACTACTGTGCCACGTGGGGGCAGTAGTAGCTGCCAAACATCTTCCAAGGTTCAACAAGCGGAAGAAACACTGGATCGAGTGTTGGAAGATGCCAAAGACCAAGACAAAAAGTTTCATGTGCAAGGATGGCGATGGCATACCATGTCGGTGCTACGAGACGCGGAACGACTGCAAGCATTGGCTCTCCGGACTACAGGCGACGATTTATCGCAACTGCAAAAAGCGGCGGATTACGTGGTGGATTTCAATCTGAAAGCACTGCATCGCGTCGAAAACATGTTCTTTCCGTGGATGCGACAACACATGCAGGAATCCAAAACGGCACAACCAGAAACCAAACAAGCGTTTAATGCCATTGTGGAAAACCTGGAAGCAGACCAAAAGAGACTGGCAGAATTGGGAAAGAGTATTGTAAGTGTGGACGTTCGTAGGGACTGGACCAAAGAAGGGATCGATCTCATGCTCTATCTTTTCTTCTTGCTTGACAGACACAAACATTCTCCAACAGACCAAACCCCAGCGTCGCTAGTGCTGTGGCAACGCAATCGGAAGAATTGGCCAACCTTGCTCGATCCATGCTGGAACGCGAACTGGACTATGTCATTCCCACTGTCGGGCTCTGTGTTCCCGAAAATGATCAACAGAAATTCAACAATCAAGTCATCAAATTCCTCGGTGTCTTGGAAGCAAGAGTTCATTTGGTGCACATGCACGAAGTTGTCACGGAATCCAAAAGTGATCTAGAGGAACAACTGTGGAAAGAAAGCATTCCCTCCTTGCCACGCAGCTTGATCCCACGATGGAAGAGAACACTCTACGAACCCATGGCTGGCATGTTGGAGTTGCAATAAACGAATACAGCAACAACAAATGGTAGGTGCCAAATTGATTGATTGGGTTGCCTCGTTTGTTCGTTCGTTGCGGTTAGTTGTTGGACTTGTTGTTGTGTGGTTGCTTGGTTTGCCTTTTTTTGTTTGCAAGAGCCCGACCTGCGCGTGTACCTTTCACAGTTGGTACGCATGTTAGCAGTTGTCACCTGCCACTCGCGCTGACGGTGCCTTGAGCACCGATTTCACCCCTGAGGTAAAAGCGATAGCGAACGGCTCAAGATTACCGTACGGGCGTTGAGAGCTGTCGGGTTCGTCCTGACGCTCTCCGTCTTTTTTCGTCAGATCTACATTCCCACTCCTTGGCGAGCGCCTTGGTGCCTTTACGCAACTGGGAGATAACCGTAGATCGTACACTTCATTTCGTTCATTCATGGCATTGGATGTCGATGTCTCAAATTCTCACTCACATTTGTTTGTGTGGCCTTGCTTCTCGACAGGAAATTACTTACATTTGGAAGTGAATTCAAGTATTGGGCGCTCTCGACCGAGGAACGAGCTACATACAATTAGTGATTGCAAGAGCAAATCGGGTGTTTGAATACTGTACATTGGTGCAAAAGCTAGCTAAATTTGACACGCGAGGATAAAGATAAAGGACTAATAGATACGAGCACTTTTAACACAAATCAGGCTGGTCCTGTGAATCGTCAGCAACGCAGCAAGAGCGAAAGGGTGCTACCGGTACCGGTACCTGGTACACTGCATCAATGACGAGAAGGCGGTGATTGCTTACCAACCGTCATAGTTGTCCTCGCCATTGTCCCTGGGATCCGGTGCTTCAACAGGACAGCCATTGGCAATGCACCATTCTAGAATATCCTGGTACCCTTCCTCCCTAGCAGCAATTCGTGTGTTTCCATCCCATGGGCAACCATTTTCACGTGCATATTTCAATGCATCGAGATCCCCACACTCAGCGGCGCTGGTGCACGTGTCTTCTCCCCATGGGCAACCATTCTCATGCAGCCATTTCAAAACATCCAAGTGCCAACTTCCAGCAGCTCTGCAGCATGTGTCTTCTTCCCATGGGCAACCATTCTCATGCAACCATTTTAGGACCTCAAGGTGACCATTAGATGCAGCTGCGCTGCATGTGAATTCATGCCAGCTGCAACCATTCTCACGCAGCCATTTCAATGTTTCCAAGTGGCCATATAGAGCAGCTACATCACATAATACTATGTCCTCTTCTTCCCATGGGTACCCATTCGCATGAAGCCATTTCAATACATCCAAGTGGCCCTTTTCAGCAGCTGCCCTGCATGTATAAACACTCCATGGGCAACCATTTTCACAAGCCCACTTCACAACATCCAAGTGGCCATTTGCAGCAGCGCCGGTGCATGCACCTTCATTCCATGGACAGCCATTCTCATGCAGCCATATCAATAGATCCAAGTGGCCATTTGCAGCAGCTGCTCTGCTTGTATTTATATTCCATGGGCAACCATTCTCATGCAGCCATTTCAATATATCCAAGTGGCCTTTTCCAGCAGCTCTGCAGCATGTGTCTTCATTCCATGGGCAGCCATTCTCATGTAGCCATTTCACTAGATCCAAGTGGCCATTTGCAGCAGCTTGGGTGCATGCACCTTCATTCCATGGGCAACCATTCTCATGCAGCCATTTCACTAGATCCAAGTGGCCACTTGCAGCAGCTGCAATGCATGTCATTGCATTCCATGGGCAACCAATCTCACGCAGCCATTTCAAGGTATCCAATTGTCCCCCCGTTGCTGCAAAATTGCATGTGTTATGATCGCACAGAAGAATTTTGCCGTTAGCCCACCGGAGCAGCTGGAGCAGCTGGAGCATGTGTAGATTTCCTCTCATGGCAAGAGAGTGGCAGACTTCATTGTGGATGGCCTCATCTCCCCGGACTACCTTCTTGTTCCAATAGTCTGCATCTTCATCACTGAAAAATGCAGCACTGTAGTAGGTGTAGGTATAGGGCGTTGGAATTTCCAGACCACCCAATCTGAACTCTCTTAACTTTCGGCCCTGTAGAATTGGAGGAGGATTCTTGATTGTCTTGCAAAACGTCAAGTAGACATCCTTCATTTTCTTGCTGACACTGGCCAGAATGACATAGTATCCCAATCCCAGAAAGGGGAGGATATTGCCAATCCAGATTTCCTCCCGCAACGGAAGATCACCAGTCTCCGCGGTCTGGTTGGAGGACACAACAGAATCCTTTTTGGTTGTACTAGTTGCGGAGAATCCAGTGGTTCGGATAGAGGATGGAGCAGGATCAGAAGCAAAGAGATTCTTTTCTTTTGGATCGTCGCTGGAAGAAGACATGGTGTTAAGCAAGCAACGGTTCCGAATCGAGGTGGTGGCAATGTGATAAGCAACTCGTCAACGACAGGTTCAACTACTTTGTTGTTTCTGTAACTAGCAAGCTTGCTCCCCAAGCCAAACTTCTTTTGCAACGCCTTGCTACAGTCAATGCCAACAAAACTCAATATCCCACTGTACGCCCAAACGATGAAGTCAAGCCCGTTGGCTGCGAATCTTTCTCCACCTCAAGTTCCGAAGGTCAGTCCTGTTGATGACGTCATATCCATCATCAGTTCTTTTTGCATCCATTTGGTTCTTTTGGAGCCAACCCCATGTCTCCGAGAAGCCACGAAAGAAGAAAACAGAAGAATGAGCGGTCAAGCCCTTCCCACAATATGGTACAACTCCACCTTGGTAACCAACCATTCCTTTGATTGATTGATTGATTAATCAGCAAGATGCTCCGTGTGATTGCCCATGCTGGTGGAAAGCAGCAGCGTTTGACGCCGTTCTTCTCCCAGCAAGCTCGCCACCATCAGTTCTATACCCCTTTTTCTCAATCTCGCTCCCTGTTTGGATTTGGGAGCAAGGGCGATGATGACAGTGGTAGCAGTGGAGATAACATCAAGGACGACAGCAGCAACCATGACACTGGAGGCAATGGAAATTCATCCTCATCGGTCCCTGCCGCTGTGGTACCTTCCAAGTTGAAATACGGGGATGAAGCCCCCAGATACCCTCATACACTGGCTTTGCCTCTTGTGAACCGACCTCTGTTCCCAGGTGTTTTTACGTCGGTGACAGTGTCAGATCCTGAAACCTTGGAAGCTCTGGAGAATATGAGTCAGGTGGGTCAAAGTGCCTATCTGAGCTGTTTCTTGAGAAAGGACCAGTCCATTGGGGTGTCCGAAGGTGGTGTACTCTTGCCCACGCCAGAAGTGATCACGGATCCCTCGGAACTGTACAATGTAGGAACATTTGCTCAAATCCACAACATTACAAGGGGAGTGAGTCATGCCAGGGCAAATAGGTCCATTATGGACAGTCGAGCCATGAAAGACCAAAAAGAAAAAGGTGAAAACCCACAAGAAGATCACGACGGAGACGACGAAGACCATGAAACAGGAACAGTCCTACTGCTGGCACATCGCCGAGTGGACTTGGAGTCTGTGGACAATATTGGTCCTCCCATAGATGTGACGGTATCCCATTGGAAGCGAATGGCGGATGTTGCCAGTAATGATACGATCCGGGCCCTTTCCAACGAAATCATCACAACCATTCGAGAAGTGGCACAAACCAACCAACTCTTTCGTGAAAACCTGCAGTTCTTCCCCATGAGAGTCGATGCCAATGATCCTTTCCGGCTCGCGGATTTTGCTGCTTCTATCACTTCGGCAGGGTCTGCGGAAGATCTACAAGAAGTTCTGGAAGAGAAGGACGCTGAAATGAGGCTTCACAAAGCATTGGTGTGAGTATGTGTTTTTGCTTTGCTGGTTGTGAGGGTCGTCACGGTGTCATCATGTCCTGATCTTCTCATTCATCACGTTCATACATTTCCTGTTCCCGCAGTCTACTCTCCCGTGAAAAAGAAGTCTCCAAATTGCAGCAGGAGATATCAGCCAAGGTGGAAGAAAAGATGTCGGATGCCCAGAGAAAGTACTTTCTCAATGAACAACTCAAGTCAATCAAGAAGGAACTTGGGATGGAACGAGACGACAAGGAAGCCTTGATTGAAAAGTATCGAAAGCAGGTATGTGCAGGAACGTGTAGATTCGGTTGACTGTCACTTCATGTCCTCACTTCCTCGCTTCGAAACAGTTGGCGGAGTACCCAGCGGTACCGGATGAAATAATGGAGACGATCGATTCCGAACTGGAAAAGTTGTCAACTCTCGAGAAAAACTCTGCAGAGTTCAACGTTACACGCAGCTATCTAGATTGGTTGGTTGGTGTGCCGTGGGGGATTGAAACCGAGGAAAACTTTGACATTCGGGATGCGCGCATGGTCTTGGACCGAGATCACTATGGCTTGGACGATGTCAAGGACACAATCTTGGAGTTCATTGCAGTGGGAAAACTGAAAGGAACTGTGCAAGGAAAGATCTTGTGCTTGAGCGGACCACCAGGCACCGGCAAGACCAGCATTGCCAAGAGCGTCGCGGATTCACTGGGACGAAAGTTCTATCGTTTCAGTGTTGGAGGCTTGTACGATGTCAGCGAAATCAAGGGACATCGCCGTACTTATGTGGGTGCTATGCCTGGAAAGTTGATTCAGTGTTTGAAGACCACAGGTAAGATCTTTCGATATTTGGATTTGAGTTTGTCCCGAGGACACATGGGCAGCTGAGCGTTGTTTCTCTTCTTTAGGGTCTACCAATCCAGTTGTTCTGATTGATGAAATCGACAAGCTTGGCAGCGGTATGCGAGGAGATCCCTCCAGTGCCTTGCTTGAGGTTCTGGATCCCAGTCAGAATAGTACTTTCCATGACCATTTCCTCGATGTTCCCGTCGACATCAGCAAAGCGCTGTTCATTTGTACAGCCAATGAGCTAGAAAGAATACCCGGTCCTCTCCTGGACCGTATGGAAGTCATTCGACTCTCTGGCTATGATTTTCCAGAAAAGGTTGCCATTGCAGAACAGTACCTCGTCCCTAAGTCAATGAAAGAGAATGGATTGATGATCGATCCAAGAGATACGAAGGAGGAAGACGACAACAAAGCAGAGGAAAGCGACAAAGTCGAAGGGGGGAACGATGCCTCGGAAGGAGTCACACCGTTAGCGTCATTCAAACATGCTGAGAATGTTCCAGAGTCGCTGTCTCTGGCCAAGAGTGCAATAGAAAGCTTAGTGAGATGGTATGCACGGGAAGCTGGAGTTCGCAGCCTTGCCAAGTACATTGACAAAATCACACGCAAACTAGCGCTGCAAATTGTGGCTGAGGGTGAGGGTGCGACGCTAACAGACAAAAGTGCACGAAAGTCAGACTCATGGGAAGTGAACAGTGAGAACCTCAGTGATTATGTTGGAAAGCAAATCTTCACAAGTGACCGCCTGTACGAAACTGACCCGCTACCGAATGGAATCATTATGGGTCTGGCTTACACATCTATGGGAGGCTCTGCTCTGTACATTGAAACTCAGGGAATCAAGCGAGGCTTGGACGCCGATGGCAAGCCTCGTGGTGGCGGCACCCTCAAGGCGACAGGGCAGCTGGGTGATGTCATGAAAGAAAGCTCACAGATTGCTTACACGGTGGCTCGAGCCAGGCTAGCAGAACAGAGCAATGGCAGCAATGATTTCTTCGACACAGCTGACATCCACATGCACGTCCCTGAAGGTGCGACACCCAAGGATGGGCCGTCCGCCGGAATCACGATGGTTACATCGATGCTGTCCCTTGCTATGGACACACCTGTGAGGAACGACTTGGCCATGACTGGTGAAATAAGTTTGACCGGGAAGGTTCTTCCAGTAGGTGGAATCAAAGAAAAGATCATGGCTGCTCGTCGCGCCGGGATCAAATGTGTGGTTCTGCCTGCTGCCAACCAGCGAGATTTCGATGAGATCCCAGAGTACCTGAAGGAAGGACTTGAAGTTCACTATGCAGAAGATTATGGGAAAGTCTTTGACGTGGCGTTTGGATCCTAATTGTTTCCCCTCTGGGTTACTACTAGAGCTAGAGGCTTCGAAGCCCCCGTCTCAAACAGTAATCAACTACTAGGTGGAATCGAATCATAAATCCTCTCTCAGAACTCTCTCCGCAATCGGTTTCCATGCTTTTGCTAGACTTCTTGGCTGGTGAAGTGCGTGCGCCAAACCTCGCAACCGTATGGAAGTTTGATATATCATTATGAAGTCCTTGGGCATTTCATTGATGGGATCGCGTGCCTGAAGTTCCTCGACGAACAATTGAATATGCATTCCCTCGGTGAGCTTGTAGTTGTCCTCATCGTAACTAACTTTGGCAAACAGATAAATAACATTGGGATCCATGCGCTTTGATTTCCACCTTCACACAAAGAGTTCGTGGATTGTGATTGGAAATCAGAGCTGAGAAATCAGACACATGACCAACACGATGTCATTGAATAAATACTTACCCAGCCTCTTTCATGAGGCTTACGATAGCTTCCCGGTCTTCGTTCGCAAGTGCAATCACAAGCTTGCAAAAGAGATGCCTCTTTTCCTTTGACAGTTGCTTCGTGCTACCGTAGTCGATCAGGCCAAGGCCGGGCCGTCCATCTTGACCCCGAACCAACAGAATGCTGTTCAAAACAAGAGAGGGCCCAATACATGAGAAAAGCCCGACATCGACCATTGATGCGGGCCCGCCACAACTTACTTTCCGGGGTGAGGGTCCCCGTTGAAGTAACCGTCTACAAGAACCTGGAATTTATTATGGTTGAATCCTCACAACGTGAGTCAGCGTCGAGTCGAGTCGAGCCAAGCATTTCGTTGTCTGATGATCAAGTAAGTTGACGCGTACCTCATGGCCATGAATGTAGATCAAGTCGTCAATCATCTTTGCGTGGTTGATTGGCAAGGTACTTTTGTCCTCGAGCTCCTTCTTGGTCGTCCCTGGGAGCAATCCAATTGTCGTGTTGTAAAGCATTCTCAGTGCATTGGTAGTCTTTCGTTTGCTATCCAACACCGAAATGAGCAAATCATAGTCCGAACTAGAAGGCCCATGTAGCTGTTCACCTTTGGCCTTCGCTTCCTCTTCCTCCGCTTTGATTCGCTTAGTGAATGCTTCGACCGATTCACCTGTACGATTCGCCAGTGCTTTCTGTTCCTGTTTCAACGCATCGGCAAGTTTGTCTCCCAGGAGCTCTTCCATGACCAGGACTCTCTTGGTACACAAATCCAAGTACGGTTTGGGCACCAAGCACAGTTTTTGGTTCGCCACTGCGTCTTTGCCGGCTAGTCCTGCAGCAATTAGATTGTCGCGTACTGTGGCCAAGTGCTTTGCCTCTGCTCGATAGTCAAACTCCTCCATGTATTGCACCTCAATCTGTTCTAGTGCCGGTACATGGACCGGTTGCGCTATCTGGGCAAACGCTTTGATGGTTCTCACATCTCCTCGAAGCAGTTCTTCTGCTGAAGGATACATGACCTTCACTACCACTCTGGGACCAATTGACCGATTAGATTCATTCAGAAATGCGCGAGTTGTTGGTTACACATACACGATGTGTTCTAGCTTACCTTGTTCCATCTTTCAGGGTGGCTCTGTGTACTGCCAATAATGAACGAAGGGTGAGCTTCTGGGTACTGTAATCCTCACTCAGATGCCAGTGCTGCCCTTACCTTGACCAATAGAAGCTGCCCCAATAGGTCGTTCTTCAAACGTAGCAAACACACTGTCGAAGTCTAGCTCCTTTGAAACGATAGCTTTGATAGTCTCAAAGTCTTCTTCGGGGCATTGGTCTTGCAAGACACTCATGGTTTTCTGCCAAATTTCAGGGCTGCAGCAGCAAGAAGGTGGGGAAAGAGCAGGTGATTCGTTGGGAAGAACAATCCAAAGTAGCAAAAGAACCAACACACACACTCCACCACGTACAAACCATCACCAACATTGGCAGCTGCCATTTGACCCGCTTTGATGTAAAATCCACGCAAGTCCTGAATCTTTTTGAGACCCCCTTTGCTGGTATCATTGTCCAGTGCCTCCCAAACCTCATCTGGGCTCTTTCTCCACACGTGATAACGATATACCAGGTACTTGGGAATGGCATAGCTGTAGAAATGGGCTGAGCGCTTTAGTCCTTCCGGTCCACCACTAGTCAGCAACGAGATGATTGTTGGAATTCAGAAAGGGAGAATAAATGAGGAAAGCAGAGATCATCCCAAACTAGCTAGAGAGACTGTTCAATCTTGCGACAAGCTCCATTCTTACACATGATCATGCCACCACTTGATTCCTCCTCCAATTGTGATAACCAAGCCTCCGACAATGGGGTACCAAAGACTGATAGGTTTTTCGCCTGGATTATCCGAGGCAAAATGCCGTGGGTGCAGGAGTTTCGCCGTGGGAAAAAGTCTAGATCTCAAGGCTAAAGAGGTACTGCGAGTCCCAATAGTGCCTATCATGATGCTGAAACCGACCTTTTCGGGTGCACTCTATTCCCAGCTTATCCGACAACGTACGACTGTAGTCAACATACAGAGCTTTGCCAGGGGAATAAGAAGAGATGAACAGAACTAACTGAACTGCATTATTTGGTCGTCCCGTCATTCATCCCTTGGGCTGCAGAAGCAACGTCATTTTCACACTTTTTTGTCTGCAAAGCTGTCAAATTCTGTTATCTGCAAAGCTGTCAAATTTAGTTGGCGGCAAGGGGAGAGACCTCACGAATGGAGAACCTTCCCCGTTCATGTGCTACGGTAGCTAGAACTGTCGTGGACCCACGTCAATAAAGAAACATCATCAAAGGGCATGCAATACAACCAAGCTTTCATACCCTCCACAGTAGAATACTGTACGTTCCTTACAAGAACACATGACTTCGCCGCGCCCGCTCCCTCTGAATCGCTTGAATAAGAGTTTAGACGATTCAAAAATGGCTCTCCCTCCAAATCCAAGTTTTCTTGCAGAACCCAATGACAGAAGCATTCTTGGTACGAACCATCATCGCACTTTTCTGCTCCGTAACTTTCTGCCACTGCTAGAAGCAAACTCACCATGTCAGATTCCCAGCATCGTCAACAAGCTGCCAAGACGAAGCGTCCATGTCAAGTGACCCAACCTCCGAGTCCAAAGAAGCAAAAAGTGGACCCTCCAATCGCACAAGAATCTCCTGGTCTATTGAAGCACAAAGACATTTTGGCTGGCCACATTCTGCCCCTTATAGGCATGGGACAGCATGCCTTTGTGGGAGCTGCTAGCAAGGAAATGAAAGCACTCTATGAGAACTTCTGTGGTACTGTGACGAATCCTCCCCTTGTCAGTGATGCAAACGATAAGAAGCGACATGCAACCAGCAAGGACACATACTACAGTGCTGTATTCTGCAGTGTGGAATGTGCTGAACTATGGGAGGCTGACAATTCCAGTGTCAAAACTCCTCTTCCTAAAGATGTTTGTACAGCCATTGCCAAGGTTGGAAATCTTTCAGTTGTTCAATGGGCCCATACGAAAGGATATCCATTGACAGAAGAGACATGTGCAGCTGCAGCTGAAGGTGGTCATTTGGATGTCTTGAAATGGCTGTATGCACATGGCTGTCCATGGGATGAAAAGGCATGTACATATGCTGCATATGGTGGGCATTTGGAAGTTCTGCAATGGTTGCATGCAAATGGATGTCCCTGGGATAAACAAACATTCAAGTATGCAGCTGCAAAGGGTCATTTGCATGTCTTGAAATGGGCCAAAGACAATGGTTGCCCATGGGATTTAACTGCAGGTCATGGTGCTGCTTATAATGCACAAGTGGAAGCTATGAAGTGGTTGGTTGAAATTGGCTGTCCCTGGCATCCATACTTGTGTGTTGTTGCTGCAGAACGCGGACATTTGGATTACCTCAAATGGTTGAGAGCAAATGGGTGCCCCTGGGATGAGTTAACATGTGCTGGTGCTGCGGTTGGTGGTCATATTGAGATCCTCAAGTGGGCCCAAGACAATGGATGCCCCTGGGATGACAAAACCTGTTCTAGTGCTGCTTTAGCAGGTCAATTGGAACTCCTCAAATGGGCCCGAGACAAGGGCTTTCCATGGAATGAAGGGACATGTTCTAATGCTGCTAAAGGTGGCCATGTGGGAGTATTGGAATGGGCTAGACAAAACCAATGCCCATGGGATCACTTCACATGTGTCTACGCTGCACAAGCTGGACAATTGGGAGCTCTGAAATGGGCCAGAAAGAATGGCTGCCCCTGGACTCCAACAACATGCGAGCAAGCTGCCCAAGAAGGTCAACTGGTAGTTTTGAAATGGGCCAGAGACAATGGATGCCCGTGGGACCTCAAGACATGTTTAGCTGCTGCTGAATTTGGTCGTTTGGAGACCCTGAAATATGCCCATGAAAATGGCTGTCCATGGGATCAAAGTATTTGTGCTGATGCCGCCATGAATGGTCATTTGGATGTCCTCCAATATGCCCATGAGAACGGTTGTCCATGGGATCAGATGACATGCCAAGAGGCTGCAGAAAATGGCCATTTGGATGTCCTGAAGTATGCCCATGAAAATGGCTGTCCTTGGGATGAAGGCATAGGCAGCTATGCTGCTGAAAAGGGTCATCTTGGTATCCTGAAATACATCCATGAGAATGGCTGTCTATGGCACAAAGAAGACTGTGAGTATGCAGCTTCTACTGGTCAATTGGCATGCCTCCAATATGCCCATGATAATGGCTGTCCATGGGATGTTTGCACATGTGCTTTTGCTGCTCAAGGTGGCCACTTGGAACTACTCAAGTGGGCTAGAGAAAATGGCTGTCCCTGGGATGCTACAACACTTGACAATGCTGAAAACAACAATCATTTGGAAGTTCTAGAGTGGGCTCTTGCGAATGGCTGTCCCTCTACCTATGCAAATTAGTTCGATGATTGATAATCACACCTTCACTATAATGATGCACAGCCGTAACAGAAACTTAGTCAGAAAGACCTTCTTGCTAGCTAGTGGCTAGCTGATGACTACACAATCCGTGTGCTCTTGAGCATCCCCGACAGTCGAGACCTAACATGTCATCCATGTCATGCTTGTCGTCAATTCGCCAACGCAAGCAAGGTCGCCAGTCCGAGGATTGGATGAAGAATGTAGAAGAATAGGATTTCTTCGCTACGGTATTGAAACATTACAGTTGGTTCTACAAGTAGTAGCAAATCGTAGCCACTCGGCAATACGACTCTTGTAGCAATCAAAAGATTGGAGTTTCAAGCTCCAACCCCTGGCTCCCAGAAGAAGAGCTCGCCTGAGACTCTTCTTCACCCCAATTCCCACTGACACAAAACTGTTCGCTCGAAGTCGATTGATCGTCCTCCTCTCCTACTTGAAAGCAATCATCTGTGTCACTTGCACCCCCTTCGCCCAAAGAATCGTCGTCGTTGGTGATCGCCATTCCTTGGTTTCTGGAAACTACAGTTGATTTCTTGAGCGATTTCCCCCTGTCGCTACTGTCAGAATCTTCTTCATTTGAACGTCGACGAAGCTTAGTGCCTTTGTCGGGTCTACCACCCAAAACATGAGAGACTTCCCCGCCCTTTGCCGTGCCGTCCAGTCGATGGAAACCATCATCCTCCCGAGTCTTCCGCTTCCGAGGCGAATCAACCACACTCTCAGGACTTTCGTTGACGAAGTTAGACGTCGAGAAATTGTGCGAGGAAGCAATGCTAACTAAGACTTGAGAGACCTTTTCGATAGCATATCGCAGCGCGTTGACTTTTCGGTGGACCCTGCTTCTGGACCCATCTTTGGATACCGTCCGCCCTTTCGTATAGGCGCCCTCGCTGTTGTCGTCTTCGTCCTCGCTCTGCCTGTAGTCTGAATCATCGTCTGTTTGCTTGCTGCTCCTGCTTTGAGAACGTTGCTTGGCCACGGATTCCAGCTTTCGTTGTTGTTGATCACGCGCCTTGGTTGCCGTCTCCAGATCTCTGAGCTTCACATGCTCGCAAAATGCAAGGGGCCGCACAATCGTGTGAGTCCAGCATGCCCTGATAAAGTGTTCCAAGTATCTTGTGTCTCCCTGATCGTAACTCCCCCGAGCCCTCTCGGCGGGCGTCAACAATGGCTGGGAATTTCGCCATTCAACAAGATTGTGTAGCTGCCAGACAGTCATAGCGAGCATATGCTTGATTGCCGCGAACAAAGTTGGCAGAATTCTCCGCGGCAGCAGGTGGGCTCTTTTCTCGTACAGCTCCAGAAGACCACCAAACAACACCATAAGGTTCTTGTAGCGAATGTAGGGGCCCGACTCCTTGGTGCCAAGGACATCGCTACCAATTGGGCGAGAAAGCGATAGGACAGCCATTCCACCAACTGAAACGTGAAGAAGCGCCTCAAAGGCAGACGGACACGAGCCTGCATGCAGATCAGGAATGCCGCTTACAAAGGAATCCGTCTGACGAACATTGCCCTTGATTTTCTTGGCCTTTCTTTCACCCCAGTCTTTGCTACCATCTTCTTTCTTTTCTTCGTCGCTTTCACTGAATTCAAGTGGACGATCCAGCGAATCTAGCAAATCGGACAGTTCTTTGAACACTCTCAAGAAATGGCCTGTCCCCGACTCGGCATTCTGGGATACGAGAGACAGCAGTCCCAAGTGTCTTAGCAGCCATTGACGAACTGCACTATCCATGACATTGCCTGGGCGCTTCAACACAGTGTCATGAAGGCAGCTGCTAACGGTCTTTGGCAATGTGCCCGCTTCAGTCCTTCTCAGGCACGCCATGAGCGAGTATGGGAGTGTCTCTCGCTGCGTGTTACTTCGTTCTGACCAGGAATACACCGTATGCAAAGCCTTCCAGTTGGCATTGAGAGTTTCCTGTGCAGCAGTTTCTTTGGACGACAAACCTGACAAAATCTCCAGTAGTTCAAGTAGTTGGCAGGCAAGTGCCGCATCGTTGCAACTCTGAAGCTGCAGAAAGAAGCCAACCCAAAGACCTTCAAACGTTTTTGGGTTGGTATCATTCCTATCCTTCTCGCTCAATACACCCTTTGAAACAAGGATTCCAGAGCAAGCATCAATTAGTGCCGACGGAGACACCACCGATTCCGAGGTCTCCAGACCAGCAAACATCACACAGATGTACTGAAAGTAAGTCCTCGTCAGCGAGGAGAGCGTTTCGATTGCGTCGGAACCGGCATGGAGAGGATCGATCTAAAAGAGTGTGAGCGAAATATGTCGGACGGTGGCGAAATGTCCGACTGGCACGCATCCTACTCACCATGGCAATGCTACGGGGTGTGTGGCTCGCCTTTCGGAGTTTGGGCAAAGCCGTGAACAGGTGAAAGGCAATGTCGACGCAATGCGAAAAGCAAGCCACCCCTGATGAAGTCCTGAAGGCCTCCAAGTCCTTGCTCGATTTGCACGATATCAGAGAAACCAAGTGCTCAAGGAGACATCGCCTCATGTGGGCCAAATGCAGCAATTTTGTTGCAACCGAATTCCAACAAGAGGATTGAGGCGCCAATAAAGCCTCGATGTACTCCTTCATCAAGTTGCTCTGCTCGGCATCGGCTAGACAGACAAACAAGACATCCGGAGACAGGAACGCTTCGGAAACAAAGAGCTTCTGTCGTAACCGCTTAAACACTTGATGTGACGAAGTGAGTTGCTTCATGAGCCTGTTCACCTGCTGGTTGAGAGAAAGTTGATGAGAGAGGGCCGTGCCACATGTCAATCACCAGCGCTGGATACTAACCATATCAGACTCTTGGTCGCCATCTGTCTGGCCACCGCTACTCGATCTTCTTGCCGAAGTTAAAGGCCACGTCTCTCCTCGCCCACGAGACCGACGCCCGCCACTGGATTCGCCACTGGGCAGACTCTTCTCGGAGGACACCTTCCCGAATCGACGAGCAAGCTTCTGGACGACCAGCAACACAGACCTCAAAAGACACTCGACAGAATCACTCTTTCTGCGAATGTCGTAAATCTTCATCATTTGAAATTGAATCAACCGAAGAGTTTCCAATCTCTCATCGTACCCACATTCGTCCACAGGAAGATTCTGGAGGTGTCCGTAAGCATTCGCCACCACTGCAAATGACAGGGACACTGCCAAAAGCGATGACAAACCCAAGAGCATGGCTCTCTTGACAACTGGTTTCAACTGGCTCGAGGTCTCTGCTTGAAGCAGCAAGTCAGCCAGGCCTGCAGCAGCAGAGTCATCGTTTGCAAGACACGGGCTGTATTCATCACATGAGAAGATGGTTTTGGCCCATTCCAAGGCGTCTTGTTGCTTCGCATTCTCAGGGTCGAAGTCACGGTGATTCAAGACGAACGCTGGAAACTCAATCGCCGCCTGGAGCCATCCATGAGGAACCCATTTCTGGGATGATTTCTTTCTTTTCTCTTTTGTAGCACCGTTCGAGGTCGAGATTGACACCGTTCGACCCACCCTCAGATAAGTTTCTACCAAATGGAAAACCCAGTGTACTGTGTGGTACCAACGGGAAGACAAATAGACATCCGTGTTCCGAAGAAAGAACGCCAAGCAGAACGCCATTTTCCGGTTCTTCCTTTTCTTGCCAGCTGGGGTCAAGAATTCGTCGGGTGGTGGTGTCGTGTAGGCTAGCATTGCTGGGTCCCTTTGTCGTGCATTCGCTCGAGGTGCTTGTTGCTGCTGTTGCTGATAGTATGCAAGGATTTGGATTAGCCCTGTGTTGGCAAGCACCATTTTCATGTGTTCAAAGGTTTCCTTGATTGCCTCCATGTTCCGCGTCGTTGTTGTGTGATCGTCTTGTTCGTGCAGTCCTTCTTCGCCACCGCTGTCCATGGTCATGAGCGTTTCCAAAAAGGCCAAACCGGGAATCCCAATCTCCGGCTCTACCATCCGCCTCGTGGTTGGCAGGAGAATCTTCAAAACCCATTGTTTGATGCAATCCCAATCCCCTTGGGCAAGACTTGCCGTCTTGACCAATTCCCTAGCTAGCAGTAAACCCTTGACCACTCGCCTGCTATCGACGACGAACGCATTCTTGGCAGAGTAAAAGGAAGAAGACGTAAACAGCAGCTTTTGCAACAGAATCATAATCTCCGATGCTTGAATCCCCCCGGACGAACCACCAGCAGGCTCACAAAGAACGGAGAGTATGGAACAGGAGCGTCGCATACAGTATTGCTCCCACTGTGGCGTGGCTGTGCATGTGGTAGTACTTGTGAGCCATCCAATGAGTACATGCTTCAAGCTGGCAAAGCTTTGTTTGGAGCTCCGTGCCAACTCGTGCAGTATCGCGTTGACTTTATCCGCAATGATGATCTGAAACCATTCGTAGCTGTCTTTGTCATTTTCCGGGATGGCTGAAGGATGATGGAATTGTAGCCGCTGTCTGGCTTGTTGTTGTTTTGAAGCATCAGCCCAATTGGAACTGGCCACCTTGTCACTGAGCTGCAAGAGCAAATGGACCAGTTCTGTCTGGACGTCTCGGTCTACCACGCGATGCAGCTTCAGGATCCAATCCTGTGTCTGTTTCATCATTTGTTCTGCCACCGCTTGACGATTATTGTCATTCTTGTGTTTATTGTTGGAAGAAGTTCGAGCCGGCGTCAGTAGCAAAAAGACGGCAAACGAGACGAGTGATGGAATCATCCTGGGATATAGGATGGACGTGGGTCTCCCGTTTTTCCTCTTGTCACATAAGAGTAGTGTGAGTTTGGATAATAGCGCAAAGGGAAAAGTAGCATCCACGAGCAATTGATCCAGGAGCTGCTCCACGTCGTTGACAAAGTCCTGATGTTGAAAGATGGTGACTAGTACCATCAAGTCTAATGTCACAAATTCTGGTTGGTCGTCATGTTCTTGGTTGTCTTTGGTAGTGGATGATGTTTCGTCTTCTTCTTTCAAGGTGATATCTTTCAGGACTGTGACATATGCCTTGGCAATTTGATGGTTGTTGGCGTCATCCAGGAGAGCATTGATGACAACATGAGCCACCACGGTGATGGCATCTTCATTTTCAGATTCTGATTCTGTAGTTGTAGAAGTTTCCATGTACATGAGCTCTGTGCGCAATGCTTCCAATGCCCTGACAGCATCTTGTTCGCTATTGGAAGAAATGCGGAGCAATGCCCGTACCAAAACTGGCAAGTCTGTTTCCGATGCAAACTCCAATGCTTGGAGTGACAGAGAAAAGGCTTTTTGGCGTCCTGCACTTGTCATTGTCTCCGCCATGGAAGACAGACAGCCAAAAATGGGGATCAAGGCAGAGGGATCTCGTGTCAGTACAGTCCGCAGATATTCCATGACTTGAAAGGTTGTTCGTTCCACAGTATTGTCATCCTTGGTGGTTATGATGGGCATGCAAGATGGCAGAAAATCCAAAAACAATTGCCGCAAAGGACACGGGTCGGAACTGATTTGTTCTAATAGAAACTCACGCAATTGGCCGTCGCCTTGTCCAATATGAAAGATCAACGACGACAACGTTTCTCGTATAGCACCGGTTGGGAACTCTTCTCTACCCGCCAATTCTGTATCATCATCTGGAGACACAGCGATCATCTCCAGCAGATGCGTGACCGCCTGACGACGGACCAATGGTGGATTCTCATGGCAGCCAATAATCGATATTTGATGGTTCAGTTTCTGACGTAGATCTATGGAGGCACTCGACATCGTTACCTGATAAATCGTTAGACTAGGTGAGGAAAAGTCAAGAGGAAGAAGATGAACGGCTGATGATCAGGGACGACATCATGGTCGGTTCCAGAAAAGATGGAGGGAAAACTTGGCGCTTCGGTTGGGGCAAATTCCTGTCATAAATCTATTTTTCAAACCCGGTAATCAAAGAGAAACAGATTGTTTTTGGGCTTCAATCTATTTATTAGTTTTGATACTTAATTTTAAAAAGCGATACATGTACTAGTTGTCTGCCACTCGGCTCAGCAGTCAAAGAAAAGATACTGCTCTTGCAGCAGCTCCAGTCCAACCGCGGCAACATCAGCGAAGCAGAAGCATCACAGCAGCTCAGAGCTGTCATGGCTATGCAGGAGCAAGTGAAGGCAGTTGTCCAGCAGGCATTCACCAACCTAAAGCTTGCCCCTGAGGAATCCTGTTTGAAGCATGAAGATATTTGGAAAAACAATATTTTCCCTTTTGTTGGCATGGGACAAGTTGCCTTTGTGGCCCCAGTTAGCCACAAAATGAAGAGCCTCTACAAATCATACTGTGAAACTGTAGAGAATCCTCCAGAAGTGGGAACTTATGAAGAGTATGATGAGGATGACGAAGAAGACAGTCGCCCAGCAACCTATGCTGACACTTTCACGAGAGCAGTTTTCGCCAGTGTGCCTAGGGCAGAGTATTGGTACATCCACTGGCATACACACATAGATGGAGAGGGCAGTAACACTTCTGTTTGTGCTAGGGCTGCCAGAGAAAGTTGTCTTCCATTTATTCAATGGGCCCATAACAAGGGATTCTATTGGGATGAAGACACTTGCTGGAATGCAGCGTCGAATGGCCATTTGGAAGTATTTGAAATATGCACATAAAAATGGCTGTCCATGGGATGAACGCACATGCCACCGCGCTGCTGAAAATGGCCACTTGGAAATCTTTAAGTACACCCATGAGAATGGCCGCCCATGGCATGCAGACACATGCAGCATTGCTGCTGAAAATGGACACTTGGAATGCCTCAAATATGCTCGCGAAAATGGCTGTCCATGGGATGAAACATGCGAACTTGCTGCCACAAATGGTCATTTGGATGTCCTCAAATATGCACATGAAAATGGCAGCCCATGGGACGAACGGATATGCAACTTAGCTGCAAAAAATGGCCACCTTGAATGCTTCAAATATGCCCACGAGAACGGCTGCCCACGGTGGGATAAAAGTTTATGCGGCATGGCTGCTCAGGGTGGTCATACCCAGATCCTGAGGTATGCCCATGAAAATGGTGTCCCATGGCACAAGTACATATGTTTTGCTGCTGCTCTGAATGGCCAGTTGGAAACCCTCAAATATGCCCATGAAAGTGGGTGTCCCTGGCATGAAGATACGTGCACCGTTGCTGCTCAAAACGATCACTTGGAAGTGCTAAAATATGCAGTTGAAAATGGCTGCCCCTTTGATGAATCTGAAGTTCTGAGTAGCTGTGATGAGAAGGCTAAGGCGTGGTTTCAGGATTTCATCAGAGAGAGGAATGCATAAGTTTCCTTTAGTGTGGTTGGGTTGCCTTTTTTGTTTGTGAGGTGCTAGTTCGGATGTCATCAATTGTTAAAAAGTGTAAGGTTGGGGGCCCTGGCTAGTCAAGCTAGCTCCCAAGAGACCCAGCTATGGTAGAACTCCAGGTCCCCGTGAAGTGTCTACATATCTCAGCATTGGAGTACACCAGCATGCTATCATATTAAACAGATGATTCTCACATGGCATCTCTCCATCTTAAGGTTTCTGGTCTTCGAAGTCTCTGTCAAGAGAGTTATCTCAGTTGACTACTCTAGCTAGTGGCCAAAAATACTGGTACTACCCAAGGCTTTTGCTGGTACCGGTAGTCGCATCCTGCGGGTACAGTTCGAGGGCATCAAAACATGCCACCTTTAGTCTGGCTGCAAAGATCTGCTGGGTGATCCGTGCGCCTTGGCATACCCGGAGAACTACGAGTACGGGTGTCCAAGAGCACTAGCAATCCATTGCTTTCTATATGTATTACTGTCTCTCAGCTTAGCTTTTTCAGTACTTCTTCAAAGTTTGTGACTGCACAAATTCCAGGATCCTTCCATTCATAGAGTGTTTCTCCTGTTTTCGAATCTACGACCAAGCATCCTCCCAACTGTGTCAACACACCGGCGTCTAATGCTTCTTCATCAGGTGCTAATTCCTTCCATTTGGATATGGAAATTCCCATCATACTCTGCAATCGCAAGGTTGCCAATTCGAGGGGCCGTCGTGGCCATTCTCCCACCAAAGGCAACTCGCTGAATTTGTTGACAACGGTGCCTCCACTACTAATCTCGAGCGCATTGTCGGGCCATCGTCCCTTTTTCTGTCCCACGGCCAATGCATCTTCAATCCAGGGTTGTCCCTCAAAGGGATTGCCAATGTATCCTCCAATGACCGCGGGCAACGTGGCCCAGGCACCGAGCCCCCACAACATGCCAAACAATTTGAGATAGGGATTGACATCTTCATTATCGGGCAACCATCCTTGGCCGACTCCAAATTTTCGACCGGCGTTGCCCAGTTTATCCACCAGCAGAGTGACGGATACGTCATCTCCAGATGCTGATGAAGCATCGGTGGGCAAATCCACTTGTTCCGTCATGGCCTTGGCAGCATCGGCATTGGCGTTGAGAATGAGGGCAAAGTTGGAAATGCCGCATTTTTCGTTCAGTTTGGGGAGATAATAGCGCAATCGTTGCGCATATTCAATGGCATTAAAATCGGCAGCGTAGGTCCCAAAAACCACCATGGTTCGAGCATCTCCTTGTCCCATGTATTCGCCCAAATCGATTGCTTCGCCGGTCGCCACCGACGTAACCGAGACGCCCTTCATGGGAGCAAAGGCTTGCGTCGTCCATGGTAAGGAGATGGTTAGCAGTAGTAGTGGTAGTAGTTTCATCATGCTTACTGTTGTTGTTAGTAATCCATTATGATCGTGACGGTCAGATTCGGAGATGCGACCATGCCATTGCCAAAAAGATTGTGGCCTTCGCGATGACGTGTTGAGCGCATCTTTGGTAAAGCAGCAAAGCTGGGATTCAAAAATTCAAATTCGGTCTTCTGTTTTCTCCCTCCTCCAAACCTCTTCTCCTTCCTTGCCCTGAATCATCATCACTCCAAGAACCAAGAAGCAACCACAATGACAGACACAACAACGGCACCAGTAACCACTTCGGAACAAGAGTATGTACTCGCTGGAGGAAAGGATGGCGCCACAGATAGTCCCAATGATCCCGTGGTAGTACCAGCAAAGAAGCAAGGGCACAAGTGTAAGCTTGGCGAATTTCGGAACACACCCTACATCCCGTCAACAAAACTAAATCTAATGCTCTTCTCTTTTGGTGTGTAGGTTGTGGTGGATGCTGTGATATGCGACGTGCCACGATGATTGTGAACTTTGTCAACATGGGTGAGACTTGTGTTTTGTTTCTTCTACTTCTGGGTAGCCTACATTCATACACCGTCCGTCTAATTTCGTCGCACCGATACCCACAACACACTCCCATTATAGGACTCATTCTTCTGGGATTGTGGTACATTGTTGCCTACATTTCCACTTCGAGTCGAGGCGGTCAACCCTACCAAGTCGATGACGACGAAGTCCAAGAAGTCTACGCCGAAGCCGACACATTTCAAGGATTGGGATTTGTTGTTGCCATTATGGTCATTCGATTCCTTTGCAACGGTTGTGGTGTCTACGGGGCCTATATTTTCCATCAGCACTTTGTTGCCGTCAGTCTGGCGGGATACATTCTCGAAATTCTATTTGCTCTCATTAGCTTCAATGTGGCAGGACTGTTGGTGGGCGTCTTCTTTGCCTATCCACACGTCTTTCTCATTCAAGAAATTCGGGCTGGAATCATGACACCCGAGAATTATCCGAATGAAGAACAATCCTGTTGTTGTGTATAACTGAGTCCGGCAGGTTGCACACACAAAAACAAAACACACACCACAATCCACACAAACAAGTGACAAGCTGTTGGTGTAGGATTATACGTCGGTTGAAAAGAAACACCAAACTGGTTGGAAAGGAAACCATCTAGGAGGAGGAGCTTTCTTGTCCGGACTGATAGCTGACGAGATTCTTGTAAAGTCCGACAAGTGTCGTTTTATATCGCTTGATCATGTCTGGAATTCTTGTGATTAGACTACAATGGTTTAAGAGTTGTTTAGTGGGTCTACATACTATCATATGTTTACTTTCTAGGTCTATCTAGTTGCACAGGAGAAGAAAGATCACCAGCTTCTAGGGGCTTGGCATACAGCACGGGGGGTAGCAACGTTGGTACATGTACAGCGTCGTTATGGTGACTGGAAGGACCAAATGCTACATCGCCGCGGGAAACGGTGCTAGCTACAGCGTAGCTACGGCATCACTGGAAGTGTCATTTTTTAAAATAGCTTATGATACTACATGGTCGTAGGCGGTGGTCACATTGGAGAAGCAAATATTAGTGCCATTTGTTCGAATGGGCCAAGGATAGTTGTGTTTACAGCCCGCTTGTACAAATATTAGGGAAAGCCGCACGGCATTCCTTCATTGTCTTCAAGCATCATTTTTTGGCTTTGAGTCAGTCCACATCTTGGTTACCAGAAGGAAACTCGATCAAACTTTGAGGCAAGAGCTCAACCAGTTTGCGATGATTCTCCATCTCTTTGGCACTATAAACACCAACACCTCCCACAAATTCTGCAATGGATTTCAGCACGCCACTATTGCCTCTGAGCTGCTGAGCAGGGGATTCTGTCAGAAGCTTTGTCCACAGAATGTTCCCTTTGTCAGTGCCAATGCTCTCCATGAGAACATCTGCAGCCTTCTTGGAACCAAGCTTTGCCACCAGGTTCGCATGCAGGGCCTTCATGGAGAATTCTGGGTGCAAAGTTCCCTTGAGGAACATTTGAAAACTGTTGTGAGTTCGTAGCACGTCCTGTGACCACGACAATATCTCAGGTCGGTAATCTTTCCATTCTCCATCTCTAGCTTTTCTCTCTACGTTTAAGTTGCTTGCCAATGTGTTTGCATCCAACTCAAATGCTCCATTCACCAAGAACCATTTGCCAATTCAAACGCGCTAACGCGCTCGTTCTCCCTAGAAAAATGAGCAAAATTACCGTTCCAACAAAAATTCCAGGCGCTGATGAATGGGGAATTCTTTTCTTCAAAAATATCTTCCTTGGCTCCATTTTTGTACAACCACTGTGCAACTGCCAGATTACCGTTTACAACTGCTGCTTTCATTGGAAACCACAATTCTGGGCCTGCTCTTGTGGCACCGGTAATTCCTCCTTGCTTGAGAATGTACCGGCACATGGCAAGGTCTCCATGGTGGCTGAAGTAAATCATTGGGGTAATGGAATCGAGCCAGTAGGTAGTTTCAGATGGCCCCCTGGAACTTGGTAGATCAATGGCCGTGATGCAATCATTTGGGTCAAATCCCGCCTCGGCTAACTTGCGCTTGGCTGTGGCATCATCTTCCATACCTCCATTACTTCCATCGGCAACATCGTCAACGCGCTTTCGTTTGGCTGATGGTTCTCCCGCAACAGACGCCATGGTCACCTCTGTTTTGTGTTGTTCGCTTACTGGGAATGACGGGTAAGACTGTACAGTCGAAGTGGCAAAGCACTCGGCTCTTCGTTGTGAGTTTGAGCGTTGCGGCGAAGTGAGCGTGGATCCGATTTTGACCACGGTGCGTGGAAGAGATCGTCCTTCCGGCGCCTCCGACTCGACTCCCGCATGACTCAATCCTGATAGCATTCCTCTCCATCCAAAATCTCCCCAACTGGATCGGTCTCTCATTATTCTTGGACACGTTTAGCGCGTTGTTGTCAAGTCTCGCACAGTTCAGTTGTGGCTTGTCTCGTCTCCTTGAAACCAATCAATCGGTCTCCTCCAAAGTTTCCAAGGACGAGAAAGTGGCAAAGCAAACTGGCTAGCTAGCAGGAACAAAGTGAGAGTCTGAAGCTTGTTCCGAAGATTCGATTGGATAACCACACCAAAAATCCACCATGCCAAGTAAAGAACCCAAGAAAGATCCGTCTACGGACGACAAGCCGGAAGAGAAAGAAGCCGACAAGAAGACCTTGAAAGACGAAGATAAGAAAGAAGATTCTGACAAGAAAGACGAAGACGAAAAGGAAGGTACTCCCGAGAAGGAGGAGTATGACGAAGAAGTCATCAAATCCGTGGCCGAACGCCTCAGATTCTTCTTTTCGGATGCCAATGTGCGACAAGATTTCTTCATTCGCAAGTACCTGATTGTGAAGGAAGGCGCTTTGGTGGGGGACAGCAGTATTTCGGCGGGTACCGTCCCCATTGACGCTCTCTTGCGTTTTAATACCATCAAGAGATTCACGGAAGATCCTGCTGATGTGATCCATGCCGTCAAAACCGTCCTCAGCGACAAACTCGTTGTCAAGGATGAAGGCAAATCCATTGCTCGTGTCAAACCCTTTACACAAGAACTCATGAACGACAACATTCCCCTTTCGCTCTACGTCAAGAATCTACCCACCAAACAAAACGACCGAAAGCAGGTTCTTTACGATGTCCAAATGGAAGATGTACGAAAGCTATTTGAAAGTTACGGCGAAGTCTCACTGGTCAAACTCCGATTCAAACGATCCCAGCATTCGGATGACGACAACCACACGGATGACATCAAAATGGAGGACAATGAAGGCAAAAGGCTGCCTCGTCGTCGTTTCCCCATGGGCGATTGCATGGTGGAATTCGAAGAAAAGGCGGCATTGGAAAAGGCAGCCGAAGATGTGATTACCTCCAAGGAAGGCGCCGCTGTGGAACCCAAACGTAAACTTGAAATGGGTGAAAAGACGCTGGAAGTGATGTTGCTCAAGGATTACTTGAATGGGTTGAAAAAGAGAAAGCGCGACAAAGATGACGACAAAAAAGGCGAGGACGACGGTGATGCCTCCAAACTCACCATTGACTGGAAACCAGGATGTGTTGTCGGTCTCAAAGGACTACCGGAGAACTGCGACCGCGAAGCCATCTTGCAAGCCGTCATGAAAGGATGTGATATCACCGAGGCGGTCCTAAAGGAAAAGAAGATTTATGCCGACTACTCGCGGGGCCAGAAAGATGGAGCCATTCGTTTTCCAGAACCCGATCTTCCCAAGGTCCTTGTGGAAAAGCTCAAGAGTGGTGACGTCAAGATTTGCGATGCCAAGGTGGAAGAAGTGGAGGTCAAAGAAGGCGACGCCGAAAAGAAGTACTGGGAAGACTACACCCAGTTCAAAAGGAATCAGATGCGTCATCGTCAGGAAGAAAAAAAGCAAAAGAAGAAGAGGTTTCGACGCAACAAGACGATGTAGCCTCTCTTTCGTGCTGGACCGGGGCATCTTTTATTTCTTCTCAATGTTTGGACACTTATGTTTTGGACAAGTTTCAACCCTGGACTGTCCCTTGAAAATATACATGAAGTAGACCGTAGGCGCCCGTGGAAGAGGCCCATGGATGAGTATCAATAGATTCCTGGCCGTGACCACTTGCATAGCATGTTCCTTTTGTATGATCGATGATACCAAAAATAAATAGTTATCACTTTGCATGTGCATTCCGTAGGTTCTTCTTCCGTCTGCTCACTGTATGACTACGGTACCGGTTGGCAGAGACAGTGATTGGCGCTGTTGGAAGCATCTTGGTACAGACCTTTCGAGCACTTGTAGCTAGTAATCCACCTCAAAAAGATGATGGCACACTGCAAGGACCCCCCTGTTCAATTTATAGGTGGCAATGCTGGGGTGTTGAAATGCATTGCAGAGTATGTGGGTGTCGTCTATGGTTTCAAAGGGACCCGCAGAATTCACCACCAGCTGGCCAAGCTATTGCTTCAAGATTTGAGAGATCATCCTGCTGATAGCCTACCGAAGTATCACTACTGCCAGTAGATTTGATAACGAAGACAATGACGGGGATTGGTCTGAGGGACCTACCGGTACGATATTCCTTACATGTGGCTGCTGTGCGCATACCCGTGGCTTGTGTTGTGATCATTCCAAAAGAAACTGTTCGCCGCGCTGCAACATTTTGGCAAGGATGTGGCCAGGTAGAGACATGAATCGAATTTTCCTTCCTTGTCGTCGTCGAAAGCTTTTGAAGAGAAAACGGCAGGACTTTGTGGGCCGAATCATGCCTCGCGGCAACAGAAAGCCTTGGCATCCAATAGAATTGTGGTCTTGAAGGGAAGCTCGACGACAGCTTGATTGACCAACATCACCTTAATTTCTCTTGGAAGTTGCCTCGACATGGCGCCGGATCAGACACGGCAGCGAACCCTTGACACAGCTGAACGTTTGAAGCATTATTCATCGCAAACACCGAAACGAGGACACAACCGATTCTGAATGATTCTATCATCTTCCGCTACTGAAGTTTTTTAATCCCGCTCATCTACCGAACGTATGGTCATACCTTGTCTGTCTTGAGTGCTTCCAATACACACAAACCGGTATATACAGTGTTCCTCTGCCGCATTGCTACCGTACCAGTCTAGCGTCTGCGCAAGTTTCATCGAGCTCGTCTCATCGAAGGGGTTTGAAAGGGATTTTGCCACGCTCCGAAACAGTTTTCCGGGTCCACGATGGTTGCAGAAATGGACCGTGTTTCCACGGTGCGCCTGACGAGAACAGCCAGCCCACGACAAAAAAGGGTCACAGTCCCACTAAGTAGATCGTGCATCGCAACCGTTCAACTGCATCCGAGCATAAACCAAGCACTCTCTCGTGGGCATCCACCTTGTGTTTGCTGGGTGCGAGATGAATGAATGAAAGAAAGAATCTGGCTCCAGCAACTTCTAAAACCATCGTGGCGGCCGCATAAAAGAAGCAACAGCAACTAACTTTCGCGTGAAACAAAGCAAGCAAGCAATCAACAAACCATGACAACAGAAGTGGAAGCCAATCCAAGCCACTACCCAGATAGCAACAATTTGCACTGCGGCAGTTTTCTCGAATATCACACCTCTGAGTTAAATCGTGGGGAGAAAGAGAGCAGTACTCGCAGAAGAAGACTGAGCCAGAGCGAGATTGATGAACAAGCCCTCCGCCATCGCCTCCTGTTAAGCCACCAGGAAGCCTCGTCTCAAGATGCCCTAGGACGCATCGTCTCGGACAAGAACGAATGGGGCAAGTTCCATCGAGCACTGCGAGAAAGACGCAGTCTATGCTCTACGCATGCCGCCATTCAGCAGTGCATAAACACCGTGGTAGAAGAGCAGGCGAAGCAAATGGAAGACAAAGAAGATCAAGAAGGGTCATCCCCATCAAATTCATCCAACTCCTATGAAGAAGACGAACAACTACGCTTTATTGAGATTTATCGCAAGGCAATGGAACTGTCTACTGGCAGTCACGTTGTAGAGGAGGGTAGTTGGACCGTTTAGGGGCTCAAAAGTTGCGCACAACAATCCGAACTTGAAATGAAATGTGCACATGCTGAAACTCCGAAGCGCACTCACAGACAGCAGCAGCGTAGAAGATCAAAAATCGCACTGGGAAGGGCCTAAGAACGCTTTAAAACTAGATTGCAAAAGAACGTTTTTAAAACTAGATTGCAGCGACAACAACACACACCATGACGCCCCGATGGGTCTCCTACGCCAAGCACCTGCAGGTTTATGTGCTCCCTTCAGTGATGATTGTCAATTTGGTACTATGCCCTTCAGTGGGGTGCCGTCCCACTCAGGCATTGAGGCAACGTCCTCTACCTACAGGAGCCTTCGACAGTGGAGGGAGAAATCAGAATCTTGAATGACACCCAAAAAGACATCGCGCAGCACCTTTTAAACTGCACCCCGTTGACTATTCTCTAGCTAGCTATAGCTAAGCACTTTCATGCGCGCTTCGGATTGCTTCATACACCTCCTGTGTAGCTGGGTGCTCTGGACCCAGAACAACCTCCAGAATCGGCAGAGCCTTCTTGTAGTCGGTCACGGCCCCAATTGTGTCCCCCCTCAGTTTCTTCAGAGCAGCAATGTCGCAGTAGGATGCCGCCGTGTCGGGATGCGTAGGCCCCAGGCACAATTCTCGGAATGAAAGCGCCTTTTGAAAGTGTTCCAAGGCATCTACGAGTTGCCCTTGTCCCTGCAATACAAGCCCAATGTTGCGATAGCACGTGGCGATCAATCGATGGTGTGTGTGTCGCTTTAGCAAGAAAATGGGGATCGCCTTTCGAAAGCAGATCAATGCCCGTTCCAGTAAGCCTTGACTTAGAAGCACTTGGCCTAGCCCATTATAGGTGATTGCCACGTCGAAATGCTGTGGCCCCAGCACTTCTTCGCGAATGTCAAGCGCTTTTTGGTATTCCAACAAGGCATGTTGATTGTCACCCTTTCCGTGCAGGGCCTGGCCAATGCTGTTCCAAGTTTCTGCAGTCCTTGCGTTTTGAGGTCCCAAGAGGTCCAGTCGAATTCGCAGTGCTCTTCTGTGGACTTCCAAGGCAGCATCGAATTCTCCGTTTCGGTCCAAGATAAGACCAATCTGGTTGCAGACGCGAGCAGTCGCCAGATCTGATTCTGGATTAGATAGGTGCTTTTTGGCGAGATCCCCAATCACTTGCCGGGCCCAATTTCGCAGCAATTGATTCACTCGATGATTGAGTGATGCATACCCTGTGCTTGTCTCGATCCACCCCAGTATGGCTACACAATCACACTGAAACGAGGCTTGGGCGTCTTGTATTCGAGTTTTTGCCAAGGCATCATAAAGCACATCAATATTGTCCAGCCCGTCATCCCCAAACAATTCAAGCTCGAGAAGTTCCTTCTCCTTTGGAGGCATGACAACCGTCACTCGACAGCTGTTTTCGTGGGCATATGAGAGCTCAAAGATACACCAAACGCGAGTCAGATAGGTTGGTCTATCCCATGGAGCCATCATTGCCAAGAGATGCCCAATCCTCTTGACTCTTTGTCCAAAGATTGTGAAGAAGTCCACTGGGGAGGAAGCAGTCATTCCTGACATTTTGGATGCTGCCACCCTGTGTTGATTGACACAGAGACAACAGATCCAAATATAAGTCCTCTTTGGGTTGAGGCCATTCGCTTGGCAAAAATCGCTGAGAGTATCCACAATGTCACCAACGGTGTAACTCCACGAATAGCTCAGAAAGTGGGTGGCTTCTCCCACGTGATCTTCTCCCGACAAACAGTCCACATATGCAGCTCCCATTTGGTGGTCGTGGGGGCATCTGACATTGAGCCCTTTGGATCGTATCAAGCCAGGTTTTTCCATATCGAGGTTCTCGAGGTCATGAATTGTAGACCCTTTGCTCAATCCAGCATCCTCCACTTCGCTCATGAAGGCCGTCTCCAAGTAGTGGGCACTAACGGCCAACCGACTCATCTGCTCGCCGTCAAGCTTTGGCAACATTGTGCGGCAATCCGCTCAGCTGGACAAAATCTTCTTGAACACCCCTCGAATCATTCCCCCAGAACAACAAAAGCATAAAGAAGAGGCACACTGGCCAGCTGGCTACCGCTAGCTCCCGCTTGTGATCCTTAGTAGCAACAACAGCATCAATGGAGTTCCGGTTTGCACATTATTTGGTTCCACTTCGTCCACAAAAACTTGAAGGTCTGAAGGCTGATTCCCTCGTTTCTCGGCAGCCTAACTGGCTTGAGTTCTCGCGCACAGACGAACCGACCAAAGTTTGGATCTCTCAAATGGAAAGACACAAGGGAAGCCACCACTGCAGGGAAAGTCTTTGCTCGGGCCGAGGACGCGCTGAGATGCCCAGGAAACATCATACTAGTATGCCGATAAACCCAACTACAGTTTGTGACGAAATGGTAATGGGATTTTGAGGGGACGTCGCTGGAGCATCATATCAGCAAACACAAATTAAATTCTGCGTTACTCGATTGGTCGAGGGACCGTCAACGTCTGCGAATCAACAACGGACCGCCAAGCGGTTGAGGTGTTGCTTCAGGGCAAAACCACGACGTTGAACCTCACCCGTTGCACAACGAAGGATGTTCCCTCAGGATGTGAAACAAGCATGGCACGTCTTCCGACGCATTGGACAAGATCTGGATTGCGCTTCGGTCCCGCTCCCCGACCACCTCCAGTTCCCTAAAACCGTATCTGGCGAGCTTCTGATAGAGCTCAAACTTCGCCGCAAGCTCCTCGGACTCATAATGGAAGTAGTATTCATCGTTTCTTGAAAAGCCAAAGTCATTCAAAGACTTCCCGGGACCTTCCACAAGCCCTAGCCAAGGCTGCTGTATCTCGACGGGGACACGCATATTAACCCTTCCCTCTGCTTTGATCCTGAGTCTGCGCAATCTGGTGTTGGATCGGAGTGCATCGGGGATTGCTTCGGTCAAAAGCCGCCTCCAAGAGAGCTGGGGAGTGTCCTTGTCGACAGTGGCGCCCCAAGGGGAAGGGTCAATATGGTAGAATCCACCCAAGGAGTCCCAACGGTTCGAAGCCTCATCACTGAGACACGGTTTGAACTCAAAATCTATCAGTGGCGAGTCAGGTCCCAACAGTCCCAGAAAGTCTTCAAGGCAACCCGAGGTCAAATCACACCGATCAAGGTGTAATTTCTTGAGGCATTTCCTTTGAAGTATGTTGGGAACCATGTCTTTCCAAGCAGCTTCATCAATAGGAAAACCTGAAAGAACCAGTTCTTCCAATGAAAGGCAGGATCGGAAGAACGGCGGCAAGATGCAACGCGCCGGGTCCTGGTCTCTTGGGTCGTATCCATAGCAAGAAAAGGCGATTTTCTTCAGCGACGGAAGCGGCGCCAGTGGAAGCAGGAGATGTCTCAGCTTCAAGCCGTTGGAAACGACATAGCCATCGTAGCGGAAGTTAAGACTGCAATTGGTGACTTCAATTTCCTCCAGGCGCTTCAGTTGTCGCATTGAGTCAAACAGAGCTTGGGCTTCGGGATGAGTCTGACCGAACGAGGTACCCCTTTTCCGGGCGACAAAGCTGACGTTTTGAAGCCTGATCCTGCGGATAGTTTGGGAAGAAAGTAATAGTAGCTTTCTAATTGCGCCTGCTGGCAATGGCAGGTTGTATTGCCATGCATCAAGTTCACCTTTAATCGAGAGCTCCTGCAGGTTGGGGATACGGCTAATGGCTGCAAGCAACCTGGAATACAACCGACTCTTGAATTTCTTATCCGTTGACTTCGTTATGTGAACCTTTGTTGTTGCTTCATCGTAGATCCCCGATCGTAGTGCCTTGATAGCTTCCTCGATATCGGATCGTTGGGTAATGCGAATGTCCAGGGTGTCTGTTGTTACCACAGGAGGACGGAGATTGGGGCGCCGAGAAAAGAACCCCGACGTTTTAGCCAACAGGAGATTGGGCATTTCCTTCATAGCTTCCATCCTTCAAAGTAATGGGAGAGGTTGCTCCCGTTCATTGGATGCCATTGTTGGGTCTTCATGAATACGGTACCGTATAAGGTACTACCGGTAGTACACTACCTGGCTAATACCGGTACCGGAGGCAGCATGCAGTTTTCCCTCCTGGTTTGGCACGTCTGGGTCTGGCACCTCATGCGCAAATATGGGAACCCCGAAGACACGACTGAGGCCTCATCTTGAACGATATTTAAATATACATGTACAGTATTAGTAAGCCAACAGCAAAGCAGCCACCACTGACAACGCTGTGTGATGAAATCATCGCCCTATGTATACCGATACGGTACAGGAAACCCTGAACCCACAACTGAACTCAGAACAAAACTCAAGTGCGTCGCGGGCTACATATGGTATCGAAGATGAAGCTATAGCCAAACATAAGTTGAGGAGGGCAGGATTTGAAGCAGATGACTGTATCACAGCCATCAGTCCGCCCATGTCCAAGAAGCCGCCCGGTACCGGATCCTGGCATTCTGTAACACCAATGACTTACTTCTGTTTCTTTGGAGACCTTCCCATGTACAAGTACATACACAGTCAAGGAGGAGCCACCACAAGATCTGTTTACAGTGACGAATTCTGGCACCCATTGTATGCTGCCATTTTCAAAGGAAATGTGGCAGTGTGTCAGTGTGTCAGTGGCTGTATGATAATGGGGCCAAGGTAGATGTTCTACAAAGGAATGTGAATGATGTCAGCCCCTGGAATCTTTGTTGGAGAAACCCTGGTGACAAGCAGTTGGTGATTAATACTATTCTACAGTAACGTACAATTCTGGCACATTCTATTTCAGAGATGAGATTGGAATAAATGATTATATATTTCGTATTGGAAAATGATTCGTCTTGTATCTTCGTTCTGTTGGTCTTGTTACGGAAGTCTCTCAGCCAACCTCGCGATGCTTCGCTGCATGCCTACTGGTTAGCTAGTTGTCTTCTACCTTTTCTTCTCAAACTGACTTCTCTTTCTTCTCTCCAGGAGGGTCCTCTTTCTTGGTCTCCGCCTTCTTCGTCTCCGCCTTCTTCGTCTCCTCCTTTGTCTTGGCCGCGCCTCCACCCGCATGGTGAAATTCATCATCCTTCCGGTGCATATGCATGGCTTCGTCCATCATTTTTGAATAGGATTTTGGCATTATTTTTGTATTCGCTTCTAAGACAATTTCTTCTTGGTTGTTACCTCTTCTCAGTTTTGGTTATTGTGTGCTGCTTGTGCGGTTGGCACCAAGCAGACAGCGAGAGAAGAGATACATGTACCGTACTAGCTAGCTGGCTGGTACCGGTAGACGGGCTTCTTCTTCGACTAAGATACGATTGAAGTACGACTGTGTTTCGCCCGGCGTGTTATTTCCTTCTCTTTCGACAAACGACGCACTTGACATTGTTCGCTGCCGCTCGGCACTCGGCAAGAAGCGGCGACAGTTAAACTCGGCTATCCCCTCCCTCGATGATGCCAGGCCATCTCGGGCCGCGCGAGTTGGTCAGTCGTCCGTCGAATATCTTTGTGGCTCTTGGTGATAATGGGGCCTTTCAAGATGAATTTGGAGAAATTGACACCAGACACTTTGACACCCAAGTTGTGCGGTTACCGGTATGTGGGAGGTACATTGGAAGATCTTCGACCTGAGGGTCACAGGACATTCTGAGACCTCATGAAGGCTTTGAAACATTCCTTTTGGGCACTTTGGCTCCACCAAAGTTTTCAGCGGGTGCTCTGCATCTCTGCATGCCAAACTAGTGGCAAACAATGGCTCCAAAGATGTTGCAGATTTATCATGGAAAGTATTGGAGTTGAGAAATCAGAGCTTCTATGGAAAAAGATGGTGGCACACTATAATGAATCACCAGCTCAGCTTATTGGAGGCAATCTTGGGTTTTTAAATGCATTGCCGAGTATGCTGGAATTGTACGTGGTTTCAAAGAGACTGACAGAATTCGCCAGCTTGGCCACCTGTTGCTTCAAGACTTGAGAGACCACCCATCTGATGGCCTTCCAGAGAACCTGTACCCAGAAACTGATACTGATACTGACGATGAGGACAATCATGATGTCGATGTCGATGGCGATGACGACGGTGACGACTGTGGAACGTTCTGATGATGAGATACCGGTACCTCCTTGCTGGATTGGTTTGTGAGCAGACTTGACTGTGGGAAACACCTGAGCCTTTGCTCGTGGGTGGTCCTCGAGCACTTCTTGTCTGAATCCGTTCATAAGTTTGAGTTGTTTTGGTTGTAATTTGCAGGCCTGGTGCGCAGTACGCCAAAGCTGGCTAGCTCACTGGTCGACATAGTTTGGTTCGATGCTGGTTTCTCTCTGCTCGAACTCGTTCACATTTGCCGTCCCTTGCCTTCTGCCGTGGCTCCGATTTGGTTATCATCGCTCTGGGTAGCTGGCTTGCCACCGGTGCTGTAGCCTCCTAGATTTGACTAGGCTGTCCCCACCAAGGTGTCTTTCAGGAAGCAACTGGCATGCACACCGTCATGCAGGCCAAATGTACTGGTACGGGTACCGGTACGTGCACTAAACATTATCCTACTAGCTAGTTGAGAAGCATGTCTTGAATCTCCTCTCGGAGGTGCCGTAGCTCAGCTCGATTGCTGGTCCGTTGTGGTCGGTTCGATCGTTTCATCATTCGATTCAAACCTTCCCAGCGAAGGATTCCACGGTTCGCAGGCGCACTTGATGCGTTCACAAGAAAATCTCAACGTGGCAAATGCTATCTCTTTGACAAGTGTTCAAATCTCCACAAAATCGAACTAGCTTGCTTGTTTGCAACGTGTTGATCGGGGTTTCGATATCGTGTGAGACCGACCATGGTTCTTCATCGTCTTTGCCGAGAACTGCTGAACGAGAAGGATTCTCAGTGCAAAGAAAAGTTGTCCTTCCACCAGGTTCTGCTGGAACAAAAGGATGCACAATGCAAGGAATCGCATTCAATCACCAAACAACTTCTGGAGGAGAAAGAAGTCATGTGCACCCAATCTCGGGACTTGAGCCAACGCCTGTTGGAGGACCAAGGACATCACCTGGAAGAGGTACGACTCTCAACCAGAGACTGCTTGAGGAACGATCGAGACTTGTATTTGAAAGACTGGCAGAATGCCATGGAACAGCAGCAACAGCTCATGTCCATGATCGCGGTCGTGGCAGGAGTTTTAGTTTTTGCACTGGTGGCGCTTGTCTTTTATTCGTTCAACACCCAGGGGAAGGAGAAGCGTCAGTTGAACCTCCAGTATGAGCGAGCCATTCAAGAGAAGACGGACCGCATTGTTCAACTGGAGAAGCTCCGAGAGGAACAAAGCAAGAGTGACAGTCTTGAAGGCTCTGCAGCGCTACCTGTGACGCAGCTTCCCCAGCCACAGATGCAATTTCCCCAGCCACAGATGCCACCGTTTGTCTTCACACTTCCCTCCTCACCCATGCCAACGATGGCCTTGACTACCCCTATGAAGGTCGGCTGAATGCATGATGTAATCCTATAAAGCATCTCCGCTTTGTTATGTTCTCAGTTAGTACAATGTCTAGCTAGCAGCTAGCTAGGTTTAGTTTGGTGTAGATCACCAGCCCCCTTTTTTGTGAGCCACATTTTTTGGTGAGCCACATCATTCGCCCCGAATAGATACTAGCTAGTATCGTACGGGTCTGTTGGACAGCCGTCATTAGTATTCCCCCATTTCCCTTTCATCTAACGGTACCAAAATTAATGTGACAGCTTGTGTGACGATGTTCGTTCTCGTGCTCGAGGGTTCTCATGTTCTCATCATCAATCAATGGAAAAAGATATTCCCGCAAGTGGCTGCAACGATACATGTGAAGCATCCAGAATTAGAAGGATACGGAAGCAAGACGTTGACACAATCGAGAACACGTTGTCCCTTTTGGACCGAACCATAACAATCAGCCAAGCCTCGTTGTTGTTTGTGGTTGGATATAAAAAGCCATTGATACCTCTCGTCTACCTTGATTGATTGGTTGATGCATTGATTGCATGAACCCTGAGCTGGCCACAAATCAATAATAGACTATCCTACCGGTATCATTAGAAGAGAATTGAGCTGCAGAACTTGGCGACTGTGCGAATTTTAGTTTGATCCAACATCATCGAATGCGAACCGATTGATCCATCACAGATCATACGATAGAAACATCATCCAGCAAAAGCTGAGTAACAAAGAAGACGAAGAAAAGAAAGAAGAAAACAATAAAATGATTTGCACCTTGGAACCCCAAAAGAAACGAAACAGCGATGTGCGTAGCAGCAACACACACATGTCCCTCAATCCACTGGCATCGTCCGGAGAGAGTTCGGGAGAACAAGCCGGCAGTCTGACCCGCCGCATGAGTTATGGCGACGATGTCCAAGTTCCCTGGCAGACCATTGCCGATTGTGGAGTCTGCTTGGATTACTACGAAAAGTCGCGCTTGGTGGTGGGTGTCATTTTGCATACTGCCCAAACATCTCATCGTGGATTGGGTGCCTTGATCAATCCCGCCTCGAATTGCCGATTGGCGGCCGTGGCCATTGTGGCGGGACCATTGCCAGCCGACATGACGGCATGGATGCGACACCAGAATTTGGAAAATCACAAAGAACCCGTGACGGTATTTGGGGGACAAGAAGGAGCCCAACAATTGGTCCAACGTGAAGATGTCGAAGCCGTGTTTATCATTGTACCCGACAGTATTCATCGACCGTTCGTCTTGTCGGCGTTGGAACACAAGAAACACGTCCTACTCAATGATCCCGTATCCATTTCACTACCGGCGTTCAACGAACAACTCCAATACGCCAAGAAATTCGGAAAATTCGTACAATCTTCCACACCCTTTATTCATCAATATCGAGTACGACAATTCATGGATTTGGTTTTACGGGAAGAAACCTTTGGAAGAGTCACCTGTATGGATGCCTATCTCAGTGTCTGTCCCAGGGATCTGCCCTTGGTGGGCATTGCCAACAATCAAATGGCACTATTGCCCAATCAGGGATGCATTCGAAGACTTGGCAGGTATTGTGTCCTCTTTGGGATTCTCATCTTTGGCAAGTTGGGAAGTCATCCCATTGCCGCACAAGTACATGATGCCGAGTTTGACGAACAACAACAACGACAAGCCGAAAAGACCAATGGTGGACAACCACGAACAGCAGCAGAACCAGTGCGAGCGGAATGTACCATCAAGTACTCGGGTGTGAGTGTTGTCGTTCGTTCGTTCGTTCGTTCGTTGGGATTCATTTTAAAATTCCTTTTATACATCTCACACAAATAATAAATGACAATGCCTTGCTTCCACTTTTTGCAGGACCGAAAAATGACATTCACGGTGGATTATTCCCACGCTTCCGCTACAAGGCAAAAGCTCGAGGTCAAGGCGGGATCCAGTATGGCAAACATGTCCGACTTTGTGTTTGTAAGTACTGTACTGTATGATAGTATCATTGTATCATTCTGTGGTCCAAAGTTGATCTTCCTGTCATCCATCGTCCAGGCCAGGCTCTCCTCATCCCACCAATTGCTTTGTCTTTTTGCCTCTCGCAGCCTCACCCGGATGGGTTGGCGACGTATCGTCTTTACGAAGACATCAAGAAAGAGCCAGGAGCAAAGCATACCGAAGATATGCGGGGAGAAGCCATTGATATTGCGGTAAGTAGTGCGATTACAGATAGTTGCACAAAGCAGATGCCATAGCTTGAAAAGACTAATGCTATGGACAAACCTAACTTGCGAACGGCTTCCTTGCTTTGCTGGATCGCTCTTATATTATAGGGAGGACCTTCTCATGATGTTGTCATGTGGAGGAACTTTGCCCAACTCAGTAGGTCGATCGATGAAGAAGGGTGGGAAGGTGGAACCAGCCCGCTCAGTGAACGGGTGCGAGAACTGGCCGAAATCACAGTCCATACCAAGACGATACTGAATGCTCTCATGAAGAGCCTCGAAGAAGGATGTGTGGAGGTGCCATTGGTCCAATAACGGAGACGGTGTCCACGCAAAACTTTATCTACATGCATGCATATGTTCTTTTTTTCTTTTTGATCGGGTACATGTAGCGATTGCTATATACAATAAATGCATCCACCTTCTTTTTGCATGAACTTGATTCGAATCGATTCGATTCTTCGATTGATCATTCATTCTTGCAAAGCACCTCTGCGGGAGCAAGAATTATCTCCTTCCTTGACCACCGTCATCAAGTCACTCTTCTCACAGATTGCGTACTTGATTGTAGAATCGAATCTCACGGACCAACTGTCGTATCCTTCCACAACCGACGAAAGCTACCGAAATATAGCGCTTGCCACTGGTGATGCCCGGGCCACCATGCAACAATCCTGATGCATGGCTGACCACTTGTCCTTGGTCTATCTTGACAGAATCATTCAGTGAGGCAATCCAGGTACCACCGCGCTGGGTTCAGGGCAATATTGAAGGAGAGGACGCTTTCCATCTCGATGTTCCTTCAGCATACTTTGACCTCCCGCTGCGTCGTACTTGACCACGAATCCATCTGCCACTCGCAACTTGGTGGGGTCCGGTACGGTAGATATTGACCAAACTGAGCGCGTAGAAACGGATACAGCCGTTCCTCTAACGCCATTCTGAGAAATTTGAGTGTCTCTGGTGGCTCCACCAATGGGAGATATGTAGTGGGAAAGTTCCCGTGTCGGTTCGGGTCCATTCAATCTCCGAGGCCACCCTTTTTGCCTCTGCCACAATCCGTTGGCATTCTAGCTAGTGACGTAAACACCTCTCCCTTGGTTGGATGCAACCAAAAATCTGTCTTGATGCGGGATCTGAGACTCGTAATCGTCTTGTGAATACATGTAGCTCCGAACCAAATCCTCCTCATAGGTTGTGGGATGAATGGAATCTTGGACTGCGCATATTATCCTGGAACATGAAGTTCCGAAACTCGTTCCTGGAGTTCACGCTTGATCTTGAAGTACTCGGAGTACTTGGAGCATACTAAGTCTTTAGACACTTTGAGTACTGTACAAGGAAACCAACAATAACAAAGGGACACACCTGGCTACCGCTAGTAGGGAGGCTTTTCATCGGTGCTTTTCATCGAACGAGGCTTCCTCATCCACTCGGGGCTCGGGGCTATTGGATTACCTAGTCATGTCAGTTGTCAGTCAACTCGGAGAAGAGGAGTGCTTCTGGCACTACTTCAATAGTACCTGGTACCGGTTCAATCATTATTTATCATTCCACCAAGACCTCCTGTCTCCTGTACTGTGCCACTGTCAGAGGCCTCGGATTTGGCCAGTGGTCAATTTTTAATGCGCGAACTGCCTTTCCACTACAGGTCGAAGTTGCCAAGCTCCGTGGAACCCAACGTTGCAAAGTTGCAACCCTACATCGGGTGTATCAGAGTCTCCCACAAATTGTCTCTCCCACAAATTTGTTCGCCTCCTGTGCAAACCGAATTCCACTCATCTCAATAACTGATCGAAGATTCGTTTACCATGACACTTGCCAACGCTGATATCGAGGAGCAGAATCCCCAGCAGGAAGTCCATTTTGCAGGTACCAATGACGACGATGTCTCCTGCACAGGCCATGACCATGACGAAGACCCCTACACAAGCGAATCCATTCGAAATCTCATGACCAAGAAGGAGAATGACCGCATCAAGATGTTCAGGCTCATGGTACTTGGAATGCTGATCATGACAGCAGTGGTCACCATTGTGGCAAAGGTCTTTCTGGGCCAGCAGGAGAACAGAAACTTTGAGACAGCTGTAAGTCCACCATTGCCAGCTCTACCAAGCAAATCTTCTTTATCAACTCACCCACACTGTCTCCAACTTGTCGTCATACATCCTGCAGTATGGCCAGTTTGCTAGGACTCTGGCAGATGCCGCCCTTGAACAACAGCAGAGCCTCCGAGCTTCCTGTAGGAGCCTCGCCAATGAAATCACGGCCTATGCACAACAGACCAACCAGAGTTGGCCCTATGTGAATCTGCCTCTGTTTGAGAGCTATGCCAAGGGTTTCTTTGACCACAGCAAGGCTGAGTTTATTGGTGTTCAGAACCTTGTCAAGCTAAATGAAACAGATGACTTTATCAATTGGACCACAGCTCACTACAAGGACTGGGTTAGTGAAGCCCACACCCTTCATTATGGAAACACTGACCTCCTCAACACAGATCCAGCCCGATACAATCAGTATATCTCCCAGAAAGGCCCTAACAACACATATCCTCCCGACAAAGATCGTCCATACTATGCTGTTCGTATCATGCAATCTCCTCCCATGCGTGCTTATGGTCCTACATTGAATCTGAACCTCGCCACCATCCCTGGTATCCAAGCCATCCATGATTCCCTTCTGCAACTCAAGTATGAGACACTTGTTACTCGCATCAAGCCATTCAATGCAGTCCCCGCAGAAGAACACCAAAACTTCCATACAGATTCCGAAGCGGATAATCCTCATTCCTTTATGTTCACTCCAATTTGGCATGAGGTTCAAAATCCAGACAGTGGCATTGTTGGAACACTTTCTTCCAGTGTTGCATGGGATGCCAGTATGCAAGATTTGCTGCCTGAGATGGTCACAGGCATCTTGGGTGTTGTCCGCAACGACTGTGGGCAAGAGTTCACCTACTTGGTGTCTGGTAAAGAAGCCTTCTACCTTGGCCCAAAAGATCATCATGACCCCAAGTTTGATGACTTGGGGGTCACTGTTGAGCTTGGCTGGCATACACACCCAAACTACACCACAACACCAGGTCATTGTCAATACACTTTGGTGAGTTTTTTCTTTTCTGTTTGGAGGCTCAAGCTCCGTTGTTCTACTCCGTGGCAGTACTTGGCTTACACTTTTCCTTTTGTGTGTGCTTTCGCATAGATTATCTACCCAACTGATGAGTTCAAAGATGGCTACACCACTGCCCTGCCAGCTACATTTGCGATTGTTGTTGCTTGCACATTTTCATTGGTGGCCATTGTATTCTTCATCTATGACTCCATTGTTCAACGCCGCAATCTGGAGCTGGCTCAAGATGCTGCTCGATCAGACAAGCTTGTGTCTTCTCTCTTCCCTGGTGAAATCAAAGATATTCTCTTGGCACAGCAGGATGTGGGAGACATCAAGGGAAGGAAGGGAGCAGTCCCTGGATTCTCTGGCAGCAGCGGCTTCATGAACCAGCCGGACTTAACTTCCACACAACTTGCAAAGGCTTATCCACACACAACCGTATTCTTTGGAGATCTTGCAGGTTTTACCGCATGGTAAGTTGCTGTTGCCTCATCTCAATCATGACACCTGGGTTGTCCCACATCTCAAATTGATGTCCTTGTCTGATATCAGGTCTAGTACTCGAAAGCCCGAGCAAGTCTTTGAGCTCCTTGAGACTCTTTACAGTGCCTTTGATTCCATTGCGAAGAAAAAGCGTGTCTTCAAGATTGAAACTATTGGAGATTGCTACGTACGTTGGTGGGACAGGATCACGAGATATTGCTCACACAAATCATCATTCTCATCAATTCCTTCCTTTCTCCTTCCGCTGGTTTTAGGTTGCTGTCTGCGGTTTACCAAATCCCCAAGAAGACCATGCCACCAGAATGGTCCGTTTTGCCGATGACTGCATGTCCAAGATGAAGATCCTGACCACAGAGCTCTCTGAAACTTTGGGAGCTGATACAAGCAACCTGCAACTGAGGGTTGGCTTGCACACTGGGGGTGTCACTGGTGGTGTATTGCGTGGTGACAAGAGTCGCTTCCAGCTGTATGGTGACACTGTGAATACTGCCGCTCGCATGGAAACTAATGGAGTCCCAGGAAGAATCCATGTATCTCATGTCACTGCTGATGAGCTCCTATCTATGGGCAAGAAGAACTGGTTGACGCCTCGGGAGGACAAGATTGCGGTAAAAGGAAAAGGTGAAATGGACACATACTTTGTTGCAATTCCGGAAAATGGGGCAGCATCAATAGTCTTGTCATTGACTGACACAGAATCCCATGATGATACTGGTGTCCAGCCTTTGGATGTCAGTGCATTGTCTGTCTAAGCTGGAGGGCATCAATGAGAGGGGTACCGTAGCATGTGTAGATACACATAAACTATTAGCCAGACCAAGCCTGGGTTGAAGGAGGACACACACTGACAGCGACCAAATTTTTCTGTGGGCTCCGATATGTATCCATAGCGTACCGGTAGCCAGCCCGCCAACGTGCTTTCTCTGAGGTCCTTTCGGCTTTATTGAATCCATCAGCCGATCTGATTAGGCCCAATTCAATGTTTCACCCATCGCTGGCATGCTGCAACGAAGGCGCACCAAAGTCATCAATCTCCACAAGGAGGGAGATGTGTGTTATCGTCGTTTCATAAGGAGAGCAATCCTTGCTTTTTCCCGCTCCATGATGAGTTTGATGGTGGGAAATGGTGTGAGGCTCCATGGAGTTCTTTTACAGGACTGGTCCAGTCACTGGTCGCAGCAGCACCAACAGCGGCAGCAGTGTCCTCATTTATTTAAATGTCCCGCCAAGCCAAGAGCCAATGCTGTCAATGTCATTGGAAGCACGCGCACAAAATGAAGAAGAAGGTCTGCCAGAAGTATCAACACCATCTCCCAAAGTGTCGCTGCCATCGAATTCTCAGCATGAAAAGCACCAAGGAACGAAGTACCGCCCGTCATGTTCTGTGACCATAACAAAAGGGCTGGGAATAGTACCTAACAATGGTGGTTATTAGTGGGAAAAGAGAAGGTGGTGTATGTGGACAAGAACGATACACTTGGACACCTTATTGGTTTGAAATTAGTCCATGCCAGTGTTATCATTGTAATTGGAAGCACTGAAAGCTAGCAAGCTTACTCCAAGTAGAAGGGTACCGGTACTAGTACTAGTACAATCCAACCAGCACGAGCTGTCTACTCACACCACAAAGACAAGCAAAAACCCCACAAGAGCAGTGCTTCCACTCATTCATCACATTAGCCATGCATCCTTCACAACAAGGTCATCCAAGAAGCAAACACTGCAGTCGAACTTTTCGCCGCGAAAAAACTCACATGAACCCAGTCCTTTGGCCCGATGGTATGGAGAACCTCGATGCCATCTGGGCCGGACACCGAAGCGGATCAAACTGTGCAGTAAAAGTGTGTGGGATTCGTGCATGTGGACAAGTACTAAAAAGTTGACATAACCACTACCATAGCCAACAGTGCAAGCTACAATTTTCATTACCATTGCAGATACCCCCCACGATTTTGCTCAAACTAAATATGGGGCTGGTCATCATTGATCCATCGAGCGACAAAAATCGATCATGCAATACACGGCTCTTAGCCTTATTCGCGACTCGATCCTAGATAGGGTTTGAGTTCGACTCATGACGTAGTCCTTCGCGAATAGTCATTGAGACAGGGTTCTCATGACTGCTAGTCATACTAGGTTGTCGATGGAACATCGCTCTAGATATTTAGCCGGCGTGGAAAGCTTCCACGATACTAGACAGCTACTAGCTGAAGTTTCCACGTGTTCCGGAAATGGACCGTGGAGTACGTAGAGTTATTACCATAACCTACGATATCACACTTCGAGGCCTCCCGCGGGAGACCAACTTCAATGAGCTTCACAACGATCTCTCTCATGGATTAGTTTTCGTAGCTTTCTAATCTCTCTCATAACTTTCATTCTCTCAAACTCAAAACACTCGAAAGATCTTTACACTAGCTTTTAGCGTAGTGCATTTTGTTAACAAACACAATAGCTTTCAGCTACCCTCAACCTATTCCTTCACCATGAAGATTGCTCAAGGAAAGCATGCGTTCAGCAACTACGAGAAACAGTTGCGTGACAAACCCATTCTTCCTCTCGTCGACAATGACGAAGACAACGAGGTCGACGACACTCGTGCAACCACGTACAAACTTTGCACCATTCCTGCAGACGCAAATAGTGCCAAGTACACTTTCAAGGTAGCCATCATCAATGGCTCCAACACTCCATGTGAGACCATCAACTGGGCCACGAATATGGAGAAGGTCTTCGTTGGACTCAACCTTGCTGGTGCCGACGACAAACATCGTCTTCTCAAGGAGATGACTTCCAGCTCTGCAAAGAGTGCCTACGAAGCTGGGTGTGCAGGCAGTCGTGCCGTGCATCATAACGCCCTTCGACAAATTGCTGTGAATGCAATTGCTCCACGCGATGTGACTTCTGGAGAAACCGAAGTCCAATTCCAAGCTCGTGTCCAAGCTGCATGGGACGGTGCAGCAGAACCTGCTCTAAGCGATGTGGATATCACCTTTGGAATCAACGCGGTGATCAAACAAACCTGTCCTTACAAGGCTCTCGAAATACAGAAACGCTTCATGCGTCGTAAGATGCGCAAGCCTAGCGAGATGACAAGTCGCGCCTACATCAACAACCTCACTCGGATGAACACAGATGAACTTCCACGTTTGCCACCTGACAAACACGACTTCGATCCTTTCACTGCCGAGATGACGGCTCTCATTGGATTCTGTGAGCGCATGGAATCTGCTGAAGACTTTGACAAAGGCAGCGATGCCAAGCAAGCTACTTCGAAGAAGAACAGCAGCAAAAAGTACAAGTCTAGCCGCAACAAAAACCACTCCTCCAAGAACGAAGGAAAGTGGTGTGACTACCACGAGTCCAGCACTCACGATAGTGCTGACTGCATGACTCTGAAGAAACTCAAGTCCAAGTCCTCGTCTGGTAACGATAGCAAGCCAGCGTACAACAAGAACAAGACTTGGAAACGTAAGTCTGACGATGCCAAGTCCTACACCAAGAAGGAACTTTCTGTCCTTATGAAGAAAGTCTCCACCGCTGAGGTCAAGGCCGATCGCAAGAAGAAAGGCGAATGCAACCATGTTGCCAAGCGCAAGTCGGATGACTCTGATAACGAAATAACTCCTCTGTCGGGTCCCTCAACATGATGGACAAGAAAATGGCCGCAGTCGACAAGGCTCTTGCCGACTTCGATTTCAATCAATCGGATGGAGAAATCTCTATCTGAGGATTAGGCCAGGATGATGACTCAACGGAACCATGTTCCGATTTCTCATACCAAAGTGATGAAGATATCTCACTAA